ATGTGTAAATATGACATACATGACACAAGAAAGCGATAAGAGAGCCCATTCCCACACTACTCGACAATACGCAGCTCGAAGGTTCTGCCTACCGACCAGGACCAAGACAGAAAATAAAATCTCAGATAGTCAGAACCCTTCAGACTTAGACCGTAAGGCTTTCAATAACAAAGAAGGATGTATATGGAGAAAATGACAAGTTATGTGGTAAAACTGACGCATTTCCAACCAATTATTGAAAATTTTGAAATGTCCGGGAAGTAAATCTTATTTTGAAAAGAGCCTTTTGATGAAAAGTTGGCCAACGATAAACTTTGTTCAAAACGGGTCATGGAGTAAATATGCTTCTCATCTTATTTTTTAAGAACGAATTAGATTTCCAAGATGAATATTTAGACCTACACTGAACGAGCCTACCGAGTATTGCTAAGGCAATGCATGTCCTCCACTGGTCCCCAAAGCTATTACACTGTTAGGAATTATAATGATAATGCTGATTGGTGTCGATTTGGAAAAAAAATATACAATTAGTTAATAATATAATGCAATAGCGAAGTATAGTCATGAAATGAATGAAGTAAATGGTGCAAAGGGTGACCTTGACCCAAGAGGCCCTATACACTTGTTCATAACATTTCAGTGCTTTAAAAGTGTGTGAATCTTTATAAAAAAATCTTTAAGGAGTGAAGCCACTAGAGCTCTGACATTTTTTTTCTAAAAAATCTTGACCCAACAAAACCCTGAAACTTCGACTTGATCAAGATTTCACGGTCTCTGGTTTGATGAAAATCTCTTTTAGTAATGAAGCTACAAAAGTGCCGACATCTTTCTGAAACTAATAATGGTGACTTTGTTCCGGCTGCCCAGTACTTCTTGACAAAACATTAGGGTTAAATTTAGGGCTAGAATTACAAAATATTAGGGCAAATTTAGGGCTAAAATTAGGAATTTTGTAACTAGAATAAGAAGTATGAAAAGATTAAACTGACTTACCTTTGCAAATTTGACAAAATAGAAACTAACATGCAATGCCTTAATTGCAGGAAAGGTGTCTTCCAGGGTTTCACTGTCCCGGCTGCTGTTGGCTGTGACCTTAAGAATCACACCTACGTCACTTAGTCACAACGAATAACAATCAGGGTACAAAGATCCACTGGTCAACTGCCTTTCATTGTCTACCCTGAATTAGAACTACAGACTACAATAAAATACACTTTAAGTATGAATTTAATGAAAACATTTTCAGTAAATTGTAAGAAATATAAAAAAAGAGTAGGAACTGAAGTGAAAAATTTTAGCAAAACTGAAAAAAATTAGGATTTTTTAGGAATTTTAGGGACGCTGGACAGCCTGTTTGTTTAAACAACACTGAAACTCAAACTTTTCAAAGATATTTTGGTGCTTCAAAGTTAATGAGTGTGAAATGTTTGATGAGAAGACCTCAAGGAATGCTGGTTTTTGAGCACTGAAAAATCACAGATACAGGGACAAACTAACAGACATAAGACTACAGTTGACATCAGTTATAACCAAATGTAAAATTATCATTCTGCTAAATTTGACCACACTGCTAAAAAGTTCCTTACAATGTGAGGATTAAAGTCTTCACTTGATGGATGGCTTTGATCTACTTCTCTGAAGATATATGTAACTTGGGTGAAATGATTTTTAAGTTGATAACGCCCTTGGGTGCTCGAAAATTGGCATCATTTATGTGTATATAGTAACAAGGCAAAAGAGAGTAGTCTTGTCGGCATCAGATGTGCAATATAGAGATTCAGACAGGAACTGAGCAGACACCTGGGAATCTCGTTACTCTCGAGTTGCGATACCATTCATTGCAGCAAAAGGATTCACATACTGCCAACTATACAAGAGGCCTACTGGGCCTGTATCTCTCACTTTTCTTTGTTTGGCTAAGATTGCTTCATCTAAATAAACAGAAAAGAGGGTTATGAAATTTTATATCTATTGTGCCCCACCACTAGCGGTCAGCCGTCATTTATACTACAGTCGCCAACCATGCTTCAGACCAATTCGGAACAGTAAACCAAGTCCAAAGGGGGTGGGGCCAGATTCTAAGGCCAATTCTTATATGTTGAGTTTGTTTATCTCAGGTGCCCAGCAATGCTACATATGGGTATGGGGTGGGGATCTCAACTGTTTAAAAGATATAATGAATTACATTATATACAATACTGACCCACTTACCACTTGACCCCACTGGCCATAAATTTCATCAATTCAAAAGAGGATTAGTTGATGATTATAATGTGTAAGTGTTAATAAGATTGTTAAAGATAACATTAGTTTTTAACTATTTGGCCCTTGGAAGCACTGCCCCATAAATTTTATAAATTCAGATCCCTGCTTGTATAAGTCTTAGTGATATTCAATCTCCAATTTGATAAAATTGGTGGGGCAGTTTTGAAAAAAATTATTAGGATTTTAGGATTTATTAGGATATTTAATGGACGCAGGCACACAGTGCCTCTATATCCATATCAATAATAATCATACAATTAAATTATATAGTCACTTCCGATTAGTGAATTGCAACGAGCCAGATGGTTAAATTTCAGTTCGAGATTTTTCCAATGATTGTCCAATTTAATTTCAAAGTCTCTGATTGTTGATGATTGGATTACTTTTCTGGTAGACTGTTCCATAGGTCTATAGTTCTTAGTCCAAATGAGTATTTCCGAATGTCAAGATTACATGATTTGTTTTTCAGTTTCTTTGATTGGCCTCTTGTTTTAGAATTTTCGTCTCGATCAAACATGCCTTTGGTGACTTTTTCATCGTGAAATTTATCCATAATTTTGAAAACGTTTATCATATCTCCCCTCAATCTACGGTATGCCAATGTCGGGAGTCCGAGTTTCTTGAGACGGTCGCTATAGGATAGTTCTTTCAGCCCCGGTATAAGCTTAGTTGCCCGTCTCTGCACGTGCTCTATTGATTCAATATCCTTTATTTTGTATGGGTTCCAGACGCTTGCGGCATATTGTAAGTGTGGGCGGACTAATGCCTTGAACAGTTGTTTAAAAGACACTTCATCTAAGTATACAAAGGACCTTCTAATAAGACCAACAGTATTTGTTTACAGCTTGTTGCATATGCATAGAGAAATTTAGATCTTTATCCACCGTTACGCCAATATCTTTTTCTGAAGTTATGTTTTCCAACGCCACGTTGTCCTCTGCTCCTGCCATATGGTATGTCCATGTTTCTTTCCTTTTTTGTTTTATTGTTAATACTTTACATTTTAGTGGATGGAATTTTAGAAGCCATTTGTTAGACCATTCTTGCAGTTTATCCAAGTCTTGTTGCATTGCCTTCCTGTCCTCATCACTTTTTTATTTCTTTATAAATCTTAGTGTCATCAGCAAATAGGTAGGTGTTCGAAGAAGTATAATCTGGCAGATCATTTATATAGATTACAAATAGAATTGGGCCAAGTACGCTGCCCTGGGGGATCCCACTTAATACCGGGTGGTCTTTGGATGCTTTTCCATTAACTAGTACTCTCTGCTTCCTTTCGTGTAGAAAGTTTTCTACCCAGTTGACGACTTGGTCTGCTATTCCGTAGCTTCTTAATTTTTCAATTAACCTGCGATGTGGTACCTTGTCAAAGGCCTTCATAAAGTCCATATATATAACATCAATTTCCCCACCGTGATTAATATCTACAAATACATTTTTACATAACATTTGTGCAATAATGACTCCATCCTAAAAATTTTAACCTTGGGCCATACATTGAATTTAATTAGAGAGCTAGTTGACAATTAACACTATTTACATAAATTTGCCATTATTCTCTGCTACTTGAAGGTTTATAAATATCACCCCATTTTTTACCTCCCCTGCCCCTTGTAGCAGAGCTGCATATATTTCATAAATAGAGACATTGCAGTATATGCCATAATGCTCACTTGGTTCTTTGGCGTGTGAGCTAAAAAACAGAATATTGTAGAGTTTTGAGTTATTCAGTTTGAATTATTTTTTCCTTATAAAATCATTTGCCCTTTTGTGAGCCACATTTTTAAAAGCATATATGAGGGACCAAGGTGAACCAGTATATGACATTTGAAATTTATCAGTCCTTTCCTTCTCAAGATTGCAGTAACCACCTATCAAAATTCAATATGGCAACCTCTTGGACATTTTATTATCCAGATAAGTCCGAAAAATAAACCCAAATAACTAGGGACCACAGGGAATTCTATGAATGACCCATAGAGTACATTATACTTTAAGAGACATAGCAATGGTAGAATTTCACTGTCCAAATCCAAGATGGCCACCTATCTGCCATTTTGTTACTTTTAAAAGGATGTCCTCATCAGTGCACAAATAAAGGGCAATGTGAACTGGGATGGGCTAGAAAGCTTAACTAAGGACCAAGTACAGTCTTCGTAGGAAATTTGAAAGAATAATTGTTAAAGGACAGACAAATGAACCACATGCACTTAAACAAAAGGTGGTTTGAATAGTTCATGACCATCTGATGATAGTGAGCAAAAAAATAGGAAACAAAAGGTAATCTATTTGTTGAATTTAATGTTTTTCTTTCTGTTTTTTCAAGTATAGTGTCAATAAGTACTGAAAATACAGCAGGCTGCCTGCCTGTGGCTGTACACATGTGGCATGCTGGCACATAATACTGTACCAATCATATATATTGCAGTTTATGAATTACAGTAACATATCACAGAAAATAATTAAACTTGAATCTCAACTGTGAGATTTCATTCATTTTCTGTACTGATTTGATTACCAGCATTAAAATATTGTGTCAAAATCACAGCTGGAGAGATGACTATCCATAGCCTGCCTTGCACACAAATTGAATTCACATGTACATGTATGTTCCTCAGTCACACATCAAGCAGTCAATGTTAATCCATATCACAAGCTACACCAACATAGAATGATATCCATCTGTGAAATACTTTGTTTTTTAGTATCACCAGATACACACCAACACATGCTGAACAAACTTTAGCTTCACATCACCAGCTACACAATGACACAATCCATATCCATCCAGTGAAATACTTTGGTTCCACATCACCAGCTACACACTAACAAGTTCCATATCCATTCTGTGAAACAGTGTGGTTCCACATCACCAGCTCCACACTGACAAGTTCCATATCCATCCAGTGAAATACTTTGGTTCCACATCACCAGCTCCAAACTAACAAGATTCATATCCGTCCTGTGAAATAGTGTGGTTCCACATCACCAGCTACACACTAACAAGATTCATATCCATCCTGTGAAATAGTGTGGTTCCACATCACCAGCTTCACATTGGTTGTGGTCTTGTTTATGTTTGTACTGTCAATTCTAAGTTATATAAGAAGAAATCTGATATCTAAAGTACATGTAGGGCAGTAAATTCCAGCAACATTATCAGTATCTCCAGCCCTCTCTCCGCCTCAGTCTTTAGCATCACCAATACCATCTGCATTAATAGCGAACATGGCCTCTGCCTCTGGTAGACAGGGAGAATCATATATCTTACATATTCTGGTTTCCCCTCTTCCTTTCCTTAGATATAACCTACAAGAAGATATTTCAGATTTATATCATATAGTGTATTAACAAAACTGGTGCTGATCCAATACAAACCCCCATCAACAGGTTCTGTGCTGAAATTTACTTACATTTATAATTCAACAACAGATATGTGGTAGAATGGCATCCCAGAGGCCTAATTAGTTTTAGAAAACACCATGAGAAATGTACATATCTTGCTGATTGCTATGTCAATTATCATTTGCTTTCTGCAACATTTTCATTTTAAGAAAGACAGCTATGTTTACTTTCTTTGTAAAATGATAAACAATTGTCATTTTCAGTTTCTGAGTTAATGACATTTCACCTGACAGCGAGAAATTTATCTAGTAGTGGAAATGGTGGCTATTATGTACCCTCCTGGGTGTTTAAAAGTCAGTTGACATCTATGTAAATGGGATTACCTTGTAGTGGATGCATGGGCTATTATATTCCCTCCTATGGGTTTCTTGGGGTCAGCTGAGAACATGGCTGCACCATCCACCTGGGCTACCACTTGATTTGTTATCACAACTGCCACACCAAACTGAAATAAAAGATTTTGTTTAACTCTTTACACTTGAAAAGAATGATTCACTTCCACCAGAATTCAAACTATCTTTTCATATTCGGCAAAATCTTATTTCATATCATGCATATACCAAAATTTTACATGAAAGAATTATCATTTGTGAAAGGATTGAAGAATTTGTACAACTGCTTTACTGAAAAAGAACTTCACAAGAGATCCTAGTGGGGTCTTGGTGCCCATCATTGATGGATCTTTATTTGTTTTTTAAATGCTAAATCTTTTCTCTTCATTTGCTCTTGATTAAGTTAAATTTGAAAATTCCTCAGAAGAAATGATGATAATAAACTGTCTATCCAAATCAGTCAGACATTTTGTTCCAAATTCAAGAGGCACAACTAGGGACCAAGGGGAACCTACATATGAACTTTGAGAAATATCCACTATGGACATCTCAATAAATTGTGATCGTAAATTTTCAAAGACAAATTCCAAGATGGTCAGCTGTCAGCCCTTTCGCTTTTTTATCAATCCTAAATTCAAAAGGCCACCTCTAGTGACCAAGGGGAACATTCATAGGAAATTTGAAAAAAATCCATCTTATACTTCTTCAGAAATAGAGATAAGAAGAATTGTTTAAAGAATTGACCGCAGAAAGACCACAGATGCAAGACAATTTGAACAGCCTTTTTAACGATGGTGGGTTAATAAATATTAGCATGTCCTCCCCTGCTTACTAAGATTGAAATTTTTATCTTTGCCACATTACCTCATCTGCCAGCCGAAGTAACATCCTCAAGAAACGTGCAAGGTGCATCTGTCTCGCAGACAGCTCTCCTCTCCCTGAATAATCAGTTCTGTACAGTGCTGTAGCACTGTCTACTATCAGTAAAGCATATCTGTATGAAAACAAAACTGTGTTTTAGCAATGTATATGCACTGGTCTGGTTTCAATAGCTTTCTGAGTGTGTTTATAGCTTCACAGATTCACACAGTACAGACAAGATAAACAAAATCTGTTTAAAAAGACTTGAGAATTGGTTTCACATAATATCTTTCAGTCTATACTGATAACTTCCGATTAACAGCTATGGTTATTACAGAACATCCTCCCTATGTAAGCATGTTGACTGCACGTGTTTTAAGCCTGTGTTTCTAGGATGCTTCAAAATGTTCATTTGAGTTTCCTAGTCCTTGTGAGAGTGTAGAACTTCAACCAATATCAAAGTGCTGCCACACTGAAGTATATTGCCAATGGTCTGCAAATGAATGTAACTCATTGACCACTCTGGAGATCAAACAGCTCAAGCATAACACATTTGGTTATAAAAAGATTTAGATTGATGAATTCATCACAAAAATGGTCTAATGGTCAAGATGATTCTCAGTCATGAAGTGAACAGTCGGTGCCAAGCCATGTTGGGAGGCCGATAGCCAAGGAAGAAAGTTCCAACAAAACTGGCTTCCTTAATTCACATGGGTTTGCTGTGACGAAGCATCAGAATTCATAATTCATAATAATATTTGTATATCATCACGTCAATCAGACACTTTTGTTTCCTTATCACCTTTTATAATTATCAAAGGTTTGCTTTAATAAAACATCAAGGAACCAAAGAAGGCCAATACTATAGTCACCCTTACCCCCAGTTACCAGTGTGGGACTAACAAACCACACATTCATTTTGACTACAATGTATGTGTGGCCCAAACAAAATTTCCTACAATAAAGTTAAAATGCTTTCTAGTGTGACCTACCTGGACTCTGACATCATAGCTGCAGCCTGTACAAGAAGTTGTGACTGATGATCGCTGTTATAGGCTCGGGCACAGGCCACATTATCCAACACGTCACTACCAGATAGACCATACCTGTAAACATGTTCCTTATATCTATATACTTTTCTCCTAGAATCTGTTGCACCATGCAAAACTATACCACTTTTGATTTCTAAAGCTATCAACTCACATTTGATTCAATAAATGTTTTCTTTGATGTTAAAATATATATTAAACTTGATATAACAGTGTTTATATACCTTTCTGCGACAGCCAGTAAACGCTCGGGTCTAAATGTTCCCTCTGTATCTACATACAGTGCCTTTCCTTCTCCTCCTCCCATGTCAATGGGTAACTGTGGGCAGAAGCAGATACAGTGTAATATAGATACAAATTACCACATTTAATATCAAATATAACCATAGACATCAAAACTGATCTTCACAGATGCGAAACTTTCAATTGCTGCTGTTAAATCACAAACACATAAAACCAAATTAGTATATAACAAGTGAAAGGGTCAGCTGACCAGAAATTACAATTAAAACTGAACTGGTATTAACATTCTAATATTTTCTACATTTTTTAACAACCTGATCTCTCTGCTTGTTAATAATATAATTTGTTAAAAAAGGGCATGCTGGCAAAACCAATAACTGATCCCTATACCTTAACATACATAATATATTTGACAAATGAAATTTCATATGATCTGGTCAGTGTTATTTACCTGACAGGTAACAGCTAAGGTATGACAAATCTGTGTTTTTCCTGTTCTGAACTCTCCAAATATTTCTGTAATAGAGCCAGTCTCGATCCCACCTGCATTGTAAAATTGTGAAAAATTCATCATATATATACCTCTTCCAAACTAAAACTTTATAAAACTGTAGCTTCAGTCACTACGAAAATGCCTATAAATGCCTTTAACATATTGTGTGAAAAAAAAAACACCAAAAAACAAAACAAATAAATTAAATAAAAAAAAAAAAAAGGAAACTGTTCAAACAAAGGCACGTTTTTTTCAATACAGATAAGGTTTAGAGACCTAAAATAGGGTGTTTTTGTTTGATTAAACTGAAAATTGTTGTAACTAGTTTATCTATTTGTTTTCTTACCCTGTAAGAGTTTATCGAGCTCCTTGGATCCTGTGGTAACTTGAATTATTTCAGATCTTTTCTGGTGGAATTCTGTTGCTGTAGTAAATCCCATGGGAACTAGTTTAGCAGCTTCTGCCTGAAAGTATAGAATAAATAACAAACATAATTGTTTCACTGTTTAATCAAGCAATCGATCCAGATTTTCAAATTCTTACAGAAAAGCACTTTGTTTAAACAAATAGGGTGATGAACATGATCCTTTGCTATGGATGTTAAACCTGTTTTTTGAGTCTTGAACCATAAAGAATTTCTTTGACACATTTCTTTTCTCACCAAGATTTTGTCAGCCTTAGCTTCGCTAATTCCTTTGATAGACAGAAGATTTTTCTTTGGGGTATAAGCCACAGATTCTACAGTAAAAAAGCCAGCATCTTCCATTTTCTTTACATCTGTTGCACTGATGCCATTTGCCTGTGAAAAAATAAAATTAGAACAACATATAGGGAAAGCAACACAACATTATCAGATACTGTAGGTCTGTCTGTTTGGTTCTTTCAACGAGAACAAAAAACCTTTACATTAGAGTCAGAAAGTAGATATAACTTTATAATATATGCCCAATTAAAAAAAATTTCTTCTTTTTTAACTTTAGATCATTGAAGTGTGAAGCACTTTTTGAAAATGTTTGCAAGGCATTTAACCTATCCTACATTTTTACAAATAAAAAAACAGAATTATAGATAATATTTTGTTTGGCAAAATGTATTTAACCTCCAGCCTGCTGAGAGGAAGTGGTCCAAAAGTTTCATCCTCTGCTTCCAACACCTCTGCTGCTTGTCTCCGTTCCTGCATTGCCATCTTGTAAATTACTCTATAATACACTTTCTGAAGTTCCTCACTATCAAGGAATATTCAAGAAAAAAAGACATTTTATTCATCATTTATACAACCAAATCATTATATTACAAACCATGTTGGAGAAAACAAAATTGCCAATTTGAAAAACAAAAACTTCATATACATGTACATTTTAAAATTCTCTTCTTGAACCTCTAAATTTGATGTAACTGCTTTATTGTTACATTAATAAATACAATTGTCAAATGAACATTCCTTGTTGATTTTCTCTAATAACAAATAATACACCATCATACTATCAGAATAGAATTTATACTTTCTTTTTTTCAATTTCTTATTTTCAAGCCTTTTATAAGTTCAGAAAATTATTCAGAATAACTACAGAAATGATATCTTGCCCACCAGTCCCATGGCGGTAACCCTGCCATAACCTTCCCAGCCTCCCATACAGAACAAATTCAACCATATATATCTATACTATAGAGTTATGATCACCTTTACAAATGATGTAACTTTTTAATATGTATTGATCACTCAGTGTTGATTTTGATTTAATTTGCTTACATGAATGATTCGCTTCATCAGCACTTTTCTAAGTGTTTAATGTGAACCAAACTTTTCTGAGGACTGCAAAACCGAAAAGGAAATTTCCTGATGTTTTTTCTATGATAATGTTATCAGATTTTACCAGCCACACACAGTTTGGAACAAACATTCACTTATAAATACATTAGTCTGTATAACATTCCTTCTTATATAAAGTCAATGCAAGAATTAGGAATTGACAAAAGCTTCCTTTGGAATGACCTAGTTTTCTTCAGGAAAGATTCTGGAGTTGGGATCACTGTCTTCAGGTTCATAGAACTTCTGAAGGAAGGATTCCAAAATTTGGAGTAAGCTCAAATATGAAATTTTAAAAAGCTGTCTTTTCAGCTTGCAAAGGTAGCGGGAATTTAGATTTCATTTCTGCTTCTATATCAAACTGTAAGGCTCCAACTGTCTACATTTCATTTAATTTTACAAACCTGCTGAAATCTTAACTCTCAGGAGATTGGCGAACATTTCCAAAATGCGCTCGAAACTGTGGTTTTCAGCAAAAATGAGTTGTAGCTTTGACATTTCATCAAGTTAGAAAAATATTTGATCTATCCAATAATATATAAAAAGATATCCATAAGCATTACATGAATGCTAACTCGTGCACATGTCCATAAAATGTTTTATATATAGGGAGCTCATGGATTTCCGATTATCGATTCCAAGTGATGAAAACATACAATCACAGGGAGTCAGAACCTTTCACATTACCATTACAGTGGCACTCTTTTCTTTGATTGCGATAGATACATTACTTATTACTCTTTCATGTCGAAGTATGAATATATGTGTAGATAATTTTTTCATTATTCCTTCCATTAAGCTAAGGCCCGTCATATGCAGATATGAACAGATGTATAAAATCAGTATATCAACTGTGTAGTCATGGGTACAAGTCCTATATTGGAGAGATAGTTACTGCTCTGTATAATAAATTAGTTAAACTCAAACGCATGGTCATTTCGAAACAGACACACGTGAAAAGGTGTCATATTTATAATACCCTCTACTGCGGTATTGTGCCAAACCTGTTAAAAACAGCAAGGTAAAATTCCTTTGGTTGCCGCATCCCAACAGGTTCAGTAGTCAAACAATTTGGGACATGTTTAGGGCAAGAAGTCTCAAGAAAGCAGGCGTGCGATGTGAAGCGATTTGGGTGATATTGAAGTATTAGTAAATTCAGATCACAGCCAATATTTCAGAACTTACGCAATCAGAGATGACAAGACCTAGGGCCTTCCTTTATCGAGGACGCTGTTAATGCATACAGATAATTAACTAATGATGCCAATTTGATGAATTTCGCAAGGTTTTTTTCGAACAGTACACTTTGAGAACTACATTTCGTAGTATGGTTTGTCGAGTTGTTGTTTTTCCGCAGTCAGAAATCCCGCCAACGTCATCTGAGGGAAAAATACTTATCTCCGTTTTGATTGGTCAATAATATAAAATTAATATCTCCTTTATTTATGCTAGGGGTTCGACGTGCAGTAGACCCAGAAATCATTATTTTTCATTTCTTAAATATTTTTTGAACTACAAAAACACGTGTCTGAAATAATTTATTGCTTTAAGAAGTCATTTTCATTCATCAAAATAAAATGTATTACCTTGCGCTGCATTTATAGAAATAACATGAATGTATTGACATATATTAAAAGGATAAAGAAACGCAGGGTGAACTTTAAACCAGAAATTAAGTATGATATCGGGCTTCATTTAAAACGAAATTTTGTATACTTACAGATAAATTAAAGCTTAAAATTTCCAAAGTCTGTATTTTGCATCTGACAATTGGTTTAGAGGTACTAACGATTAGAATGAATGGACCCATAGGATTTTGAAATTGAAATTGAACTGAGTCAGCAATATCTTGTGTGTCCGCCATTTGCTGTGGTCACGGCCCTTATTCTTCTGGTCATAGAGTTCATGAGAGCGTTAATCCGTCTTATGGGGATGTTGTCCCACTCTTCAATCAGAGCTCTGGTCACCTGCTCTCGAGTAGCAGGGGGTGGCTGGCGCTTTCGAACCTGTCTATCCAACTGGTCCCAAAGATGCTCGATCGGGGACAAATCAGGGCTATATGGCGGCCAATCTAGTGGTTGAATGTTGTTGTTGGCCAGAAAGACTTGGCAAATCCTTGCTACGTGTGGCCTAGCATTATCCTGCTGGAGGGTTAGATTAGGCTGCTGTAAGAAAGGGATAACATGGGATCGGAGGATCTCATCTCTATACTTAGCTGCTGTTAAATTGCCATCAATAACAACCAATTGTGATTTTAACCCGTGTGAGATTCCTCCCCACACCATTATTGAACCGCCACCAAACCTATCCCTCTCTACAACTCAAGCGTCCGTAAAATGTCGGTAGACATGTTGACGGGCCGTCAGATTGATAAAGACAGAATCGAGACTCATCCGTGAAGAAAACTTGTCTCCACTGCCTCAGTGGAAACCGTCGTGGAGCATGTGCAGCGACCCAGGCCATACGACGCTGATGTCGAGCAGGGATAAGGTGTGGACCTACGTAGGGGCGACGTGCTCTTACACCAACTTCTCGTAATCGATTCCTTACAGTTTTTGAACTTATAGGACGCCCATGATTTCCACGAACATTAAGTGCACTCTCAACGGCAGCAAGGCGCCGATTACGCACATGAGAGACGACGATATAGCGATCCTGACATCGTGACGTTACGCGCGGACGTCCTGACCTAGGTCGATCGGCCAATCGCCCAGTTTCCCGAAGACGTCTTACAAGACGTTCTATGGTGGAAACATTAACACCAAAGTGCCTAGCAACCTGATTTTGCAGCTGTCCTTGCATCAGCATCCGAATGGCCTGACCCCTCTGAACTTCTGTGAGTCGTGCCATTCTTAAAACGAATCAAATTCTCAATTAGTTTTAGGGAAGGAGTTGGTCTGTATAAAGACTAACGAAGAGTGACTTGACCAACGCTGCATGAGACCAGAACAACACGGTGCACGAGATTCTTGTTTTTTTTCTTCCTCCATTTACCAGAGCTGCGCACTGTACCATGACTAAATTTTTGATACGTGACAAGGTGTAATATGACCTAATTGCTCAATCCACAAAGTTTCACTTTATTTGGAGAACGCGTTTTCAAAATATCGGTATAAATATTACCCTGCGTTTCTTTATCCTTTCAGTATATTTGGAACATTTTCTTCATGTTGGTACTGTCAATGTTACACTTTGTATAACACTTGGTCATAGATACAAGACAGTCAATGACCCCCCCTTCATCCCTGTTTGGTACTGGCCCACTGCAACGTATACAGCAGACCTGGGATTCCGCACCTTTCTGATGTTCATAAGTTGTACCACAAATCTCCTGCCTGTTTCTCCAATATATGCTGCCTTGCAGTTCTTGAATCCGATATTGTATATGCATTATGCAACATTCTCTCTGGCTGCTTTCTCCTTATGATGGACTAGGATATTTAATAGTCTTGTGAGGTTTCATTGCAGTTGCAATGCCATGAACATTGTATATTCTCTGAATGGTTTCTGTCAGGCTTTTAATGTATGGAATGGCTACTTGTTTTTTTGTTTTCTATACCTTGTTATTTAGTCTCTTAGTCTTTTTGCTTTATCAAATTCATTATTGACTTGCAGGATAGCCCAGTCAGGGTATCTACATGTTTCATTGTTTTATGAATGTGATTATCTCCTGCAAAATGCATTTGCATGGGAGATTGATTTGGGCACTGTTCATCCGTCCATCCGAGGGTTTTTCTGAGCTGTAACTTCAAATCTATTCAACTCAACTTCACAGAACTTGCTGTATATATTATGTTAGTGCCCTAGTTGTGCCTTTTGCTATTGACAACGCTTCATTTTATATATTTTTACCATAGAAACATAGCCCAAAAACGCAAAATTAGTACTTTCCTTTCCAGACTACAACTTTAAAATCATTCAACTCCACAAAACTTTCTCTATATATATTATGTTAGTGCCTTCGTTGTGTGCTTTCTTATTGAGGACATTTTATTATTTATCTTTTTCCCTGTTACCATCAGATTTTTCTATTTCTTGTGACTTCTTGTATTACTCCAAATCTTACAGAGTGTTGCATAAATTTGTTCATGGACAATACCAAGCTCTATTCAAATATCCACACTACTGCAACTGGCTGTTTCAAAACATGCAACAGTAAGAGGTACAAGCCTAACATCCACAGTAACAAAGAAACAGACAAATTGATCAGCACAAGAGGGAGTATTTCACTTTGATTTATGGAATTCACAAACTGCCAGGCCGTGGTAGCTCAAAGGTTTGAGAGTTAGCGTCCAGTGGTTAGTGGAAAATTGATACTGTTGCCATGGAAAATACAAGAGTGTTAGAGTAAACAAAAGGTTTCAAATATATCAATTGGATCTGTCTATAGCAGTGTAATAATAAAGAAAACATTTCAAGTCTTGTTTGATTCATGTTTGAAAATTTTAACGAACAACTTGTCATCTCTAACCAGCCTTTGAACAAATTAGGCCAAATGTCAAATTCATGTTGAACAAGAGTTCTGCAAGGTGGTACATGATACACTAGTTACAGGTTGAATAAGCATTTTTCAAGAGGAAAGGGAAGAAAAGTGATGTTTGATGTCTGATCAACACAAGGCCATTTACAGTGCCAGTTGTGTGATGTTGGATGAAACTGGAGCAAGCCACCGAGTGTCTGTGGTGATAACACTCCAAGATGATCCATGAAAAACACTTAAGTTATTGTTCCATCAACTTCACAAAGATCTTTACTCAATAAATTGCAGGTGAATAACTTTGGTCATCCATGATGTTGGAAGTTCATGTGATGACAGGTGCATATTAAAGATGTTGCACACCACTTTGTTTTGACAAAATTATCAAGAGTAAGTGAAAAAAGACAAAAACAAAAAAGTCATCTTGTTTTACATATCATTTTTTAATACATATAAATATTAATTTCATCAAATTCTTTTGTAATCATTGATTAGTAATATCTGAGTAAGTGGTCAGCACTCTATTTAACAATATCACAAAACATTGGCCATAGTCAATCATGTATACACAGCTCGGCAAATTGATTCATTTCACCATACATGCCAGCTTTCAATGGTTTTAATATGACAAACTACACAGAATAGGTGATTTGAGACCTGAGTGATTCAACAACTGCACACACTTATATGAATAATATTTTTTTAAACACTGTTTCTCAAGATTAAAAAGAGAAGTTATTCACAGACTAGACTCCAAATTTGATTCTACAAGTAGAGAGGATTTACACATGAACTTGTTTATGAAAAGATGTGCTTATGATTAATCACAGTTTACTTAAAGGAACAACACTGACGAGAACATGTACCAGGTATCTGAACAGTCCATTGTTTTATAACAAGAAAAGAGTAAAGGTGATACTGTCATCCATCTTTTTCCTCTTCATTGTGTAAACAGTGATCCGTCACTTCCCCTTTATTGTGTAAACAATGACCCATCACTTCCCCTTTATTGTTTAAACAATGATCCATCACTTCCCCTTTATTGTGTAAACAATGATCCATCACACCCCTTTATTGTGTAAACAATGATCCATCACCTCCCCTTTATTGTGTAAACAATGATCCATCACCTCCCCTTTATTGTGTAAACAATGATCCATCACCTCCTCTTTATTGTGTAAACAATGATCCATCACACCCCTTTTGTTGTGTATTTATTAGTTCACCTCATTGCAATTCATCAGTAAAATATAGTATAGTCTAAATTTTGTATATACCAACATAATTTTCCTATATGGTTTATATATAAATTTAATCATCTGAAATTTTCTAGTTTCCACAGACCAATATTTCCACACCTATGATTACAATGATGAAGTTAAAAGCAAATTACATTGCCTAATGATTTAGTGATTTTTTTCCAATTCTGCTTTTAAATCTTTCGGTTTAGTACAGTGTAGAAACTATCGTGGATAACAGAGACAAATTTAATGCAACGATATACTAGATTTATTCAGCACTAAAATGCGAAGTATACCAGGTAGTTATTAAATTTGTCTTTAAATTAAATGAATAAAACACAGTTAAAACAGAATACACATATTTACAATCTTCCTAACAAAACATTATCAGTTAAAAAAAATTGTACCTTTTCTATCTTAAACGGTTTTCCAATTTTTAGAGGTTTCTATCTTAACATATCATCAAATTTTTAAAATAATCCAGAAGTATCGGATATTATTGGGAGTTTTCCAATTTAGTAAGAGTATGAACAGGTGTTTAAGGACAGCACTAGACAGGTTTTCAACAGTTTTGTGACATTCTGTTTTAAGTGACGTGCTAGCAGTAAGAGACCACTACTACTACCAGGTACATATGCATGGCTAACCCTCCACTATAATCAACTCATTCTTTAGGTGAGATGGAGTCTCATGTTTTTGTGCCCTGTTTCACAAGAGATGATTGAGTCCCCTCTCCTTTTTTTCCTTGGTCCTCTAAAGTAGTCTGTGTCCCCCTTTTTATGCCCTGGTCCTAGGGAGTAGATTGAGTCCCCCTTTTTCTATTCTGGTCCTCCACTGTGGATTGAGTCTCCTTTTATTGCCTTGGTCCACCAGCAAAGACTGATCCTCCAGGAACATGACAGTCAAAATTTAGTGACAACGACTCACTCTCACAAAGTTGTCATGCACAGATTCACACACAGTATTAAGTCACTAAGTGATTGGTCCATCATCCAAACATACTGAATAAAGAACTTGCATAGGCCATGGGCTTGACATTTGGATGTGGCTGGAAAACAAACAGAATTATATAACATACTGGTAAATTAGAAAAACTTTATAAAAATTGTTTAAAAAATTCTGATTGTGATTGTTTTGATGGTTTCCAAACTTACCACTGCGTTGAAGGATGTAAATTTGGGCGTCAAGTCATCACCTCTGATGTTAATGAATGCACCTTTATTGCCCATAGTATCACTGAAAATGAAAGGAAGAACTACTGGTGTGTCTCGGACAACATAATGAACACAACAGACAACTGATTGTACACTTGTTTACCAGATGTCAATATTTAAGCCTAGCTCTGGTATATGATATAATTTCCTCATCAGAATAAAATACATGTAAAAACAAATCTTGCAGATTTTACACAAAATAGGAAGGGAGATAAGCCCAAGAAACTCATAAAAGTTGAAAGTTGAGATATAGGTCAGTAACCTCGCTAATATAGGAAACGCATGATTTCCTCAGGAATAGATACAAAAGTCTTCAAGCCACCCCCTTTAGACCTTAACCATCATCCCCAAACACGGATTCCAAAGGAGGATGTAAAAAAAATATAAATATGATAAATAAATTACAATTTCCTCTAGTCATCCAATACAGTTTATTTCTGTGTTACTGTGGACTACTTACCAGTAATTTGGGGCGGAGAACACAGTTATACACTTGCCATCGTGAGCCACCTCATATCCCTCCTGTTTAACTTCATGACTTCTCACAATGTAATCAAGTTTATTGCGTTGTAGGAAGGCCTTAGTAATGTCAGGACCAAACATTGTGCCAACACCTCGTTTACTTTCACTGCGACCGCAGACTGATTGTGGATCTGACCACAAAAGTTCACACATCGCACCTACAACATCACAGTGACATGTAAAACATTTTCTTTAGTTTATGTCAATAGCACAGAAGTTCTTATAAAACAACCAGCAGAAGAAGTGTGATATTTCATTGTCTGCACTGTGACCTTCCACAGATAAATTATCAGTGTGAAGCATACTAGCACTGATGTATATAGCATACAAGATGGTAAAGAATCAAACAACATTTTCAGTTGTACTATAATGCTATGTACACTAAAGAAGAAAATTGTGTGATGCATTGGGACAACAGACCCCTACACATCTATGACCAACATCACACAACTCTTCTACTGGTTGTATCATAAAATTTTCCATTCTAATGCCACCATTTCCATGTATTACACTTACCATAACTATATACCAAGGGATATAAATAATGGTCCGTAACCACTTACATCAGCATTATACAATAACAAAGGGCCATAACTATATACAGAGGCATATAAATGATGGTCCCTAACCATTTATGTCAGTATTATACAAAAAATAAAGGGCCATAACTCTATACAGAGGCATATAAATGATGGTCCATAGCCATTAACATCAGTATTATACAATATAATAAAGGGCTATAACTCTATACAGAGGGATATAAATGATGGTTCCTAACTATTAACATCAGTATTTTACAATAACAAAGGGCCATAACTCTCTACTGAGGGATATAGATGATAGTCTCCAACGATTTAATTTTGTATTCAGCAACGCTGTATTAGACAGTAACATAAGGCCATAACTCTACACAGAAAAATATATTTACAATATATATATATGAGAGTCCCCAACCTCTTAGTTTAGTGCACATTAATAACAAACTTCATACAGTGAGATATTTATAATGATAATACATAGATCCATATGTAAAGATTCTACATCATTATATACAACAATAACATACCGCTTTCTGGTGGTTGTCGATTTCTCTGCAGCTGCCTGATTTCATCTAACGTTATGCTGTCATCTTTGAACAATCCCCCATGCATTACCTATCACAAAGAATGTGTATCTCACAGTATAGTCACGTATACCACATGTATGATAAGAACAAATATTTAAAATTCTAGCTCCCATATTCAGGAGCATTATTATTGTGTGTAAAAACACTGTAAAGAGGAAAAAGTCATTTGTAACACACATGATGATACTCTATCATAATAAAATAATTAAAGTGGTGGAATTAAACTAATATTCAGTAGTTATTACAAGAATTTACTATAATTTGTTGTTGATAGTGACACAGGGACATGTAAACTTACCAGAATTTTGTTGTTGATACAGTGACACAGCGGTAGCCAGTTAAAGACTTCAGTGAACAAGTCTGCCATTTGGGCAGTGTATGTTGAAAGTGTTAAGGAAATGTTCTTACACTAACAGATTTACAATATAATCAGGTCTTGATGACTTTAAAAACAACTTCAACATCCAGTAAATGTCTTCTTTTGATTTTCTTAAGGAATATTTTACTTTTCAACTATTTAAAAAGGTATATCTATTGCTGAACTTGACCCCTGGGCAAGGTGGAAAAATATTTTAACTCAACTGCCATATCAGAGACACATACTTTACAAATGAAGATAAAGTTATGGCATTGCAAAAGTCAAATTTGAAACTAGACAATATGAAAAACTACAGTCCTCCATCAACACACCACCTCACCAATGTGAACTCATATACCTAGTATGAAGTTCAAAAGACTTGTGGTGAAAGGAGATACAGTCTGGACAAATATTTTCTTTGATGTAGGTCAAAGGTCAAAATATAGGTCAGAGTGACCAGAGGTGACCTGCTTTTGACACACAACACACAGCCTTATCAAGGTGAACCAATACACTGAATATCACCATATTAGCCCATTCTGGCATTGTTCTTCATCATCAGTGGTCAGTCTCTCCATTTGTACAATTCTGTATAAAATTGTGAGATTCTGCCACAAAGACAGGAATCACTTACTGACTGACTTAGAGACCTGCTATATACAAAGGATATTTTGATTTTACCTCTCCTTCAAAGCCATACATTTGGTTCATAGTGTAGCTCTCATGGTTGCCTAGGAAACGAGAAACAATTTATATATAATATATAAACACTGTAGAGAAATCCTATGTATGAACGGTAATTTTGATCTTAAATTTCTCAAAATTTCATTGTTAAATCAAATGAATCCATCCAAAATGACAAGATTGAGTCATGAAAACAATACATAGCAATTGGTATTGGAAAGTTACAAAACATTACACAACAGACACTCATGAGGATAGAGCTTTTCAATATAAATTTAAGATTTACATTTAAAACTCGAGAATGGTTTAGACAGGCTCCAGAGTTATATAATCTTGAATTGACCACCGACAAAAGCTGAAGCCATATTTACACTCATCGATAGTCTCCCTCTGTTGGAAGTACACTGATTCATTGCTTACATACAAACAAGATAAAACAAGGTTTTTTTACTATGTTTGTTCCATTCTTATCATTCCTACTTACCTCTGGCCATGAAGAAGTGGTTTGGGTAAAGCAGTTTAAAACTAAACAACAGAAGAATACATTCTACTGAAAAGGAACCTCGATCCACAAAATCGCCATTGAAAAGCTGGAAACAATATTAAGGAATATTTATGAAGAATCAAGGATTTGTAAATAATGACTTCCTTACTTGGGTAGATAATCTATCAACAAAATCTGATAAACAGCTATAAGATCTACGATCTATATCAATGTCTATATATATCCACTACGTCATCCTACTGTATTGTAGTTTTTGCATTTTTTTTTTAATTGAATCGGGGATTCTAGTATCAAAGCAGGACCATAAACTAACCCTTTCAAACAACACTTATCTAAAAGACAAAAGAAATTGCTTTGTAGAATTTCAATCTGACTTGACACAAACATCTGATGTCTATCATGGCTTCAGCCAAAGGATACATATGGATTTTTCTCAGAAGGAAGTCCATTCAATTCAAATATGTTAAGTAGATCATAATACTGTCCATGTATATCACCACATATTGTGAACTTCTCCCCCTGAAAAACAGAGAAACTATTTTATTCTCATAATCATCAAAGTTAAGAGTGGACTTACATTTTAATATCAATTGCTCTCACTACATTTTTTAACACTTTAATATGTGTAATGATATATTAAAATACATGCATGAATCCAGGACATACTGTGATACAAAAAAGGCTGAAAATCAATTAAAACTTTCAGGGAAGAATTTGATAATCAAGACAGTTTTTACCTGAAACCATCACTTCAGTCTATCTATTATAATAAAAACGTGTTTTATTCCACAGCTGAGGCTCTGCCTTGTATGTTCTGGACATTGGTTTACTTAATACATGTACTTACTGCTGGTACTGTGATGTCAACTAATGCAGGCTGGTTCATAAACAATTTCTTACACTCCAGGATAATCTGAAAATATGACAAAGTGATGACTGATGTAAAGTAAAACTAAAAGTCTTGTTGCTTCCTAGACTTATTTATGTACACACAGGTATATAATGTGTCATGGTAATCAGGACAAAACGATTTTTTAATGGTAACAAGAACCCAAAACCCTTACATCAGGGACATTACAGGCAGTGAAGAGGTACACCAGAAAAAGATCCATGCCAACAATTTTGAACTACACAGTACATGTCTCTTCTTACAACTTACCCCCTATACTTTAATACTGTTATTGAGATTTTTTTTTTCAATTTTCACAATCATTTAACATTATCAAAGTGAAAACAAAATGTTGTTTCATTCTTTAATGGGCATGGCTTATCAAATGATCTATTATCAGCAAATCAGCCATACAATCAAACTGTGGTATACCTGGTATGCATGTTTTCTATGTAAACTTTTCTGATCTTTGAATGTTGCCATGAGTTCTTTGACAAATTGCTCTGTAACTGTTCCATTCTGAAAGTTTGGTCCAGTATAGTCATCATCAATACCTGATAGAAAACAAATCAGATTGGTAAGTCTTTGTTTAAACAGTGCAATAAATATATAGGTATACCCGTGAACAATGGTCACTGTTGTATCACTTTAATGTATTTTCTGGATTATCAGCTGCACCTTTTTTCCTTGAGGGTCGGGCATGCGGTTTATGATATGAATGGTTTTGTGTGACTTACAAGAAATAATATGGGACTACAGGAATTTGGTCAGTATGCAATAGCCTCCGTTAATATTTAACAATACAGATACAGATGGAGAGATTGTTAAGTAAACTGTGGGTAACATAAGGCCTTATATTTATGCATAAACAATCTATGAAGGCGCCCATGCCAAATGAGTTTGATATTTGCTATTTCACTTTTTTGAAATAAATCAATAAAATAAAGGATTATCTGTGTATAATTCATTTGCAAACTTAATTAAAAATTTCACTGGCCATCTTGATAAATTGCTCTCCATGGTCATCAAACATATCAACAAACTTTGGTTAATGTAATGTTACCACTTCTTAAGAAAGAGTGTGGCTTATATTCCAGTGCGACTGATATGTGGACCAAATACCCAAAAATGGTAAAAATTGACTCTGTGGCTTATATACATGTGCAGCTTAAAACCCAGAAAATATGATACTATGATTAGTTTGTATGGTGAATACAAACCGTACATATTATATCTTTTTTACAATTACCTCTTGTAAATTCCAACACTAGAATCACAAATGTGATTCACACAGTGTGCAGACGTATTAAAGATGGTTAAGTCTAAGCAAGGACATTTAAGATGTGATAATGGCCTGAGAAAAATACTATTTTTAATGAACAGACATCTTCCAAGTACCTTTAATAAATACACTGAAATCTTTCCTTCAATTTTACTAAGGTTAATAAACCAATTCGTCCTTTTGTTTGATTAGAGTCTGTTTGAAATAACACCAGGCTTGTTTAAAATTTTCACATAAAAAACAAAACTCAGATGCAATGCTTTGTTACTTATCCTCTTGTCTGTGAATGGTTTTCAAGGGTGCATTTTAGCAAAGAGAATGAACAAGTTAAAAATTGTGTATCTTTTCCTTATTGCATCATCAACACACACACAACAAACAAAACAGTAATAAAAGAAATGGTTATCTAGTATTTATCCATCTTACTCATTGCAGCCAGGTCAATCTGCTCTGCCACAGATTTGCTATCCTCAACTGATATGGCCTTCTGAAAAGCCATCATGCGTACTATCTTCTGACATTCGTTGAACTTTGCCCTTGCATCTTTGTTGTTTGGACGAACCTTTACTACCTATCAAAACAAGGAAATCCTCTTTCATACAGATCTATTCAGGATTGTCATATTATTATAAATCACTGTCCATATAGTGTTGACAACTACCGGTAATCAAAATTATCAAATAATATAGACAGGTTCAGGCAGTTCAGAAAAAGTAAACTACACATATACCTGTGTAAAGCAATTAAAAAAAAAATGGGGACAACAGATCATGGTTTTCTGTAGCTGGTAGCGAAAAGCAAGAACACCCACAGATCAACAAAGGCTTTGTTGGGTTTCTAACTATTTACTCTGTGCTGAACAAGCCCATGTCCTGAGGATACAAATGTAAGAATATCGCTGTGTGATTTTTACATTTCTGGATTTTGATATTTTCTGGAAAATATAAAAGTGTCATCAGACTGACAGACAGACATCATGATACTATAAGGCAAAGGTACATGCACCACAAAGCTCTGACAAAAACTTACGGTCTCTAGATCTCTGAGTGCTAGCTTGTATTTTCCCAGGGACATGTTGGCAGATGCTCGTCGGTAATAGGCCTACAACATGAACAATACAATAAGTGACTGAGAAATGATATAAACAAAATAAGAAACTTCGTTTATTCTCTATATTTACAAAGTTTACATGTAAAAGACAATGACAAAATGTAATGTCACTATATCAATTGCATACCTTAATATAGGACCTGTCAAGCTGCAGGGCACGGCCAGCATCATTTAAAGCATAACCAAAGCACTCTGTTCGTAGGTAGGCAAAGCTCCTATTGCAGAAGTATGTAGCTACCTCTGGGTTCAGTTCTATTGCTTGTGTGTAGAATGTAATTGCTTGATTATAATCTTCATCTGAATAACAAAAAAAAAAAACAACATCAAATTAGACATCAGTAAGACAGAACAGAAAAATACTCATTAATTAGAGCAACATGCCCTCCATCTTTATCGGGAAGGATCACTTTACAGATTAACTTTAACATTTATGTGAATCTAAAATGTTGGACTTAATGTTACACTGGGCACTGAATGATAAAAGGTTAAAGTTCTGCAAAATAAATTCACCAGTCATTAATCACTATGATTCTTCTGTAATACCCAGAAATCACTCCAAACAGAGTGAACAAAGAAAGAATGAGAGCTAAATCCTTAATGGGTAAATTATCTGTCAAAATACATGGGAAAAGTGTACTATAAACTTTTGATAACAACTCTTTATATTAAAACCATTTCAGGGAGGCTTCAGTCCAGGTTTTAGATTTATTTACTTTGGAACATTTTTATAGACATCTGATAGTATGTTAGTGATGAACCTAAATTAGAGAACTTTTAGACAGTATCATTTTTATTGCTTATTTGATAATCAGTAATGATGCTCAATTTAGCTACAGTGTAATATTTTATAGATATTTAGTACCCATAGTAAATGATGAGAATCAATTTAGCTACAGTGTAATATCTTTATAGATATATAATACCCTAGCTAGTGATAAGCCTCAATTTACTACAGTGATATTTTTAGATATTCAATACCCTAGTAAGTGATAAGCCTAAATTTAGCTACATTGCTTCGTTTTTATAGATATCTAATGTTAGTTGGTGATAAGCTCAGATTAAGCTACTTTATAAGTAATGTTAGGGATGATCTGTCTATTATTACAAGTCAATTTATTATTGAAAAACCATATAAAATTAAACATGGGATCCAAGCATGACCTTGGTGCCTGCATTGTTTTGTCTTTATTTGTTCTTAAAAAGTTGGATCTTTCTCCTTTTTCTCTCTTCTCTTTCCTCTTTTAAAGCTCTAAATCATTTAAATTCTAAATTGCTGACAATAATAGTGATGATAATCTATAACTGTCCCATCAAATATGATCTCCTGTTAGCCATTTTTTTTTATCAATCACACAAATTAAAAGAGCATAATTGCATATCAAGTTTTCGTTCTTTTCTTTTTAGCAGAACATAAGTGCAACACATAATGCCTGCATGTATATGACATTAATACCACTGTTTAATTTTTTTCAATACAGGTGATCTGGCTTGATTCTTACATATTATTGACAACTTGTAAACCATAGGTTTGCAATAATAGGCAAATTTTGCAGTTATTTGTTTTGGTGAATTCCAAGCTATCACAGTTCTAGTTGTTTCCAAATGTACATGGTTTTTGTAAACCAGACACAGGCAATTTTATCCGAGTATGAACAAATGTGACAAATAGCATTGTCACCTTTATATTTAGGGCACGCATAGTAGAACTCGGTTCACTTCAACTTCAAATACAACTAAGACACCTGGATACATCGTATTCTGTATGTTTAGAATTATCATAAGTACATGTAGATAAAGTACAAACAGATAAATAAGTTCATGGGAAAGGACAAAGCCAATAAAAACAGAGTGTCATAAACACATCTGCACTCTTGAGAGTCAAAGCTCTGTCTGCTTACACAAAGGAACACTACTCACGAAGTCAACTTTCATACTAGTGGCCTCTTGACTTACACACTCTAAAACCCATTACAAAACACAATACAAGTCCACTCGTCAGACATTCGACCCACAAACTACGACTCGTCACACAGGTATACGGACCAGTTGTACAGGTTACATGGTTAAAAAATGGATCACCAACCTGGACAACTGCACAATACGAACACTACAATAAATATCAGCATTTACTCACGCATGCATTCATCATTCAGACAACATAATCATAAGTTCGTGACAGTATTATTAATTAAAGCTAGCGTTTTGACTGTTTCGCATAATTACTATATCTTGTTATTCACTATCAATGAGTGGTCAGAAGTCTTCGTTTATTTTCCTCACTTGACCGGAGTTTTGACTTCCATTGTTTCGATCGACGTGTGAGTCGATATAACACCAAGATAATTCGTCAATCGGACAGGCGAGTTATTAGTGTATTATCGTATACGTATACAGATTTTGGGTTCGATATTAATTGCAAAAAGTAATAACTATGACAGAAATAATTAGAGTATTTCCGGTCAAGTGGTTATGAAATGAAAGTATCGTTATCGTTACTTGATCCGGATGTTACTCAACGATATTTCGATAAGCACATGACCAGAGTCAGAAATTAAAATGAAGATTATGTCATCAAGTGTACTTTTAAAAAACTCGTTAGCCTTTTCCTTAAGTTTTTCTGCCTCTTTCACTTTATCTTCTGCATCTTCAGTAACTGTAACAATAAGCTCAGGTGAAGACTCCTCTTTGATGATCTTCCCGTCACCATCTGCGTTCGGCATGTCTGAGTCCGCCATTGCTACATAGTTACCCAAGAGAGTTGCAATCAAGGGAGATAATCAATGAATGCGCTAATTCATGAATTGGCGGGAATGTATATTACATTTGATTATATTACTTAATTAAATCTTATATTTACCTAAAGTTTCATTGATATACTGGGCGATGAATAATATAACAGCTCAAAAGTTCACGTTGATTGATTAATTAAACGGCCTGTAAAAGGTTTCAGCAAGAATACAAAGCAACCAGTCTTGATAGACGCTTTATGTCCACTCGGTACGTATATGTTGTCATAAACGTCTCGTGGGTCTTCATTGGTGCGATGTTGTTCGTCTTCCCTTGAACCCTCCAAGTGCTCAGTTTACAAGTATTACAGCTAATTAAAGGAGATCCCAATGTGTTGTTGTCCTTGGTGAAATAGTAATATGTGTCCTTTGCCGCAATTACTAATTACTAATGATGAGTGCAAGTGATGTGCTAGGAAATATCCTTCATGTAAAAATGGGACAGCTTATTTTATCTCGTTAAAAAATACATGTTTGTTCATCTGTTGATGTGACTTAAACACAAAAAAGTGACGAGAATAACTGCAATATTTAATGTGTTAGCTTAGAAAGCTTTTTATTGCGTGGAGTCATCTAATAGCATGGTGTTTAGTTGGTTGTATGTTTGTGTGCTGTTTTGATTCAACGGTGTGAGATTCTAAATTTCAGGTATTGGTGTTGTGTTTGCTTTTTTAAATCCTATATCCAGTGTTGAATAAATAGTTCTGTATAAAAATGACCAAGAACTGTTTATCTCCATTGCCCAACCTAATAGGGTTCCGTATGCTACAAGCCAGGGTAGAACCAAACTGCAAACCAGTCCTTGACCGTTGTACCCCGAGGTTCCCTTTATGTCTTATCTATACTGGACGTTGAGCCTTAAATGTGGATTTTGTTTGTGTAATTTTCTTCCTTTTTAGTCGTTTGTTGAACAAATAATAAAAACTGTGTGTTGTTTTATTTATGTGTACAGTTTTGACAGCGAACATTCTGCTCGGAAAACCCCGGGGGACACAACTGCCTTCGCTGTACGTGTAGACAATTTTACAAATGTGAGTGCGGTGGTGGGGCACAGAGGAGGACACAACATACCTCATGTTGTGTCAGTATGCACCAATGAATGAGAGGATCAGTAGTAATCCTCTCTGATGCATTCTCCATGGGTATCCTGGTAATCGTACCTATTGAGCGTAGTAATGTGTAGGTTTCGGTTGTTTGGGAATTGTCTCCCTTCGATCTTTCTCAGAAATTCGACGGACAGTCTATGTACTGGTCTTTCGTTTTAATATGATGTTAAAACCTGGCTGATGAATGTATATTGGATCTTAATTCTTTTGACTTCGAAACTGAGATCTTTTCTTTCCCAGTCGAATCTTTTGCAATATAGGAAAATGTGATCTATTGTCTCTTCTGTTTTACAATGAGTACAATCCGGTGAGATATCGTTAATAAATACACCGATGTTACTTTTTGATTTCGTGTTTCCTAATCTTAGACTTGTAATGACAATGTATCTTATTTATTTTGTCCTTATGGTTTTGATTTAGTAATAGGTTGATCTATAATTTGCCCCAAATTTTTCCATGTTTCTGACCATTTATTACTGATTTGTTGACTGATAATAGAACATACTTTTGTCTTAGATAATTTCACCTTGCATGCTATTGTGTTTTTCTCAAGAGCTTTTTTCGTCTAGGTCATCAGCTTTTTCATTTTCAGGCGTATTGACTTATGATATTAAAAACTTAAATTTACCTCAATTCCCTGTAGTTTTAATTTTTTAACTAAATTTAATATACAACTGATTACGTTTGGCCTTGCACTATTTCTCGTTTGCATTGATTGTAATGACGAAATGCCATCTGTAAGAATTACCACTCTATGGACGTTTTGATGTTAATAAGTCTAAGTGCTAATTCTATAGCAATGATTTCACGAATCTGAGTGATAAAGCGATGTTGTTTTTTCCGGAGTAAATACATAACCCTGCTTTGTTCATTTGTCAATTTATTGGTCCGTCAGTATAATATTTGGTATGATAATTATATTTCTCGTCAATTGTGGATAATGAAATTGTCTTGCTTCAATCGGATTTTCCTGTTTGTCAAGTTTGTCTAAAATTTCTGTGCTAATTCCCGGAGTGTGTAATTTCCAGGGCGGGGTTGGATTTGGAATATAATTTCTTCAATTTTAACTTGGTCTAAATTGTGTCCGACGAGAAGTTGGTTTGTTACATGGTGGTTTAGTGTGTTGTTTTAATTTGTCTCTATATTAAATGTTCTTAGCTTGTTCTAATATAACATTAGGTGGAAATTCAGGTCCTAGAGTTTGAGTTCTACCCCAGCATTTTCATATCAATTTAAGTTCTCTCCTAAGTTTTAATGGTAACTCACCAGTTCCCGCATGCAGACATAAGGTGTTTCTTTTTCGTTGCGCCTGTTGCTATTCTGAGTGCTTTATGATGTATTATATCTAGAGTTTTTAGGTGTTATCTGAGACCGGGTTATAAATTTGACATCCATTATCTATTTTTGACCTAATTGATGCACCGTATATCTTTAAAAGGTTTATTTTTTGTGTCTAGTCTGTTTCATGAAACGTAAATCATTGTGCTTAAAGCTCGTTTACAATTTTCTTTGATGCTATCTATACGGGATTTCCAGGTTAATGTTTGGTCAAATACCATTTCCAAATGCTGTTTTTGAAACAAATTTGATTATTTGGTCGCCCAAGTAGAGCTCTGGTGTTTTAGTTTTTCTTGTAAACGACATAGCTACTGTTTTGTCTTTTGAAACTTTAAAATCTAGTTATCAGCCCATTCCTTTACGGTATCATACATTCTCTATATGATTGTATCATTGTGTGACATAACTTCACGTGCGCCGAATGCTGGTGTCATAGTCAAACTGTCCTATCTTCCATAGATTGTGTTGTTTATCTAATTTGTTTATATATATCTATATTAGAATAACTTAATACGACACCTCGAATTAAGCATTATCGCGAATTGTCAAATGTTCGAGGAAATATTTGTTTTTTGCCTCGAAAATTTGACAATATTCTTTGAATAAGGTGGGAGATATCACACTACCCTGTGGGCTCCATTCTCTAAGATTATTTCATCAGGATCTTCACTGTTTGTTCTAACCTGTATTTTCCTATATTTTTGAAAGTTGGTTATGAATTTAAACATATCCCCTGGCAAAAGACCCTCATGCCAAACCAGGTCATAAACTTTTTCTAAATCTAAGAATTCTGCCAAAGTATTATGATTTGAACTTATGGTGCTTTTAATATCAGAAGGTAGCCTAACTGATGAATGAAGGGTGGGTCTATGATTCCGGAAACCGCTTTTACTTGTCATGTTATTGGTAATTAGGTAGTGCTCTGTTATTTATCATTGTTTCTGCGGTTTTACACAAGTGGGATGTTAAGGATATTTGTCTATATGATACCGGATCTTCTTTATCCTAACCTGGTTTTCGTATCAGAATAACAGTAGCACCATTCCATGAGTCTGGGTCATTTCCTTTTTCCTAAATAGTGTTAATTAAATCCCAAATAATGTGATATATGTTGTTGGGGTGTTCTTTTAGTATGGTATATGATGGTTTGTCTATACCGGGTGATGTACTTGTTTGCTTTTTAGTGTTCTAAAATATTCCTCAAGGCTAAATGGGATGTTTAGATCTGTATCATTTGGTCCTGTGTTTATTATTATTTTATTTCTGTGACGTTTTTTATTTTTGTTTTTCAAAATTTTTTCTGTGCAGTTGTTTTTGCAACTGGCGTTTTGGAATTGTTTTGACCAAAATGTTTGCTTTTTATGTTTGTTTTTCCTTCCGTGTTTTGACTAGAATGGGAATATCTGTTGGAGGAATGCCTTGTATGACTTTGATTTTATTCCAAACTGTACTAGTACTGGTTTTATCATTAAGGAAACCACATAATTCTAACCAGGGACGGCCCTGTTCTAACCATTGCTTCTCTTCGTGCTTATCACAAGTTTTGTTATATTTACTTTTAGGAATTTTCTAGGTTTTTTTTTTTAACATTTTGTTCCGAATTGTCATTTTTGAACATGTCTTCCCATCTATGTTTTATTATTTTTAACGAATCTACCAATTACAGTACCTTATATAGTTCGGTTAATGGGCGTGGCAGAAGCGGAATTTTGCTGTGTTCTTTTCGCGAATTAGATATTACCCAAGATGGCTGGCGTTGCGGTAAGTACATTAAGTGTGCCAAATGTAAACTTTTTATTTCACATATAATTAGTGTGGTTCAGAAGTATTTATGTTGATCTATGTTTTAAGATGTTCTGAGAATCTTTCAGTGTGGTTGTAAATTAAACAAAACATTACAATTAACACGAGAGAGTAACTTATAGCAGTGTACTTTCACTTTCAAAAGTTCTAAAAGTTTTCACACAGTAACCATGTTGAGTTGTCGGACACCAAGTGTCAGACCAGATCGTGTTAATTTATCTATCTTGGAAGTAGTGCATCATAAATTTAGGGGAACGTATGATATCTGTGTACTCTTTATTGCCACAACACTGTACAAAATCAGAATAACATTATTTAAGTCTTGTCAGCTCAAACTTAGAATATGGAGCAGTTATCCGGTACCCCGACACAACCAAAGAGATAACAAAATATAGAAGCATACAAAGATGAGATGCAAAATTCATAACAATAAACTTCAACCCTAGAGAGGAAGGAAGCATGACCAAAATGTTACAAGACATTCCTAAGAAGACCACACCATGGTCACATATTCCTCTATAAAGGAAAACTGTGAAACATCCAACATTGTTACATCATCAGTAGGAAACGACAGTAAATCAGTGGTCATTCAGCATGGCAAAACTTAACAGTACAGAAATTCTCATGTGCACTCTGTTATTGACTGGAACCATCCAGAAGACAGTCTTGAGCACTGAGGTAGAGTCTTTCAAGCTTGCCCTTGTGAGGCACTGCTATTAGAGCACAGCTCTAGAGAGATCTCACTTCATCATGTCATAGCCCAGCTGGGAGTCTATGAGGTACCAATAAAGATACATGCAGGTCAAAATTCATACAAGAATTTCAGTAATGATATGTATCAATACCTGATGTATGAAATATCTATGGATTGATAGAAAATTCCCTACACCCAAAACTGGCAGAGTGACCTGAACTCTCGTCTTTCAGACAACTGTAAGCCTTCAAAGAGGAATCTTAGAACCACTTTCTCCCATAGAAATGAAAGTTCACTTCCATGCTTTCTGGTAAGGGGGCGTCAGAAAAACTAGGATAGCCTGCTGTCCTCAGGACATCACAGTCTTTTTCACTGTTATTTAGCTGTTAAGATGTGTGCTGTCCTATTTTGGGGCTGGCTGAGAAAACAAAGTTGCCATCTTTGATTTTGTTAGTTATACTTTGTTATCACTATTTCTTAAAGAGATGGATGATTTTCAAATTTCATTCAATATGTAGGTTCTGCTTGGTGGTCAACAGACCTCCATTTGGATTTTGGCAATAATTCTGGTTTTCTCTATTTCTTGAAAAGTAGAAGATAGATCATATTCAGACTTATTTTTTGGGTTCCTCATAGTCCCTAGTTATGCTTTGAATGATTTTGGAAGTGATCTGGAAAATGATACGGCAAACAGGCAGCCATCTAAACTATTGACAGTAATAGTTTGTTATCAGTATTTCTGGAAAAGTTTTTGATGGATCATTCTCAAATGTCATAAGTAGGTCCACCTTGATCTCTTTTGTCCATAGTGTAAAATTTTGAGATTGACTGGAAAGTCAAGATGGCAGACATCAGAAAACCAGAATTTCTGACAGGTGGCCTTCTTGGATTTTGATTAGGAAAAATTGTCAGTACTAGTATTGAAAGGTACTGGATGGATCTTTTTTTAAATTTCATTTGAAGGTTCCCCTTTGTCCTTAGTTATGTACTGTTGATTTTGGGACTGATCAGGAAAACAAAATGGCCAACAGGTAGCAGATTGGGATTTGACAGCAAAAGATTATTATCACTATTTTGTATGAGGACTTTTTCAAATTTCATACAATAAAGAACCAAGAGAAGAGAAAAGAAGGGAAAAGATCCAACATCTTAAGACCAAATAAAGACACAAAAAAAGTTGGACACCAATATTCTTTCTAGATGTCTTACTTCCGTTGTAACTACTTTTTTTCTCAATATATAACACAAAAATCATCGTGATACACAGGAATAACATATGTTTTACTTTGTGTGTGGTGTGCATTATTGTTCTACTAGATGATTATAATTATAAAACACAAAGCCTGAAAGTAAAATGTGAACATCTGTTTTAGTACAATACAGAAATAGAGGAGAGTGAGAAAGAACCTATTTACCCAAGAGACCATGATCATGGTGACCTGGAGGGGGAGGACAGTAAGTGTTGAATAATAAACCACACATTACACAAACAAGGTGACCTGGAGGGAACAGACTGGAAGTATCACCCAACAAATGGCATAATACACAAATAAGGTGACCTGGAGGGGGCTGACAGGAAGTATCACATAATAAACCACACATTACACAAATAAGGAGACCTGGAAGGGGAGGACAGTAAGTTTCGCATAATAAACCACACAATACATAAACATGGTGACCTGGAGGGGGAGGACAGTAAGTGTCACATAACAAACCACACAATACACAAACATGGTGACCTGGAGGGGGAGGACAGTAAGTGTCACAAGGGGACAGACAGGAAGTATCACCCAACAAACCGCACAATACACAAATAAGGTGACCTGGAGGGGACAGACAGGAAGTATCACATAATAAACCACACATTACACAAATAAGGTGACCTGGAGGGGACAGACAGGAAGTATCACCCAGCAAACCACACAATACACAAATAAGGTGACCTGGAGGGGACAGACAGGAAGTATCACATAATAAACCACACATTACACAAATAAGGTGACCTGGAGGGGACAGACAGGAAGTATCACCCAACAAACCACACAATACACAAACATGGTGACCTAGAGGGGGCGGACAGTAAGTGTCACATTAATAAACCACATAATACACAAACATTGTGACCTGGAGGGGGAGGACAGGAAGTATCGCATAACAAACCACGCAATAAATAATCATGGCGACCTTGAAGGGGCTGACAGTAAGTGTCACATAACAAACCCACATACTACACAAAAATGATGACCTGGAGGGGGCAGACAGGAGATTGTAGACAGTAAGTATCACCCAACAAACCACACAATACACAAACAACCTGCAGCACATAGCATAACACATAGTAACAAATCTGCAAATTAGCAACCAGAATGTGAAATAATATGCACACAAAATACACAAATAACATCACATTACAACAGAGAGAACAATTGAAAAGTGAAATAAAAGATTGACAAGAAATGTTAACAATTGAAAAGTCAAATAAAAGATTGACAAGAAATGTTAAAGTAATAATGAAGAAAATCTAGACAACATTACGTAGACAGTATATAGCTGATAGGGAGAGGTTAAAACAAGTTATTCCTTTATTATAAAAAGTTTACTATTGTACCGTATATATCTGGCAAGCCATGCCTACTGTTGTTCAGTCAAGCTCCTGATGAATATTTGTTTTTGTTGAGCATTTGGAAGCCTCTGGGCTGTATGTAATCCTCTTGAAAGAAACAAAGAATTCAATAATTGTTGTAAAATCAGGTGATTCTCTGTTGGCAGTAAAATCTATGTATGGTTTTCTGGGTTTAATACACAGTAATGTAAAAGGTAATTTAAAACATAAACATATTGTTGCTGTGAATCCATGAACGCTGTTCATCTGTTACAGCTGTGGAGATGGTGATATGGTTGCGGGACAGGACAGGCCTTCACTTGGAACTACAAGGCAATGGTCACCAGGCAAAAGTCTCAGAACTTTTTCAGAAGATACAGGAGTCGCGCAACCTGCCAGAAAACGCTCATACAATTTTTTCATTGTGGATGGTGTCACCCTTATTAGGTACAAGTGATTATGTATGATATTCTCCAACTTTGTATGATCAAAATGTAGTATTGTATCTTTCTTGAGAATGAACTAAGACATAGGATATTGTTTTAGTACCCATTCTTCATGTCATTGTTCTTTTGTAATAGAAAGGAGTAAAGAAAAACATACCTTGCCCCCATTTGGGTTCGAACCAGCAATATTTTGATTTTTAGCTAGACACTCTTCTGCCTGAGGGAAATGAAATTTCTACTAGCCAAGGTTAGGAAAGTGACTTGAACTCATTGGTTCTACTTTATTCTCTCAATTCATCTTTAAGATGCCCACAACCTATGTTTGATAAAGAAGCATCTCAGTCTCCTGTGGCTTCTACCCTTTGAGAGGTCAATGGAACCAAAGATGTAATTATGAGGATTAACAAATATCAGGCCACTATAGCCTTCACTTCAAAGTTAAAGGTCAGAAAAGTGAAATTTCATCCATCATTGAAATTGTGACTTTCTCTTCAAGGTGAAATGGTTAAAAAATGCATAACAATCAATATATTCTTTTCTATGTCATAACTTTCACACTATCAGCAACATCTTGAAACTTAAAGCTTAACTGTATATATATAACCCACAGGTTGTGTGCAGTGCACTAGAAATAGTCACTGTGACCTTCACCACAAAGTGTGCATTATATTCTGGTCTGGAACTGAACTCTGAAACATTCAAAGACGGTATGATACATCAGAGATGACTGGAATTAAGTGAACAGTCACATCATATTACTGTAATTCAAGATAATGACATCAGAGTCTAGTTGTTCTGCACATCAAATATATTTGTGGTAAAGAAGGGAAAAATATAGAAATTTCTTTTTAAAGGTCTTTGAAATACATTTTTTAAGTATTTTTAACTTCCTTGCCTGAAGGACAAGTTAGTTATACCAAGGAACCTCATTCATTTTTGAGAGTCCAAGGTTACCTTTTCCCTTTAAATGACTTTTTCACTACTACCTAAATGTGCAGGGTCATTATAATGGCCTGAAAGTATGCTTAGATGAAGGGCAATGGATTTTGTTTAAGTTTGTTCAGATGAATGACATTGACCCTTTTTCAAGATCAGAGAGGTCAAATGTGTCGGGTTATTACACAATTTCTCCATTTCCATGAGACCCTGTGTTTTGCTACTCATTACGAAGGAGTATGTTTGGGATGTAATTAACCAGAATAGCTGTCTTAGCTACATAGCAAAGCAGGCACTGTAGGTCTCTAAAATCATAAATAGCACTGGTACTGGTAAACATAATTATTTTAACAGTAGTTTGATTTTAGCACTTTTTGCACTGCACGAATTCATGTACAGCATTAATTTTAAAATCAAAATAGGCCATGTATGTATCCTGTTATACCACCCTACCATTGTACAACAGCCCAACAAACATTAGTAACTTAGAACAAAGTCTTTGGGAATTATTTCACATTTATTACCCAACACCATCAACTGCATTAATTCATGTCCAAGATAACAAATTAAACTGAATGGTTTTCTGTGTGCTAAATTTTAACTGCACTGAAATAAGTTCTTTTACACTAGTCATAAATTGGACCCATTTAACAACAAATGCACTCTATCCAAAGTCATCGCTGAGCGATAATTTTTTTTCATCTCTATTGTTTTATTTCTAGAATTTCGACTGAAAGATGACCATCAGCCATTTGAAATTGCTCAACTCTGGGACAGGTTTTGTTTGGAGTATGCAGATAGCTCAATGGATGATATTGCCAGAGGTAAGTTTTGTATGGAGTTTGTGGGTAATCTGAGGGATGAGGCTGTCAGAGGTAAGTTTTGTATGGAGTTTGTGGGTAATCTGAGGGATGAGGCTGTCAGAGGTAAGTTTTGTATGGAGTTTGTGGGTAATCTGAGGGATGAGGCTGTCAGAGGTAAATTTTGTATGGAGTTTGTGGGTAATCTGAGGGATGAGGCTGTCAGAGGTAAGTTTTGTATGGAGTTTGTGGGTAATCTGAGGGATGAGGCTGTCAGAGGTAAGTTTTGTATGGAGTTTGTGGGTAATCTGAGGGATGAGGCTGTCAGAGGTAAGTTTTGTATGGAGTTTGTGGGTAATCTGAGGGATGAGGCTGTCAGAGGTAAGTTTTGTATGGAGTTTGTGGGTAATCTGAGGGATGAGATTGTCAGAGGTAAGTTTTGTATGGAGTTTGTGGGTAATCTGAGGGATGAGGCTGTCAGAGGTAAATTTTGTATGGAGTTTGTGGGTAATCTGAGGGATGAGGCTGTCAGAGGTAAGTTTTGTATGGAGTTTGTGGGTAATCTGAGGGATGAGGCTGTCAGAGGTAAGTTTTGTATGGAGTTTGTGGGTAATCTGAGGGATGAGGCTGTCAGAGGTAAGTTTTGTATGGAGTTTGTGGGTAATCTGAGGGATGAGGCTGTCAGAGGTAAGTTTTGTATGGAGTTTGTGGGTAATCTGAGGGATGAGGCTGTCAGAGGTAAGTTTTGTATGGAGTTTGTAGGTAATCTGAGGGATGAGGCTGTCAGAGGTAAGTTTTGTATGGTGTTTAGAGGTTATCTGAGGGATGAGGTTGTCAGAGGTAAGTTTTGTATGGAGTTTGTGGGTAATCTGAGGGATGAGGCTGTCAGAGGTAAGTTTTGTATGGAGTTTGTAGGTAATCTGAGGGATGAGGTTGTCAGAGGTAAGTTTTGTATGGAGTTTGTAGGTAATCTGAGGGATGAGAGTATCAGAGGTAAGTTTTGTATGGAGTTTGTGGGTAATCTGAGGGATGAGGCTGTCAGAGGTAAGTTTTGTATGGAGTTTGTAGGTAATCTGAGGGATGAGGCTGTCAGAGGTAAGTTTTGTATGGAGTTTGTAGGTAATCTGAGGGATGAGGCTGTCAGAGGTAAGTTTTGTATGGAGTTTGTAGGTAATCTGAGGGATGAGGCTGTCAGAGGTAAGTTTTGTATGGAGTTTGTGGGTAATCTGAGGGATGAGGCTGTCAGAGGTAAGTTTTGTATGGAGTTTGTAGGTAATCTGAGGGATGAGGTTGTCAGAGGTAAGTTTTGTATGGAGTTTGTGGGTAATCTGAGGGATGAGGCTGTCAGAGGTAAGTTTTGTATGGAGTTTGTGGGTAATCTGAGGGATGAGGCTGTCTGAGAGATGAGTCTGTCAGAGGTAAGTTTTGTATGGAGTTTGTTGGTAATCTGAGGGATGAGGTTGTCAGTTTTGGTAAGTTTTGTATGTATGGAGTTTGTGGGTAATCTGAGGGATGAGGCTGAGTATTTGTGTCAGAGGTAATCTGAGGGATGAGGCTGTCAGAGGTAAGTTTTGTATGGAGTTTGTAGGTAATCTGAGGGATGAGGTTGTCAGAGGTAAGTTTTGTATGGAGTTTGTGGGTAATCTGAGGGATGAGGCTGTCAGAGGTAAGTTTTGTATGGAGTTTGTGGGTAATCTGAGGGATGAGGCTGTCAGAGGTAAGTTTTGTATGGAGTTTGTGGGTAATCTGAGGGATGAGGCTGTCAGAGGTAAGTTTTGTATGGAGTTTGTGGGTAATCTGAGGGATGAGGTTGTCAGAGGTAAGTTTTGTATGGAGTTTGTGGGTAATCTGAGGGATGAGGCTGTCAGAGGTAAGTTTTGTATGGAGTTTGTGGGTAATCTGAGGGATGAGGTTGTCAGAGGTAAGTTTTGTATGGAGTTTGTGGGTAATCTGAGGGATGAGGCTGTCAGAGGTAAGTTTTGTATGGAGTTTGTGGGTAATCTGAGGGATGAGGCTGTCAGAGGTAAGTTTTGTATGGAGTTTGTGGGTAATCTGAGGGATGAGGTTGTCAGAGGTAAGTTTTGTATGGAGTTTGTGGGTAATCTGAGGGATGAGGCTGTCAGAGGTAAGTTTTGTATGGAGTTTGTGGGTAATCTGAGGGATGAGGCTGTCAGAGGTAAGTTTTGTATGGAGTTTGTGGGTAATCTGAGGGATGAGGCTGTCAGAGGTAAGTTTTGTATGGAGTTTGTGGGTAATCTGAGGGATGAGGCTGTCAGAGGTAAGTTTTGTATGGAGTTTGTGGGTAATCTGAGGGATGAGGCTGTCAGAGGTAAGTTTTGTATGGAGTTTGTGGGTAATCTGAGGGATGAGGCTGTCAGAGGTAAGTTTTGTATAGAGTTTGTGGGTAATCTGAGAGATGAGGCTGTCAGAGGTAAGTTTTGTATGGAGTTTGTCAGAGGTAAGTTTTGTATGGAGTTTGTGGGTAATCTGAGGGATGAGGCTGTCAGAGGTAAGTTTTGTATGGAGTTTGTAGGTAATCTGAGGGATGAGGCTGTCAGAGGTAAGTTTTGTATGGAGTTTGTGGGTAATCTGAGGGATGAGGCTGTCAGAGGTAAGTTTTGTATGGAGTTTGTAGGTAATCTGAGGGATGAGGCTGTCAGAGGTAAGTTTTGTATGGAGTTTGTGGGTAATCTGAGGGATGAGGCTGTCAGAGGTAAGTTTTGTATGGAGTTTGTGGGTAATCTGAGGGATGAGGCTGTCAGAGGTAAGTTTTGTATGGAGTTTGTGGGTAATCTGAGGGATGAGGCTGTCAGAGGTAAGTTTTGTATGGAGTTTGTGGGTAATCTGAGGGATGAGGTTGTCAGAGGTAAGTTTTGTATGGAGTTTGTGGGTAATCTGAGGGATGAGGCTGTCAGAGGTAAGTTTTGTATGGAGTTTGTGGGTAATCTGAGGGATGAGGTTGTCAGAGGTGTATGGAGTTTTGTGGGTAATCAGAGGTAAGTTTTGTATGGGGTAATGAGGGATGAGGCTGTCAGAGGTAAGTTTTGTATGGAGTTTGTGGGTAATCTGAGGGATGAGGCTGTCAGAGGTAAGTTTTGTATGGAGTTTGTGGGTAATCTGAGGGATGAGGCTGTCAGAGGTAAGTTTTGTATGGAGTTTGTGGGTAATCTGAGGGATGAGGCTGTCAGAGGTAAGTTTTGTATGGAGTTTGTGGAGTTTGTGGGTAATCTGAGGGATGAGGTTGTCAGAGGTAAGTTTTGTATGGAGTTTGTGGGTAATCTGAGGGATGAGGTTTGTGTCAGAGGTAAGTTTTGTATGGAGTTTGTGGGTAATCTGAGGGATGAGGCTGTCAGAGGTAAGTTTTGTATGGAGTTTGTGGGTAATCTGAGGGATGAGGCTGTCAGAGGTAAGTTTTGGATGGAGTTTGTAGGTAATCTGAGGGATGAGGCTGTCAGAGGTAAGTTTTGTATGGAGTTTGTAGGTAATCTGAGGGATGAGGCTGTCAGTGGTAAGTTTTGTATGGAGTTTGTAGGTAATCTGAGGGATGAGGTTGTCAGAGGTAAGTTTTGTATGGAGTTTGTAGGTAATCTGAGGGATGAGGCTGTCAGAGGTAAGTTTTGTATGGAGTTTGTGAGGGGTAATCTGGAGTTTGGGATGAGGGCTGTCAGAGGTAAGTTTTGTATGGAGTTTGTAGGTAATCTGAGGGATGAGGTTGTGGAGTTTGTAGGTAAAGTTTTGTATGGAGTTTGTAGGTAATCTGAGGGATGAGGCTGTCAGAGGTAAGTTTTGTATGGAGTTTGTGGGTAATCTGAGGGATGAGGCTGTCAGAGGTAAGTTTTGTATGGAGTTTGTAGGTAATCTGAGGGATGAGGTTGTATGGAGTTTGTTGGTAATCTGAGGGATGAGGCTGTCAGAGGTAAGTTTTGTATGGAGTTTGTAGGTAATCTGAGGGATGAGGTTGTCAGAGGTAAGTTTTGTATGGAGTTTGTAGGTAATCTGAGTTTTGTATGGATGTAAGAGGGATGAGGCTGTCAGAGGTAAGTTTTGTATGGAGTTTGTAGGTAATCTGAGGGATGAGGCTGTCAGAGGTAAGTTTTGTATGGAGTTTGTAGGTAATCTGAGGGATGAGGCTGTCAGAGGTAAGTTTTGTATGGAGTTTGTAGGTAATCTGAGGGATGAGGCTGTCAGAGGTAAGTTTTGTATGGAGTTTGTAGGTAATCTGAGGGATGAGGTTGTCAGAGGTAAGTTTTGTATGGAGTTTGTAGGTAATCTGAGGGATGAGGTTGTATGGAGTTTGTGGGTAATCTGAGGGATGAGGTTGTCAGTGGTAAGTTTTGTATGGAGTTTGTAGGTAATCTGAGGGATGAGGCTGTCAGAGGTAAGTTTTGTATGGAGTTTGTAGGTAATCTGAGGGATGAGGTTGTCATGGTAAGTTTGTATGGTAGTTTGTAGGTAATCTGAGGGATGAGGTAATGTCAGAGGTAAGTTTTGTATGGAGTTTGTAGGTAATCTGAGGGATGAGGCTGTCAGAGGTAAGTTTTGTATGGAGTTTGTAGGTAATCTGAGGGATGAGGCTGTCAGAGGTAAGTTTTGTATGGAGTTTGTAGGTAATCTGAGGGATGAGGTTGTATGGAGTTTGTAGGTAATCTGAGGGATGAGGTTGTATGGAGTTTGTTGGTAATCTGAGGGATGAGGTTGTATGGAGTTTGTGGGTAATCTGAGGGATGAGGTTGTCAGAGGTAAGTTTTGTATGGAGTTTGTAGGTAATCTGAGGGATGAGGTTGTATGGAGTTTGTGGGTAATCTGAGGGATGAGGCTGTCAGAGGTAAGTTTTGTATGGAGTTTGTAGGTAATCTGAGGGATGAGGTTGTATGGAGTTTGTTGGTAATCTGAGGGATGAGGTTGTATGGAGTTTGTAGGTAATCTGAGGGATGAGGTTGTATGGAGTTTGTAGGTAATCTGAGGGATGAGGTTGTCAGTGGTAAGTTTTGTATGGAGTTTGTAGGTAATCTGAGGGATGAGGCTGTCAGAGGTAAGTTTTGTATGGAGTTTGTAGGTAATCTGAGGGATGAGGTTGTATGGATTTTGTGGGTAATCTGAGGGATGAGGCTGTCAGTGGTAAGTTTTGTATGGAGTTTGTGGGTAATCTGAGGGATGAGGCTGTCAGAGGTATGTTTTGTATGGAGGTTTTAGGTAATCTGACAGATAAGGTTGTCAATAGTAAGTTTTGTATGGAGTTTGTAGATAATCTGATCATGGTAAGATTTTTTGGAGAAGGATCATTGATGACACCTGAAGTAAAAAGATTTGATGATTTAGCTTTTTTGATTTAAGATGAACCTGTTGTGATGGTCCAGAGGAATGTTTTTCTGTCACGGAAGGATGAGAAACTTGTAAGTTATCATGAATAATATGTAGAACATAAGCTTTAATGATGTCAGTTTTTCAATGTAAATCAGTCTTACATTCCGTAGTTACCCTGTAGTTTCGCAGTCTTACAGTCACCATGTGAACAAAGCTGTGAAATGAATGTAACTTAGGGAAATGTTAGTCGTAATATACGAGCAAGGGAGATCTTCTCTTTAATTCAATCAATTGAGCATAACGATAAATCAGATGTCCCAGGTTTAAATTCTGTCAGTGGTATTGAGATAGATAATAACCTCTGGTACATTTATGTTCGTGAGAGAACTAGGGAATATTACTTGTCATAAGCATTGATAAAGACTCAGCTGGAGATGATAAACACTCAGCTAGAGAGAATCCATCTTAATCTTGATCGGTAGAGTGTAAGACTAAAGCCAGAGGTTCCAAGTCCAAATCCTAATGAAAGCATTGAAATAAATGATAATTTCTGTTACATGAAAATTTTTGACCTTATTTCAGCTCTGGGACACAGCACCAGAGGAAGTGATGTCACTCCTGTACCATGAGGCTAAATACAATATCATCAGAGGACGTTATCTCTTATCGGACAGTGATTATGACAATTTGGCAGGGATCCAGGCTCTTTTGGAAAAAGGACCTTTCACTAGAGATTTAGAATCTTACAAGTAAGTTGCAATTTCTACAGCATTTCAATAACACACCATGACATATCACTTGTACTGTTATTTAGAGGTCTGATTTTCTCCTTACACAACAGAAATAAATATATGTATCTTATATTAGTGCAGGTCTTTCTTTACCCAAGTCGAAATAATCACAGATTAAATTTAGTCTGATGATTCTGTTTTACAAGATTGATTGATAATATCAAAATCAGTCTGACTTAAAACAACATTATCATTGTCAATGAAATAACAGTGAAGGAATATATGATTAAGTGTTGTCAGTATAATTTTGTGACTGATGTTGTGACAGGGATGACCTCAAGAACTACTACCCTCATCATCTGTGTAAGAACAAGAAGTTACGAGGACGGAAAGCAGTCACAGCTGAGCGCCTTAAAGAAGCTCATCAGTTGGCATTTAGCAATACTGGGGACATGACGAAACAACAGCTTTGCGGCCAGTATCTAACCATCTGTGCAAAATATCCTTTCTATGGGTAGGTATTAGCATACACCTAGTGGTATTATCAACTTACATACACCTAGTGGTAGGTATCTACAAAGATACACCTAGTGGTATTGTCAACTTAGATACACCTAGTGGTAGGTATTTACAAAGATACACCTAGTGGTATTATCAACTTAAATACACCTAGTGGTAGGTATCAACATAGATACACCTAGTGGTAGGTATCAACATAGATACACCTAGTGGTAGGTATCAACATAGATACACCTAGTGGTAGGTATCAACATAGCTACACCTAGTGGTAGGTATCAACATAGATACACCTAGTGGTAGGTATCAACTTAGATACACCTAGTGATAGGTATCACCATAGATACACCTAGAGTTAGGTATCAATTTAGATACACCTAGTGGTAGGTATCAACATAGATACACCTAGTGGTAGGTATCCACAAAGATACACCTAGTGGTAGGTATCCACACAGATACACCTAGTAGTAAAGGTATGTGAGAGTTAAGTAGAATCTAGATATATGTTCTGTGAAAGTGGTACCCTTCAGCAAAGGTGAATTTTTTTATACAGAGGTGCATTCTTTGATGCTGTCCTTCAGAAGCCAACAGGAAACATCAGTAGCATGGTCAATCGATCTCTTGCACGAGGGTTCCCTGAAAGGGACGTCACTGTGACGATCAATACAGAGGGCATCTGTGTGATTGATGATCAGGAAAAGGTACTGTAGACACCCAAAATACAGGAGATGTATTAACCAAGACCAATATCTCTACAGGAGATGTATTAACCAAGACCAATATCTCTACAGGAGATGTATTAACCAAGACCAATATCTCTACAGGAGATGTATTAACCAAGACCAATATCTCTACAGGAGATGTATTAACCAAGGCCAATATCTCTACAGGAGATGTATTATCCAAGACCACTATCTCTACAGGAGATGTATTAACCAAGACCAATATCTCTACAGGAGATGTATTAACCATGACCACTATCTCTACAGGAGATGTATTAACCATGACCACTATCTCTACAGGAGATGTATTTACCATGACCAATATCTCTACAGGAGATGTATTTACCATAACCAATATCTCTACAGGAGATGTATTAACTATGACCAATATCTCTACAGGAGATATATTAACCATGACCAATATCTCTACAGCTGAAGTATTAACCATGACCGCTATCTCTACAGGAGATGTATTAACCGTGACCAATATCTCTACAGGAGATGTATTAACCGTGACCAATATCTCTACAGGAGATGTATTAACCGTGACCAATATCTCTACAGGAGATGTATTAACCATGACCACTATCTTTACAGGAGATTTCTGATCATAAACAGTGTCTTTTCAGGAGGTTTTGCTGACTGTGCCTTATGAACAATTGTCCTGGGATTATGTGAATAGACGGGAAGGTAGCAAAATGCCAACTCTGTATATTCAGTTTCTTACGAAGGCAGACGAATCCACTCGTGTCCTGCAGATTTATTCTAAACAGGTTTGTGTTGATCAAATTATCTTCTATGTAGTTAATTATCATATTTGTGGTTATGTTGAACAGTGTATCATTCAATGTATAATATTGTTACACTATTTACACAGTACAGAATGTAGATACTTTGTAATAACTATTGTGATAAACAAAGGGACAAAATTGACCTTTTCTATGTGGAATGTTGGTTACAATGTATATAAAAATATAAAAGAGATCGAGACATCATAATATAAAAGAAATTGAGACATCATCAAAATGCTCGTAATATTTTTTTTAGATGCTTATCTTTCTGCTCCTTGTAATGCGATTCTCTGATAAAATTTTTATTGAATGAAAAAAAAAAAGTAAAAGTTCTTTCTTTTTGTATCCAAATGGTCACTCAAGTTAATTTGACAATACTGTTGCATATTTAGCTCACCTGGTCCCATGGACCATTGAACTTATGCCATGGGGTGACATCTGTCAGTTCTTTATTGAAAATTGCCACCAGACATGAACCACAGCACAGACCAAATTTCATCAGAAGCATTGTTTAGGAAGGGGAACCAAGTTTATATAAAGTGTGGTTCCCAGGAGCCTGAGGGCAAGGTCCAAAAAGTGGAATTCAACAGGTTCTTTAAAAATCCTTATATAGGAATGATTGGAATTTGTCCAAATTTGACCAGAAGCATCCCTTGGTGAAGGAGAATCATTTTTGTATAAAGGGAGGGTCACAGCCACAAGGGCAGGACTGTTGTAGAAATAGGGCAAATTCTTTAAATCCTTCTATAAGAATTCTTGGAATTGAGTGGGAGAGGGGGAGAATAAGGTGAAAGTAGAGCAAATTCTTTAAAAGACTCTTTTTTTCTGCTGGAATGTCAAGATTCTTTAGCAATTTGGTTTGAAACATCCTTGATTATATATATATACTGGACAAAATAAGTTAAGGATCATAAATTGTGACCATAATATCTTTAAAAATTCAAATCATGTATTGCCGGTAATTGCACTCGTAGTTTCTCCAATATGTACCTAAAGTCATGTCAAAGGTGAAAGCACGTGCATCTGAAGGTCTTGCCGTTCCGCTCTAGTTAACTATGGTGGTGTGAAAAACTGACTGGTCTATTACTACAGAGGAATCTTGCAGGTTTTATTCTGTTATATAAAAAAAGTTGAATTTGGAAACATTTAATCAATTTGTAACGAAAACTTGAAAAACTAATCATGCGAAGACATTTATGATATGGAAGTCGCGCGAGCTATAGGGCTCCTTCAAGCTGGTCAAACTCAACGAAATATGTTTCTCAGAGCGTGATTAGTAGGCTATGGAATCGCTATCAACAGACAAATAACGTCCGTCAACGCCCCAGATACGACCACGCTGTACGACAGCCCGACAGGACAGATTCATTTGCATCACGGCACGACGTCAGCGGTTTTTGAGTGCTCCTGTCTTGAATCTTCAGTTTCAGCGTGCTACAAATCTAAGGATTTCATCCCAGACAATCAGAAACAGACTCCATGCCTCTAATTTACGAGCTAGAAGACCAGCAGTCCGACCAATTTTATCCAGAGGTCATCGACAATCCAGACATCAATGGGCCACTCATCATTTGAATTGGCAATTACGTCATTGGAGAAATGTTATGTTCACAGATGAGTCTAGGTTTTGTGTTGACTTCCATGACAGTAGGAGGAGGGTATGGAGAACCCAAGGAGAGCGCTATGCAGACTGCTATGTTGTCCAGCATGATCGCTTTGGTGGTGGGTCAGTGATGGTTTGGGCAGGGATCAGTGTTGACTTCCATACAGACCTCTACATCATAGACAATGGATCTTTAACAGCTGTTCGATACAGGGACGAATATATATAAGGCCCATTGCAGGAGTTGTTGGCCATGATTTTATTCTGATGGATGATAATGCTCGTCCTCACCGTGCTCGTGTGGTCAACGACTATCTTCAACGTGAAGCAATCGTTCGCATACTGGCCAAGTCGTTCTCCTGATCTGAACCCTATCGAGCATGCTTGGGACACCTTGCAGTTTCAGCTCGCCACAGAACCGCCAACAGCTTATGATTGCTCTGCAAGAGGAATATATCAGCCACCGACGACTAATAAGGAGCATGTGCAGACGTTGCAGGGCAGTTATTGATGTCAACGGAGGTCATACTGCCTATTAAACTGCCAATTGCAGTTTGATATATTAACTTGCTCTACTTCCTCTTACACTTTGATTTCAAGGGTGCTGTTACTCAGGGTTATCTGCTCTTGGTAGCAATTACCACAAATGAATTTGTTTTGTGTAATTAAAGACTAAAATGAATGTTCTGTCATTAAAATTTAAAATATAATCATATTATTATTTGTATGTAAAACTGCACTGTTTCAAGTTTATGATCCTTAACTTATTTTGTTCAGTATATATATATAAAACAGTGTATGATATATATTGTACACTGTATATACACTGCTGTACAAAATATAATATACACTGTTATACAATATGTTGTACACTATTATACAATATATTGTACACTATATACACTGTTATACATTATATTGTACACTATATACACTGTTATACATTACATTGTACACTGTATATACACTTATACAATACACTGCACACTATATACACTGCTGTACAATATATATCATTCAATGCTGAACAATACATTGTACACTGTATATACACGGTTATACAATACACGGTACACTGTATATACACTGTTATACAATACATTGTATACTTTATATACACTGTTATACAATACACTGTACATACACTGTTATACAATACATTGTACACTGTATATACACTGTTATACAATACATTGTATACTGTATATACACTATTATACAATATCTATTATACACTGTTATACAATACATTGTATACTGTATATACACTATTATACAATACCTTGTACACTATATACACTGTTATACAATATCTATTATACACTGTTATACAATACATTGTACACTATATACACACTGCTGGTATCTTAACAGGCTCCCTTTATGGATGCACTGGTGGACACCTGTGTAAGGAAGAAACAAGATGAACAATCCTATGACAAATCAGAAGATAAAAATGGTATTCAATGCTTTGATATTTTCGATGTATTGCCTTTTTTTCTTGGTGGTGGCACCTTTGTTTTGTTTAATTCTAAATTGATGCAATATTTTAATTTCTACGCTAAAATGAATATAAGGATATATTGATCGAATTTAGTTCAAGTATCAAATGAGTGGATAACAAATTTTGAGATTTTGTCCATTTTTCCAAAATGGCCACCATCTAGATATATTTATTTTCCTACCAAATACCCTGGTGTCATTCACACAAATTGAGTTGTTATTTCTCTTTTTAAGCTTGTATCTTGTATTTAAGAATGGCTGTTAGAGTTAATGTTAAGGAATTTTTGAATTTTAAAAACAAGATGGACCAGAATCACTCATCTGTACTGCAGCTTATAAAAAAGTCTTTGTCAGATTGATAAATCAATTCCTGCAATCTTAAAAGTCCATTCCTTAAGCATGTTAAAACACCAATACCATGAACATTGATTGTTGAGGAAAATGAAGTCTGTATTTTTTAACACATTTGATTATTGTGATCTTGAAAAGAAAAAAATGCCTGGGCTTTGTCACAAATTGGCATCAAGTATCATTAGGTGCAGGAAAATCTATTTTCTCTTGGGGCACCAAGATCATCATTAGGAATGACTGGTTTATGTTCCAGTTTGGTCTAAAGCACCCTTGGGCGAAGGGAAATTACTTTTGTATAAACCACAGGTTTTCACCCCCTTGAAAGGGCCAAATAGGGGAAATGGAGCAAATTCTTCAGAATCATACTCTTCCTGTAGAAATGAGTGGAATTTGCTCAGATTTGATCTGAAGCATCCTAAGTTGAAGGGCAATGAACAATGGGTCTTTGCTGGTTGGAGGGACAGTGCCAAGTAAGGGAACAAAAGCAAATTCTTTAAAGTCCTCCTTCTGTTGGAATATGTTTATTATGTCTCAATTTGGTCTGTAGTATCCTTAATGAAGGGGAATCTAGTTTTAACGAATTATGGGTCACAGCCTTCAGGAGTGGGAGGGGCAAGGCCCAGTAGAGGAAGTAGGGCAAAATCTATAAAATCCTCCTCCTGTAAGAATGACAAGATTCTATCCAAATTTATTTTAAAGCATTCTTTGGTAAAGGAGATTTTTGTATAAATAGTTTCTCTGATCCACTGATGGTAGAGGGGTTAGGGCCAATGTGAAAATTGATAAAAAATCTTAAAATTCCTTTTCCTTTAGTTTGGATTAAGCAATTTTAGCCAATTTGTGACAAATTGAGGATCTGTCAGAGGGACAGGTGCCAAAGTAGAAAACAGAGTTACGATTGTAATCATTTTTTTTTTTTCTTCTTAGATGAAGGTCTATTTGCCAAAATTAAATTTGTGGCTCTGAAATTTATCTTTTAGGGAAAATGCAACAATATCAAAATGAATAAAATGCTTTGAAGTGAAAGCTGAATATCTAGGTAAGCATTACAGGCCCAATTGGCCTCTTGTCAATCTATAAGGATTCTGTTTTACAATAATACTTGATAACAGCTAATATTTTTGTCTTATTGTCTTTACAGAGACTTTCTGTTATGGTATATGCAACAAACTTGACCGTTTGTGTCTGAAGAAGTACTCTCTGACTGGTCAGAGTATGGATAACTGAACAGACTGGTCATTAACCATCAAGGAGGAAGTGCCAGAGCAAAGTTTTTTAAAGGATGGATTGAATTTGGGAAAAGAATTAATTAACTTATAAAACACATCTCAGAAACATGACATTAAATGGCAAAGTAGTCTATTTTGTTGTGAATATAGACTTACCAGGGACTCAGAATTTACCATTGATAAGCTTATTGTGTCCTGTACCTCAGTAGGAGGAATTGGGAAGACAATGCCTTTAGCAGAAATGATTGCTAGTGTTTCTGCATGAACCTGGAGCTAGGTTTAGTAGGAAGCATGTTGTCATGTTTTATGGAACAGGTTCTTTTTTTCCCTGTCAACAACGAGTTACTGATGTTATCATAATGATGTGTTATTGCAACATCCCACTGCTATCACTGATGTTATCATAATGATGTGTTATTGTAACACCCCACTGCTATCACTGATGTTATCATAATGATGTGTTATTGTAACACCCCACTGCTATCACTGATGTTATCATAATGATGTGTTATTGCAACATCCCACTGCTATCACTGATGTTCAGTAATAAATCCTACACTACAGTGTTGTGACAAGGAGACAGTTATAAGTTTGATGTTCAGTAATAAATCCTACACTACAGTGTTGTGACAAGGAGACAGTTATAAGTTTGATGTTCAGTAATAAATCATACACTTCAGTGTTGTGACAAGGAGACAGTTATAAGTTTGATGTTCAGTAATAAATCCTACATTTCAGTGTTGTGACAAGGAGACAGTTATAAGTTTGATGTTCAGTAATAAATCATACACTTCAGTGTTGTGACAAGGAGACAGTTATAAGTTTGATGTTCAGTAATAAATCCTACATTTCAGTGTTGTGACAAGGAGACAGTTATAAGTTTGATGGTTAAATTAAATGTCATACATAAACCTTTAAACACTTGGTAATGAATCCAACAGTTCTTATTAAATAAAATCTGCAGTAACACCATCTAGGATTGCATTTGATGCTTGAATGGCAATATGTTGCATACCATTATAAGTGTTAAAGAGGCTGCATTTCATTGCTTATATTTCTTGACCTTCAAAACAGCCAACTTTAAGGAATTTCCATGGTGGAGATTATGTTTGTTCAAAGGGTCTTAAGAACAAAACTGATTTTATCTTAAATTAAGATATTTCAGTTTTTCTTTCTGGTTAATGAATTGGATTTTGTAATACAATGTAGTTTATGTCTTCGGCCAAAAAGCCTCGAGCTCACTCCTAAACAGGTGTGGTTTGCGAGTATGTTTTAACAAATACAGTAGGTTTTTGCTGCTCATGAGATGTTTCAGAACACTGAACACTTTTGGTTGTAAAACAATTGTTTGTAATTGTGCTTGTTATTGGTTTGTAGTGATTTGTTGCCAGGTTTAATGATGATATTGGACAGAGATAAGAATACTAACCATTGTTTGTCATTTTTATGATACAGGTTGTACTGCTGTAGGTATATTTACTGTTTGTAATGATTGTAGTTTTATTGCCAGCTTGTGTTTTGTCTTATGATATCAACATAGTTTTAGCTTCCATATATGTGCCATTTTACAGTCCATTTATAAATATATTGGTATTTTACATAATATTTATAGAGAATATTATTATACAAATCTTATAATTATAACATTTATCCTTTTACTACATTGGCTCTATCCTATGATTTAAATGATCCTTGTAGATTTCTTCACATTTGTGCCTTGAAAGTATTCTTTGTCACAGTACTGTATTAAATTGAGAAACATTTTTGTATATAAGGCAAGGTTAGTAAACTTTGGTGTATATGAGACCAGGTTAGTAAACTTTGGTGTATACAAGACAAGGTTAGTAAACTTTGGTGTATACGAAACCAGGTTAGTAAACTATGGTGTATATGATACCAGGTTAATAAATTTTGGTGTATACGAAACCAGGTTAATAAACATTTTTGTATATAAGGCAAGGTTAGTAAACTTTGGTGTATATGAGACCTGCTTAGTAAACTTTGGTGTATACGAGACCAGGTTAGTAAACTTTGGTGTTTACGAGACCAGGTTAGTAAACTTATCTTACTAAACATACACATTGTACAGTATTTACTTATAAATGTAGTATCAGAGGTAGTATTTTATGTTTTTATTGTTGTGTAACATTTCTCGTAAGATCACAACTCAATGTTTTAATACCGGTATTTCACATTGTGTATTTGATTCATTTATTCTGAAATGAAGTCATTTCCACATTGTTTTTCCAGTTCTTAACCATTATTGCTATTGCTATGCCAACATTCCAATCTGTTTGCCAAATTGATTTCTATTTTAACATTGTTTCCAGGAATGTTGACTGTATCAGATATACATTGTTTACAACAAGTGCTTTTACAACATGATATGATACATCAACTCATTTATAGGGGTGACTTTTGATGACATCATCAGCACATTTAAAGTGACAACATTAAATGACACCATAAGCTCATTTATAGGGGTGACTTTTGATGACATCATCAGCACATTTAAAGTGACAACATTAAATGACACCATAAGCTCATTTATAGGGGTGACTTTTGATGACATCATCAGCACATTTAAAGTGACAACATTAAATGACACCATAAGCTCATTTATAGGGGTGACTTTTGATGACATCATCAGCACATTTAAAGTGACAACATTAAATGACACCATAAGCTCATTTATAGGGGTGACTTTTGATGACATCATCAGCACATTTAAAGTGACAACATTAAATGACACCATAAGCTCATTTATAGGGGTGACTTTTGATGACATCATCAGCACATTTAAAGTGACAACATTAAATGACACCATAAGCTCATTTATAGGGGTGACTTTTGATGACATCATCAGCACATTTAAAGTGACAACATTAAATGACACCATAAGCTCATTTATAGGGGTGACTTTTGATGACACCATCAGCACATTTAAAGTGACAACATTGAATGACACCATCAGCTCATTTATAGAGACGACATAAATGTTACCATCAGCTCTTTATAGGGAGAACATGAATTTTAGTACCAGTTTCACATTCCAATTAATATTACAGAAGGGTTTAGGTGTATAGTTTCACATTTCCATTAATATTACAGAAGGGTTTAGGTGTATTGTCTTGTGTAACCATTAATATTACAGAAGGGTTTAGGTGTATAGTTTCACATTCCCATTAATATTACAGAAGGGTTTAGGTGTATAGTTTCACATTTCCATTAATATTACAGAAGGGTTTAGGTATATAGTTTCACATTCCCATTAATATTACAGAAGGGTTTAGGTGTATTGTCTTGTGTAACCATTAATATTACAGAAGGGTTTAGGTGTATAGTTTCACATTCCCATTAATATTACAGAAGGGTTTAGGTATATAGTTTCACATTCCCATTAATATTACAGAAGGGTTTAGGTGTATAGTTTCACATTCCCATTAATATTACAAAAGGGTTTAGGTATATTGTTTCACTTTCCCATTAATATTACAGAAGGGTTTAGGTGTATTGTCTTGTGTAACCATTAATATTACAGAAGGGTTTAGGTATATTGTTTCACTTTCCCATTAATATTACAGAAGGGTTTAGGTAAATTGTCTTGTGTAACCATTAATATTACAGAAGTGTTTAGGTGTATAGTTTCACATTCCCATTAATATTACAGAAGGGTTTAGGTATATTGTTTCACTTTCCCATTAATATTACAGAAGGGTTTAGGTATATTGTTTCACATTCCCATTAATATTACAGAAGGGTTTAGGTGTATAGTTTCACATTCCCATTGATATTACAGAAGGGTTTAGGTATATAGTTTCACATTCCCATTAGTATTACAGAAGCGTTTAGGTGTATAGTTTCACTTTCCCATTAATATTACAGAAGTGTTTAGGTGTATAGTTTCACATTCCCATTAATATTACAGAAGGGTTTAGGTGTATTGTCTTGTGTAACCATTAATATTACAGAAGGGTTTAGGTGTATAGTTTCACATTCCCATTAATATTACAGAAGTGTTTAGGTGTATTGTCTTGTGTAACCATTAATATTACAGAAGTGTTTAGGTGTATAGTTTCACATTCCCATTAATATTACAGAAGTGTTTAGGTGTATAGTTTTATGTTTCCTTTTATTTAACACAATAGTCAAGGTGTACGATTTTACTCGTGATCGTATAAAGGACATTTTTATATAACCGGTTCATTTTAGGAGAGCTTTTAAGTGTGTTATTTTACACCCCTTGTCAAACTTACACAATAGTTGCCATGCATTGTTTTATGTCCCTTGTCTAGAGTTTTGGTGTATTTTTCCACAATGTATTGATATATAAAAGAAACAATATTCCTGCATATCAGAATGTGCAATCTACATATCATTAGAGTTATATACATTGTATCATAACTATGTAACAGAGATATGATTCTGGACATGATAGTGTTTAGTATTGAGTTATATTATTCCATGTTTGTAAAGAATTTAGAACACCTGTTAACTCCTGTTTAGATGCCACAGATTGAGATACCAAGTTAATAAGGTATCAAGTGTTACAAACAATGGCTCATTATTTTGCTCAATTCTACAAAATCGCTTGTAGCCTTTTATGACAAGCAATATTAATGTTTTTCATTGTTGTACTTCGATTAACAATAATCAGGCATGTTACAAAGAGAGATAAAGAACTTTATTTACATATCTTTTAACCTCTTTTATTTTGTATGTTCATCTACTGAAGCTATTAATCTTATAATTTTGTAATAAAATGAAGTCATTATATCAGTGTTGTTGTACAATGTTTTTTGTTGATGTAGATATAAGTAACACCAGTGGTATATATCACCCATTCCCATCTTCTTCTGGCAATTTATTGTCAAAGTATTTCTCACTGTAACAGAGACGAGAGAAGGGGACCTTAATTATAGCTTTATACAGTTTGACTTTGTTGGAACAAGCATCCTGAAAGTTCTTTATGGAAAGGGTCAAAACTGTCAAAGTGACAATACTTAAAGACTTGTGTCCAACTTTAGATGTCAAAGAGACACAATTAGGCTTCTCACAGGACATTGTTGGAAGTCAAAGTGACAATATTAAAGACTTGTGTCCAACTTTAGATGTCAAAGAGACACAATTAGACTTCTCACAAGAACATTGTTAGAGGTCAAAGTTAAAATATTAAAGACTTGTGTCCAAATTTAGATGTCAAAGAGATACAATTAGGCTTCTCACAAGAACATTGTTAGAGGTCAAAGTTACAATATTAAAGACTTGTGTCCAACTTAAGATGTCAAAGAGACACAATTAGGCTTCTCACAGGACATTGTTAGAGGTCAAAGTTACAATATTAAAGACTTGTGTCCAAATTTAGATGTCAAAGAGATACAATTAGGCTCGTCGACGGAGCATTGTTGGAGGGTCAAAATATCAAAGTTATAAGATGCCTGTGTGACAAGTTTATATATCAGGTACAACCCTCCACTGAGTCACGGAGACTTACATCATTATCATCATAATCATCATCATCATCATCATCATCATCATCAACATCATCATCTTCACTGAAGGATTGGTTGGAGGTCAAAGGCTACAAGATGATCTTGTGTTAGTTTCAGAAACACATTGTTGTCTGGGAAGCATTGTTGGAGATATACTCTTTATTGAAGCATTGAAGTTTATCAGTGAAATGTTGAAGACTTGATCAGCTACCCATTACAGGTCATTGAGTTCATCACAGAAACACTGTTTTAGAACCAATCAGCTGTCTCATAACAACAGAGGTGAAGAGACGGTACTGACATATTAAAGTATCTTAATAGAAGCTCTGAATTAATGCAACAAGGGAAAAATATGAACGAAGGAAAGGGATACAGTAGAACGCTTTTTAAAATGTACCAGTAGTATATGGTGTTTCCAAAGGGAAAGCAATACACACTTTATAGACAACATTCACCATATAAATCTTGTTCAATCCAAATAAGTAGTGTCATTCTTAGATGAAACCCAATTCAATTGAAGAACTTGACAACATCTTCCTTACTCAATTGATACATGATGTTAACTCCCCAATTAATTCAGCAATGTACAACAAAAAAAACCAAGGCATTTGTGAGAGTGGCAAAGTTAGTTTCCTTGGGTTGTCCAATAAACTGTTGATAATCTTACTACCAAACTCTACAAAGGTCAATCAAAACTTCATAAGTCAAATTTGATATGACCCTTAATTCTGTCTAGATTGAAAGTCATTGTAATGAAGATGTACTTTATTTTCTCTGCTGACTGACAACTTTTATCTCTGTGATGGATGATCAACCTTATCTGTCTCCATCCCTTGGAGAACTGACAACCTTCTCCTCTCCATCCCTTGGAGAACTGACAACCTTCTCCTGTTGGTATCCCTTCTCTGTCTCCATCCCTTGGAGAACTGACAACCTTCTCCTGTTGGTATCCCTTCTCTGTCTCCATCCCTTGGAGCACTGACAACCTTCTCCTGCTGGTATCCCTTCTCTGTCTCCATCCCTTGGAGCACTGACAACCTTCTCCTGTTGGTATCCCTTCTCTGTCTCCATCCCTTGGAGAACTGACAACCTTCTCCTGTTGGTATCCTTTCTCTGTCTCCGTCCCTTGGAGAACTGACAACATTCTCCTGCTGGTATCCCTTCTCTGTCTCCATCCCTTGGAGCACTGACAACCTTCTCCTGTTGGTATCCCTTCTCTGTCTACATCCCTTGGAGAACTGACATCCTTCTCCTGTTGGTATCCCTTCTCTGTCTCCATCCCTTGGAGAACTGACAACCTTCTCCTGCTGGTATCCCTTCTCTGTCTACATCCCTCGGAGCACTGACATCCTTCTCTGTGGCCAGCCCTTGGAGAACTGACAACCTTCTACTGTTGATATCCTTTCTCTGTCTCCATCCCTTGGAGAACTGACAACCTTCTCCTGCTGGTATCCCTTCTCTGTCTCCATCCCTTGGAGCACTGACAACCTTCTCTGTCTCCATCCCTTGGAGCACTGACAACCTTCTCTGTCTCCATCTCTGTCTCCATCCCTTGGAGCACTGACAACCTGTTGGTACCTTCTCTGTCTCCATCCCTTGGAGAACTGACAACCTTCTCCTGTTGGTACCCCTTCTCTGTCTCCATCCCTTGGAGACACTGACTTGGAGCACTGACATCCTTCTCCTGTTGGTATCCCTTCTCTGTCTCCGTCCCTTGGAGAACTGACAACCTTCTCCTGCTAGTATCCCTTCTCTGTCTCCATCCCTTGGAGAACTGACAACCTTCTCCTGTTGGTATCCCTTCTCTGTCTCCGTCCCTTGGAGAACTGACAACCTTCTCCTGTTGGTATCCCTTCTCTGTCTCCATCCCTTGGAGAACTGACAACCTTCTCCTGTTGGTATCCCTTCTCTGTCTCCATCCCTTGGAGCACTGACAACCTTCTCTGTCTCCATCCCTTGGAGAACTGACAACCTTCTCCTGTTGGTATCCCTTCTCTGTCTCCATCCCTTGGAGAACTGACATCCTTCTCCTGTTGGTATCCCTTCTCTGTCTCCATCCCTTGGAGAACTGACAACCTTCTCCTGTTGGTATCCCTTCTCTGTCTCCATCCCTTGGAGCACTGACAACCTTCTCCTGTTGGTATCCCTTCTCTGTCTCCATCCCTTGGAGAACTGACAACCTTCTCCTGTTGGTATCCCTTCTCTGTCTCCGTCCCTTGGAGAACTGACAACCTTCTCCTGCTAGTATCCCTTCTCTGTCTCCGTCCCTTGGAGCACTGACATCCTTCTCCTGTTGGTATCCCTTCTCTGTCTCCATCCCTTGGAGCACTGACAACCTTCTCTGTCTCCATCCCTTGGAGCACTGACAACCTTCTCTGTCTCCATCCCTTGGAGAACTGACAACCTTCTCTGTCTCCATCCCTTGGAGAACTGACAACCTTCTCCTGTTGGTATCCCTTCTCTGTCTCCATCCCTTGGAGAACTGACAACCTTCTCCTGTTGGTATCCCTTCTCTGTCTCCATCCCTTGGAGCACTGACAACCTTCTCTGTCTCCATCTCTTGGAGAACTGACAACCTTCTCTGTCTCCATCCCTTGGAGAACTGACAACCTTCTCCTGTTGGTATCCCTTCTCTGTCTCCATCCCTTGGAGAACTGACAACCTTCTCCTGTTGGTATCCCTTCTCTGTCTCCATCCCTTGGAGAACTGACAACCTTCTCCTGTTGGTATCCCTTCTCTGTCTCCATCCCTTGGAGCACTGACAACCTTCTCTGTCTCCATCCCTTGGAGAACTGACAACCTTCTCCTGCTGGTATCCCTTCTCTGTCTCCATCCCTTGGAGAACTGACAACCTTCTCCTGTTGGTATCCCTTCTCTGTCTCCATCCCCATCCCTTGGAGAACTGACAACCTTCTCCTGTTGGTATCCCTTCTCTGTCTCCATCCCTTGGAGAACTGACACCCTTCTCTGTCTCCATCCCTTGGAGAACTGACAACCTTCTCCTGTTGGTATCCCTTCTCTGTCTCCATCCCTTGGAGCACTGACAACCTTCTCCTGTTGGTATCCCTTCTCTGTCTCCATCCCTTGGAGAACTGACAACCTTCTCCTGTTGGTATCCCTTCTCTGTCTCCATCCCTTGGAGCACTGACAACCTTCTCCTGTTGGTATCCCTTCTCTCCATCCCTTGGAGAGAACTGACTGACAACCTTCTCCTGAACTGGTATCCCTTCTCTGTCGACAACCTTCTCCTGTTGGTATCCCTTCTCTGTCTCCATCCCTTGGAGAACTGACAACCTTCTCCTGTTCGTATCCCTTCTAAGTCTCCGTCCCTTGGAGAACTGACAACCTTCTCCTGTTGGTATCCCTTCTCTGTCTCCATCCCTTGGAGCTGGTATCCTTTCTCTGTCTCCATCCCTTGGAGAACTGACAACCTTCTCCTGTTGGTATCCCTTCTCTGTCTCCATCCCTTGGAGAACTGACAACCTTCTCCTGTTGGTATCCCTTCTCTGTCTACATCCCTTGGAGAACTGACATCCTTCTCCTGTTGGTATCCCTTCTCTGTCTCCATCCCTTGGAGAACTGACAACCTTCTCCTGTTGGTATCCCTTCTCTGTCTCCGTCCCTTGGAGAACTGACAACCTTCTCCTGTTGGTGACAACCTTCTCCTGTTGGTATCCCTTCTCTGTCTCCATCCCTTGGAGAACTGACAACCTTCTCTGTCTCCATCCCTTGGAGAACTGACAACCTTCTCCAGTTGGTATCCCTTCTCTGTCTCCATCCCTTGGAGAACTGACAACCTTCTCCTGTTCGTATCCTTTCTCTGTCTCCATCCCTTGGAGAACTGACAACCTTCTCCTGTTGGTATCCTTTCTCTGTCTCCGTCCCTTGGAGCACTGACAACCTTCTCTGTCTCCATCCCTTGGAGAACTGACAACGTTCTCTGTCTCCATCCCTTGGAGAACTGATAACCTTCTCCTGTTGGTATCCCTTCTCTATCTCCATCCCTTGGAGAACTGACAACCTTCTCTTACTGGTATCCTTTCTCTGTCTTCATCCCTTGGAACACTGACAACCTTCTCCTGCTGGTATCCCTTCTCTGTCTCCATCCCTTGGAGCACTGACAACCTGTTGGTATCTCCTGTTGGTATCCCTTCTCTGTCTCCATCCCTTGGAGAACTGACAACCTTCTCCTGCTGGTATCCCTTCTCTGTCTCCATCCCTTGGAGAACTGACAACCTTCTCCTGTTGGTATCCCTTCTCTGTCTCCATCCCTTGGAGAACTGACAACCTTCTCAGTCTCCGTCTCTTGGAGAACTGACAACCTTCTCTGTCTCCATCCCTTGGAGCACTGACATCCTTCTCTGTCTCCATCCCTTGGAGAACTGACAACCTTCTCCTGTTGGTATCCCTTCTCTGTCTCCGTCCCTTGGAGAACTGACAACCTTCTCCTGAACGGATCACAACTAGGTCTCCCTCCCTTGGAGAACTGACAACCTTCTCCTGTTGGTATCCCTTCTCTGTCTCCATCCCTTGGAGAACTGACAACCTTCTCCTGTTGGTATCCCTTCTCTGTCTCCGTCCCTTGGAGAACTGACACCTTCAGATGGTACTCCCTTCCACGGTCTCCATCCCTTGGAGTAGCCACTGCAAATTGTCCTCTGTTTGTGGTCCATCATCCGTCCCACTGTCATTTGTCTGTCATCCATCGTCCTTCTTGAAACTATTCTTGTTATCGCTATTTATTGATAAGCACTGGGTGAATCTTTCTCAAATTCCCGATCTAGATCCTCTTGGTTCTTATTTATGCACTTACCTGACCTGCCCAAGAACTATCACAATTTTAATGCAGTATTTTTCAGTTGTTTTTTTATTTTATTTTTTTTTTTAATTTTACAATTTTACTAGAAAGTAACATCACATAGGAGACATAAATATGTTGTTAATAATTCGGTCCCTTATCAAACTCCAACAATTTACATCACAAATTTTAAACAGTGAAGAATAAAGACGTCGTATTTTTCCGGAATTCGAAACCAGACACTGCTCTGTATTAGATTCCCAGGGATTCAAAATGGCGTACAAACAGGTAGTTGTTACCAACTGGAGTATTTTTAAAAAGCATTTTTCAAATTCTTAAGCGAACATGACAGCGGAGTTTACTAAATATTTAAATGAAATGCCCACACTAGTCCATTTAGCTCGGTCGTTACGATCTGATTATCAGAGAATAATGCTGTTTGTGTGCATAGTAACGTTTTACTTGACATCGGTTTGTTTACATTTTGATTTCCACTGACCCGCTTAATATATATACATCAAATGAGTGGACCTGTTTACAACGGGTTATATACCACGTTATGTTTCATAAAAAAATACCTTCACCTCTACATTCTAACTATTGTTTCAAAGTACCTATGACACCCTAAACTGCTACAGGCATCAATGGGTGTTCACTCATGCGTGGCCATGTAAGATGAAGGGCTTGATCTGTCGTTATAATGTCAGGTGATGAGCTGTCTAGTAATCGCCTTAGGGTACTGGTTTGTTTTAGTCTTACTTTATTACAACATGGCGACAGGTAAAAGTGAAGACATACATTCTGAGCAGGAAGGACCCTCCTTAAGACATGGAGGTGTTGACAATAGAACATTTAAGTCTGAACACCTAAAATCTGTAAGTCCGAAAAAATGATGACATATTAAACATTATTAAGATTTTTAAATTGATGTAGAACCATGTTATTGTGAAGTGTGACATTGTGATCGGGACACATGTGAATGTTACCTTAACTGGCTACTTCGGTATTGATATTGTGAAGCATCATAATAACGAAAATCATATTGATATTTACAAAATCTGTTTTTGTAAACAGGGCATTTAGAGGCATGACCTATGTTTGAAATGAAAATTAATGTTAAATGTATGTTGTTTACAAGTTCAACAATTAACAAAGTTTTGTTATGATGCTGCTAACACAAAACTGTTTTGGATGTTGGAGGAAAACCCACATGAAAAATCAGCATACCATCAGTGGGGAAACAGCTACCTCATAGACATGATACCCCTACTGCCTGAGTGTGACTTTATTTACTTTTTTTAACAGGGTTTACATCCACTATTTCGCGTATCGGTCTTTCAGCATGACTAAAACCCATGCTCATTGCGAAAATGGTCTGAAGCTCATGCTTGATTGCACAAGTCATTAAAGTCAGATGGTTGGCGCATTAGCAGTCACAGCTACTGGGGCAATGACCTCATAAAAATATCTTATGTCTTGTTTTAGAATATACCTGTAATGTAGATATGTGGACTGCCCTTGTTATATGAGTATGGTCAGTAACTATAAAGTGCATTGTATATATATATAGTATTAACATCGGTTGTTTTATCACTGAACTGACTGAAAATCAAACCAATACAGTGAAAAATGATGCAAACAAAATGTTGATTTGATTGACATTTTCCACACAGGGTCACCCTGACTTTGAGCATGACCATCTAATGGGAGGAGAGCTGGACCCTGGGATGCTCGAATCTAACAGTAAGTTTTAGTCATTAATGTTACCTAATGTGCAAAACAATCTATTAATTTTTTCAATAAGTCATCAAGGCTGCTTTTACTTCTATAACAATTTTCTTATAAAAATTATGAAGTCTTGTGGTTTTTAAGTAAATTAATCTAGGGATGAAAATCTGCTTGAAAGTGCTGCTTCAGAGATGTGATATTATGCCAGGATGAGACATTTTTTAATGTACCAGTTCTCTTTCAGGAAATCTAATAATGTTTAAAAATTATTTTCAGATGTAGAAGTTGTCATTTGGCAGAGAGATCGTAAGGGAATTCATGTTAATTTGGAGGGTAATGGACAGGAGGCTGAGGCATCTGATTTATTTGAAATTGTTAAAGAGCACCGAAAACTGCCTGACTTTGTGGATAACATCTTCTCCATCTGGATGGTCTCCCCTTTGCTAGGTCAGTGTGGCATTGGTTTATCAGTCTCAAATCGAACTGGTATTTTCTAGATTTTTGAAAATTTTTTGTTAAAACTAAACTCAGATACTATAAGTTTGTGACACCATTTTCTGGCCATATGATGTTAATTTTTGTTTCTTTCAGAGTTGCGACTGAAGCTTTCTCACAAAGCATTTGAATTTGCACAGCTATGGGATGAGTTCTGCAGCATGTACACAGATGCAAAAACAGATGAAGTGTCTCGTGGTAAGCTTAGTAACAGCTCTTAATGAGTTAATAGATTACTTTTATGAAAGCTAAAAGCAGTCAGATCTGTAAAGCAAAGTGAGTTATCTTTGTAGTGATATTGTATAAATGACAGAGTTTCAAAGATTGTGATGGCTTAAGTCTACAAATGAAAACAAAATAGAATGATAACAATTAGAATTTTTTGTCCAGATGAACCAGTGGTGATGTTCCAGAGGAATGTGTTCCTGTCCTTGAAGGAAGAAAAGAAGGTAATTCCTTCCTTCTGCTATCCATGTTCACCAAGTTCTATCACCTGTAGTTACACATATTTTAGAACAACCTCTCAACTAGAGAGGAATTTAGTGGAAATAGTGTTCTTTTGATGAAATTATATGGAAACCATTTTTATCAAAGAGAAATTTTTGGCATACTCTTTTGTTTCCAATCAATAATTTTATATCATTATTCTTTCCATCACAGGGAAATCTCAGAATATTTCTCACCAATGAAAGGCAGGACATTTTCAGTTTATTAGTGTTTGTACACAGCAGTACAAAGACCAGTAGTCTTATTATATATATTGAGTATTTGTAAATAGAAGATGGCTTTATTTGGTCATAATGACCTTGTTCTTATCATCTTATCACTGACCTGAAACTTGACAGAGTATCGATTGTTCCCTTTCAGTACTGGCAGCTGGCCACAGAGGATGTCTTGCTGCTCCTATACCATGAGGCTAAATTCAATGTAATAGACGGCCGCTACATTGTGTCCGAGCAAGACTATGACATCTTGGCAGGAATACAGGCTCTTATAGAGAAAGGACTGTATAACAGTACTAAACACACACCAGAATCCTACAAGTAAGTCCTGATGCTGAAACAGTTACAAACATACTTCAGAATCCTACAAGTAAGTCCTTAGACTGAAACAGTTACAAACACACACCAGAATCCTACAAGTAAGTCCTGATGCTGAAACAGTTACAAACATACTTCAGAATCCAATATCCTAAATGTAAAGTCCTGTAAACTGGGGTCAGTAACACTCACATCAGAATCCTACCTGTTCAGTCCTGTAGACGGGGACAGTAACAAACACACACTAGAATCCTACATGTAAGTCCTGAGACTGAAACAGTTACAAACATACACCAGAATCCTTAATGTAAAGTCCTGTAGACTGGGACAGTAACAAACACACACCAGAATCCTACATGTTAAGTCCGGAAGACTGGGACAGTTACACACACACACACCAGAATTCTACCTGTTCAGTCCTGTAGACTGGGACAGTAACAAACACACAACAGAATCCTACATGTTAAGTCCGGTAGACTGGGACAGTTACACACACACCAGAATCCTACCTGTTATGTCCTGTAGACTGGGACGGTAACAAACACACACCAGAATCCTTCATGTAAAGTTCTAAAGACTGGAACAGAAATGCATTACTCAATAATCCTATATGTAAGTTCTAAAGACTTTAAACAGTTAAAAAATAACCCACCAGAATCCTATATTCAGTATGTAGTGTTTTATTATAGGGTTGTAATCCAAGGCAGATAAGTGTGTAAGTAGTAACTATAAATTATTATATACCATTCCAGATCATCATTAATTCCTGTTATAATAATATTGTGTCATTTGTGATATGTTTCCCTATTAAAGAGAAGTCTCATGTTAAGTTTGATTCTATAGGAAATAAGCCTATACCTTTAGTTCACCTCTGTAGATTACAGAGTATCAGTACTTGTTATGACAAGAGTTTGTTATTGTTGTAATATCTTTCAGAGGTAATACCAACAAATACTACCCAGTTCATATCTACAAACCCAAGAAATCCTTGATTGAATCTTTACGAAAGACACAAAGGAAGTACAATGAGCTCCACCTAGAGGGGGTTCATCAGCATGCTTCCAACAACATCGGGGATGAGGATCGCACTCAGCTGTATCTTCGTTATCTTGATATCTGCTCCAGTTACCCCTTCTATGGGTAAGTGTCTTTGTACCATCACCTTCCTCAGTACATAAATTTCTACCTGTACATTTGCTCCAGTTACCCCTTTCAATGGTGTCTGACTCATCACCTCCTTAAGTAGGTAGATATGATTTTCTATTTGTAATTTAAATATATTGTTTTAGCACAAACAGATAAAAAGCTGTATTTTCACAAGCTTTCAAATTTTCTCTTTCCTTTATTAAGAAAAGAGTGCAAATGACTAAGTTTTGAGAGCTTTTAACTATTCAGGGAGTGAGCGAAAGTGAGTGAAGTCAGTGGTCAAATTGTCGGGACAGATTTTCATCTTGATAGCAAATTAATACTGCAGGTAGTCTGAGGTCGGTTTGGTGTTTCATTTATTCTACCCCAATATCTCTTTCATCATGACTAATATTGTGACAGATTCACTTTATGAGGACTTTGTGGACTTTGTGAGACGCCAATAAGTTGAAATGAAAAGAAATGTTACGTTTACTTGTACATGTAATAGACGCCCTCAATATTAGCAGTTTCGGTGTTGATCTTTGGACCAGACAGATACTTCAGCATTAATGTGTCGTCAGCCTGCTATAAAGAAATGTGTTATGTTCTAGTGCTGTCAGTAATCTGTGTTCACCTGGGATGTAACTTGATGATTGCAGGAGTGCTTTCTTTGAGGCAGTACTACAGAAACCATCTGGCAAATTCAGCACCATGATGACCAATATATTCTCATTAGGTTTTCCTGAGATGGATGTACTGGTGGCAATCAACACAGAAGGAATTTGTGTCATACACCAGGAACTCAAGGTATCAGGGTCACATCTATACAAGGGGGGATTTGTGGTATACATAAAGAACACTAGGTAACAGGGTCACATCTATACAGAGGGAATTTGTGTCCTACACCAGGAACACTAGGTAACAAGGTCACATCTATACAGAGGGAATTTGTGGTTTACACCAGGAACACAAGGTAACAGGGTCACATCTATACAGAGGGAATTTGTGGTAAACATTAGGAACACTAGGTGTCAGGGTCACATCTATACAGAGGGAATTTGTGGTATACACCAGGAACACTAGGTAACAGGGTCACATCTATACAGTGGGAATTTGTGGTATACACCTAGAACACTAGGTAACAGGGTCACATCTATACAGAGGGAAGTTGTGGTTTACACCAGGAACACGAGGTAACAGGGTCACATCTATACAGAGGGAATTTGTGGTATACACCAGGAACACTAGGTAACAGGGTCAAATCTATACAGAGGGAATTCGTGGTAAACACCAGGAACTCTAGGTGTCAGGGTTACATCTATACTGAGGGAATTTGTGGTATACACCAGGAACACAAGGTAACAGGGTCATATCTATACAGAGGGAATTTGTGGTATACACCAGGAACACTAGGTAACAGGGTCAAATCTATACAGAGGGAATTCGTGGTATACACCAGGAACTCTAGGTGTCAGGGTTACATCTATACAGAGGTAATTTGTGGTATACACCAGGAACACAAGGTAACAGGGTCATATCTATACAGAGGGAAGTTGTGGTATACACCAGGAACACTAGGTAACAGGGTCACATCTATACAGAGGGAATTTGTGGTATACACCAGGAACACTAGGTAACAGGGTCAAATCTATACAGAGGGAAGTTGTGGTATACACCAGGAACACTAGGTAACAGGGTCAAATCTATACAGAGGGAATTTGTGGTATACACCAGGAACACTAGGTAACAGGGTCAAATCTATACAGAGGGAATTCGTGGTAAACACCAGGAACTGTAGGTGTCAGGGTTACATCTATACTGAGGGAATTTGTGGTATACACCAGGAACACAAGGTAACAGGGTCATATCTATACAGAGGGAATTTGTGGTATACACCAGGAACACTAGGTAACAGGGTCATATCTATACAGAGGGAATTTGTGGTAAACACCAGGAACTCTAGGTGTCAGGGTTACATCTATACTGAGGGAATTTGTGGTATACACCAGGAACACAAGGTAACAGGGTCATATCTATACAGAGGGAATTTGTGGTATACACCAGGAACAGAGGGAATTTGTGGTATACACCAGGAACAGAGGGAATTTGTGGTATACACCAGGAACACTAGGTAACAGGGTCACATCTATACAGAGGGAATCTGTGTCATACACCAGTAATGTCATTGTCCTTATATGGGAGAAACTTTTTGTAACTTTACCTTTTTGCTTTTTGTTTATATTACTTGATGTATTGATCCATTACTAAAATAACGAGAATGCCAAGGAAAAAAAAGATGAAAAAAAGAGCATTTTGGAGGGAAAAATCCAGAATTAGACAGGAAAACTCAGGATAATGCTCACTACAGTAGAAAGTTCTATGAAGATCAAGTGTAGATATAAAATGGCGCCTAATGGATTCAGGTACATACGCCCTTAGACATGGTGTTTTCACCTAACCATATAAGGTGATTATCTGAACTGCCATTCTTATGGACAAAGAAATGTACATTTACTGTAATTATACTTTCAGACTGTTATTCTGGCCATACCATATGAACAGCTGTCTTGGGACCTGGATCTCAATGAAGATGAACCTGACAAACTACCAGCCTTACTGGTACAATTTATAGTGAAAGAAGAGGATGAAACCATCACCAAAGTCCTGCAAATCTACTCACGACAGGTAGAGATTTTATACAGTTAAATGAGTTCCTCTCAGTCTTATAGTATAATGTAGAATACATAATAATGACACTGATACACTATATTTTGATACAATGTATTTCAAGGTTCAGTAATATTTCAAATTAAAAAGTACCTTAAATATTTTTGTGTTCAATCATGCCTGGCCCTCTGGACCTCTTAATTCCTTCTTATGATAGGAAGGTAAAATTACCGGATAAACTGTTCAAGGATTGCATCAGTACTGATTTCTGATGAGAATTTTAATTGTTTATTTCAGGCCAAGTTAATGGATGCCTTGGTTGAGACGTGTGTCAAGAGAAAACACCATGAAGGATATGACTCATCCAAACATGGTTTGTGTAATTTCATAGTGAATGACTCCAGGGTCAATCTCGAACACTTGTCAGATGTCTGGCTCAAGAGTCAGTCTGAAAAACTTGTTAGATGTCTTGCTCAAGAGTCAGTCTGAAGACTTGTCAGATGTCCGACTCAAGAGTCAGTCTGAAAAACTTGTCAGATGACTTGCTCAAGAGTCAGTCTGAAGACTTGTCAGATGTCTGACTCAAGAGTCAGTCTGAAAAACTTGTCAGATGACTTGCTCAAGAGTCAGTCTGAAGACTTGTCAGATGTCCGACTCAAGAGTCAGTCTGAAAAACTTGTCAGATGACTTGCTCAAGAGTCAGTCTGAAGACTTGTCAGATGTCTGACTCAAGAGTCAGTCTGAAAAACTTGTCAGATGACTTGCTCAAGAGTCAGTCTGAAGACTTGTCAGATGTCCAACTCAAGAGTCAGTCTGAAAAACTTGTCAGATGACTTGCTCAAGAGTCAGTCTGAAGACTTGTCAGATGTCTGACTCAAGAGTCAGTCTGAAGACTTGTCAGATGTCCGACTCAAGAGTCAGTCTGAAAAACTTGTCAGATGACTTGCTCAAGAGTCAGTCTGAAGACTTGTCAGATGTCTGACTCAAGAGTCAGTCTGAAAAACTTGTCAGATGACTTGCTCAAGAGTCAGTCTGAAGACTTGTCAGATGTCCGACTCAAGAGTCAGTCTGAAAAACTTGTCAGATGACTTGCTCAAGAGTCAGTCTGAAGACTTGTCAGATGTCTGACTCAAGAGTCAGTCTGAAAAACTTGTCAGATGACTTGCTCAAGAGTCAGTCTGAAGACTTGTCAGATGTCTGACTCAAGAGTCAGTCTGAAAAACTTGTCAGATGACTTGCTCAAGAGTCAGTCTGAAAATCTTGTTAGATAAGGCCTGGCTCCAGAATCAGTTTGAAAATCTGGTTCTAATGCCAGTCTGAAAAAATTGTAAGGGTAACAATTGTGGCGATGAATAATGTAATGATTTGATGAAAAACATATAAATGAATTATTATTATTGACATTGTTTATTTTGTATCCTGTTCAAAACTGTGATGTAGAAACCCTAATATATATTGATGGAAGTACAGAAAACAGATTGAGACTGCCTCTATGGATCAGTGCCTGTTCCTTTTTTATTTTCTTTCTTGATGTTTCGATATATCTCATTCCTGCATTTATTCACCTCACCTGATGACACTGATATCAAAACTCAAGAGAAATCAGAAAAGCACAGTTATGTAGTGTTGTCAAAATTGCACGTAAACACAGCGGTTTTTCAACAATGCTAAAGCTAATGTTCCATTATGAATTAACATACGTTATGTGTACATGGTCAGGTATTTGGGTCTACCTCTATGATTAGCAGGTGGATGTTCAATGTTACAGTATGCGATAGAAAAGAATTACTGGAAAGATTGATCATTTTGATTTTCACAATTTTCTGATTAAAACTGACAAGTTCATTGTGGTCTGTCGTAGGCAAATACTATACTAGATAAATATAAACTTTATTTATTTTACAACAATTGCAAAACACGTTATGTCAGCTTGTACTAATCACTCTTGTTGGCCCGGATGTAAGCAAGCAAGGGGCCTTATTGTGGGAGGAAACCGGAGTACCCGGGGAAAACCCACGTGGTTGAGCAGGTGATCCCCATACCTTTTGATGTCTGTTCCGGGAATCAAACCCTGGTTGGCTAGGTGAAAGGCGAGTGCGTTACCACTGCGCCACCCGACCACACAATACTATACTACAGTGTATATGGAATTGTAACTATTCCAGTCTAGAAGTATGTGAAATGTTCAATATTGAAGTGTTTGGTAACTTGCTTATATGTGGAATAGGTACAATACTGATAAACCATTTCTGTTTACAGAGAACTTCTCTAGAGGAATTACCAACCAGATGGGGAAAATGTGCTTAAGTACGTACACTCTTGAAGGACAGGCTTGTGACTGAAAGCTTTTCTGTTTCACATCATTCAAAGAAGAAGGAAAAACCAGTATTCAATGCTTTAACTTCTGTTTACTGAAAGAAAAGACCTCTCCCACTATCAGTGATTGTATCTGGTGTCAGTGTAGATCATGTTGGGAAATCTAACTTCATTAAACATGGTTTTGAACAAACTTTTTCATTATATTACCATATTTCATTTACTCTTTAAGTAATAATACCTCAGTTTTCTTCATTTATTGCTTAGTCAGTAGAATCATGTCAGCATTAAATTCAGTTTGTTAATCCAGCTAACAGATTTTCATTTTGTACCTGCAAAGTTTCCTCAAAATGGAGTGTATGTTTTATAATTCTTTTTTGTAATTCTTATTGTTTATGTTTATAACTGGAATAATTGTATGAGTGAATAACTGACCTTGTTTCTCAGATTAAAACTGACAACATTATGACATAAACTGGAAGTGTGGTCAAGGCAGTATAAGGGATCTATATAAATCTATCCTTTCATTAGAATGGGCGGGGTAAACTAGGGAGAGCAATCTATCTTTACATACTTACAGATGGGGTTTATATTCATCCTTTCTTCAGGATGTCAGGGTGTTAAAGGGATAATAATGTATCCTTTTACCAATACAGGTGGGGTTGCATTCCCAGAACACCTGTCTGACCACCAAACTTTCTGTGTTTTTCTTCCTTCATTAATAGTCCTGACACACTTCTACCAATGCCAAAAAATATTGGTAGATATACCTGAACACAGGCTGTTTCATAATTGTTAGAAGCATCCTAGACAAGATGTGTCTTGTTTCCTGTTTCATATAAAAGGCAATATATCCTAACGTTAGGGTTTTCATTGAAAGCTGCCACCTATAATTTACTTTTGTGTGCATTAACTTAGGGTATATGTAACATTGTTTTTATTTATGTTCATATTGTGTGCATCGGAATTGGTTTTTTTCAAGTCTTGTGTTAGGTTTTAATGTAGTTTCAGATAACTTAGGGACATACACAAGGTGGAGGTTTGGTATGAAATGTACATACATTATACATTAAGAACACAGCTCCCTTAATCTTACTCTAGTAAAACAGTTTATTAAAATTGATGGTATATATATATATATATATAACATGCCTTTATGAATCTTTAAAAACTGTGTTGACTTGTACAAATTGACGATAAATCAAGACAGTTGTTGATATATTTGTGATACAGAAGAAACACCATGAAGAACACCACCTACCTATACTACGCATTGATTATATATCCACAGTATGTAGACATTATAGATTTTTTTTGTTTTGTTTTTCCTTATATGGTATCTTGATAAAGTGATTTGTATTATGCACATCCATAATGGAAGCAGATGGTTAACATGTTGTGGAAGCAGTTTACCATTTTTATACAGTTTACTTTCTACATGGAAAATGCTAATCCTCTTCTATGTTTTATTTCCGAGGTAAAAATGAAGCTGTGATAATTGTAATTTAGTGTTTTTAATCATTTTATAGTTGTAGATCCCATGTTTTGTGCCTTTGTAGTGATATATGTAAAGTGCTTTAGATTTTTTTTATTTTTTAATTATGTTAATGTAAACAGAGAGGGGCTTGAACTGTTAAATCGAACTACAGGGTATTAGATGTAGACGGATGATAGTATTGAACAGGGTATTATCTGTAGACATATGATAGTACAGGTACTACAGGGTATTATCTGTAGACATATGATAGTACTTAAAAGGGTGTTATTGTAGACATATGATAGTACAGGTACTACAGGGTATTATCTGTAGACATATGATAGTACTTAACAGGGTGTTATTGTAGACATATGATAGTACAGGTACTAGTGTGTTGTCTATAGACAGATGATAGTACATGTACTACAGGGTATTATCTGTAGACAGCTTATAGTACTTGACAGTGTATTATCTGTAGACATATGATAGTACATGTACTACAGTGTATTACCTATAGACAGCTTATAGTACTTGACAGTGTATTATCTGTAGACATATGATAGTACATGTACTACAGTGTATTATCTGTAGACAGCTTATAGTACTTAACAGGGTATTATCTGTAGATAGATGATAGTACAGGTACTACAGTGTATTATCTGTAGACAGCTTATAGTACTTAACAGGGTATTATCTGTAGATAGATGATAGTACTTAACAGTGTATTATCTATAGACAGATGATAGAACATGTACTACAGTGTATTATCTATAGACAGTTTATAGTACTTAACAGTGTATTATCTGTAAATGGATGATAGTACTTAACAGGGTATTATCTGTAGATAGGCGATAGTACTTAAGAGGGTATTATCTGTAAACAGATGATAGTACATGTACTACAGGGTATTATCTGTAGACGGATGATAGTACTTAACAGGGTATTATCTGTAGATAGGCGATAGTACTTAAGAGGGTATTATCTGTAGACAGATGATAGTACATGTACTACAGGGTATTATCTGTAGACAGATGATAATACTGAACAGGGTATTATCTGTAGATAGATGATACATTATTTTACTAAGATGCATTGTCTGTGGAAAGATGGCAGTACTGCTGTATATTATTTGTGGACAAGTAATAGTTAAACTCAAATATCGAGGCTACTGTAATGTTAATAATGATTATTTTGTAGACAAAGTTTTGTTTTCTTTTGTGTTTCATTATATAATGTGAAGATCCGACAGTTTGGATGGTATTTTAGTGTGAACTAGTCGTTTATGCCATATATGGACATGGAAAGGGGTAGATTTTCTTTTGTAACTATGGACCTATTAGGAGGTGGATATGTTACAGTAACTATGGACCTGTTAGGAGGTGGATATGTTACAGTAACTATGGACCTGTTAGGAGGTTGATATGTTACAGTAACTATGGACCTGTTAGGAGTTGGATATGTTACAGTAACTATGGACCTGTTAGGAGTGGATATGTTACAGTAACTATGGACCTATTAGGAGTGGATATGTTACAGTAACTATGGACCTGTTAGGAGGTGGATATGTTACAGTAACTATGGACCTGTTAGGAGGTGGATATGTTATGGTAACTATGGACCTGTTAGGAGTGGATATGTTACAGTAACTATGGACCTGTTAGGAGGTGGATATGTTACGGTAACTATGGACCTGTTAGGAGTGGATATGTTACAGTAACTATGGACCTGTTAGGAGGTGGATATGTTACAGTAACTATGGACCTGTTAGGAGTGGATATGTTACAGTAACGATGGACCTGTTATGAGGTGGATATGTTACAGTAACTATGGACCTGTTAGGAGGTGGATATGTTACAGTAACTATGGACCTGTTAGGAGGTGGATATGTTACAGTAACTATGGACCTGTTAGGAGGTGGATATGTTACAGTAACTATGGACCTATTAGGAGGTGGATATGTTACAGTAACTATGGACCTGTTAGGAGGTGGATATGTTATGGTAACTATGGACCTGTTAGGAGGTGGATATGTTACAGTAACTATGGACCTATTAGGAGGTGGATATGTTACAGTAACTATGGACCTGTTAGGAGGTGGATATGTTACAGTAACTATGGACCTGTTAGGAGGTGGATATGTTACAGTAACTATGGACCTGTTAGGAGTTGGATATGTTACAGTAACTATGGACCTGTTAGGAGGTGGATACGTTACAGTAACTATGGACCTGTTAGGAGGTGGATATGTTACAGTAACTATGGACCTGTTAAGGGATGGATATGTTACAGTAACTATGGACCTGTTAGGAGTGGATATGTTACAGTAACTATGGACCTGTTAGGAGGTGGATATGTTACGGTAACTATGGACCTGTTAGGAGTGGATATGTTACAGTAACTATGGACCTGTTAGGAGGTGGATATGTTACAGTAACTATGGACCTGTTAGGAGGTGGATATGTTACAGTAACTATGGACCTATTAGGAGGTGGATATGTTACAGTAACTATGGACCTGTTAGGAAGTGGATATGTTACAGTAACTATGGACCTGTTAGGAGGTGGATATGTTATGGTAACTATGGACCTGTTAGGAGGTGGATATGTTACGGTAACTATGGACCTGTTAGGAGGTGGATATGTTACGGTAACTATGGACCTGTTAGGAGGTGGATATGTTACGGTAACTATGGACCTGTTAGGAGGTGGATATGTTACAGTAACTATGGACCTGTTAGGAGGTGGATATGTTACAGTAACTATGGACCTGTTAGGAGGTGGATACGTTACAGTAACTATGGACCTGTTAGGAGGTGGATACGTTACAGTAACTATGGACCTGTTAAGGGATGGATATGTTACAGTAACTATGGACCTGTTAAGGGATGGATATGTTACAGTAACTATGGACCTGTTAAGGGATGGATATGTTACAGTAACTATGGACCTGTTAAGGGATGGATATGTTACAGTAACTTTGGACCTGTTAGGAGGTGGATATGTTACAGTAACTATTGCTTATTGAAGTTGGTACACACATCTTGGTTTCTGTCAATATTTCTGTTTGCAATAAACCACACTATTACAGGAAGCGATTTGATTTTAAAAAATGACCAGTATTTCTTCAGACACGACATCAATATCTGATGATATTTCTGTAGTTGTAGGCTTTTGTTATATATTCTACCTGTTATGTCCTTAATGTGAATTTCATTTATATATTGATTAATCTTACATTTTATTATTCAAACATTAGCTGTTTAATTTACAGCACTGGACCGTGTTTGTATCTGTTCATCTTATTGCTTTGTCATAATAATTTTGTCCTTAACTCTTGTGATCTAATCTATTAATCAAAATATTTTTACAAACATGATAACCACTTCTGCTTTTGTAAGTAATTTATTGTCAATTTTTTGTGGACATTTTTGTAAGTAAATCTTTTGAAAGGATGTTTGTATGCTGTTTTAAGTTAAGTTACATCTGTAACCACAGGGACTATAGTAAGAAACCAAAAAAATAACACATCTGTCACCACAGGGACTTTAGAAAGAACCCTGAATGATAACACATCTTTCACATGGACTTTAGAAGCCCTAAAGATCACACTTCTTCTTTCAATGACATAGAAACATTTAACTTATGGAGGAAGTACTTATGACCTTTACTATCTCCAACATGTCCCAAAACCATCAGACTTGTGAATGCGGTACACAGTTTACCTCTGACATGCAGCCTTCTGAATGGTATCCTCACAGGAAGATTTCTTGACTACTTTGACAGTCCCTGAAGTTCTCAGACTACTAGATCACAGGTCATTACATGATGTCAGAGATCCAACAGGAGGAAAATGTTTTGAGCAGAAATCAATTTATGTTGACTCAATGCTCAGGAAGAACCAAGATTCTGTATGCTGTCTCCAGCCGTCTGCTTCTGAAGTCTATTACATTAAGCAAAGACACATATAACCCAGTCATTAGAGATGTGATTTTAACTGTTGACAGTAAATGTTATCAAAGTTTGTTACATCAATCCTTTCCTGATTCATGAGCATATCTCTAAACCTTAATGTCACTTCTGGTATGCTGAAGGAGTCTTCATCAAAACAGCCGGCTATGTCGTGAAAGAGCATAATGGCATCAGTTTTTCCAGAAGCTTTGCGACAGACCTTGAATGAAAGTAGATACTTACACTATTGTCTGTACTGCCAAGACTCTTGGAAGAGTCTTTACTCTTGTATTCGAGTCTATACTGATCTCTGATACATTGTATGCTCCTTTCTTGGTTTCATTTTCTGGGAGTTTATTTAAAGCATGACTCTAGAAATTAAAGCTGTGACTGTCTCTGGAAGGAGACCCTTGGTATGTAACCATTAGGCTTGAGAACTGAACAGAAGCTGTGACTGTCTCTGGAAGGAGACCCTTGGTATGTAACCATTAGGCTTGAGAACTGTACAGAAGCTGTGACTGTCTCTGAAAGGAAGTCCTTGGTATGTAACCATTAGGCTTGAGAACTGAACAGAAGCTGTGACTGTCTCTGGAAGGAGGCCCTTGATATGTAACTATAAGGCTGGAGCACTGAACAGAAGCTTGGGCTGTCTCCGAAAGGAAGTCCTTGGTATGTAACGATTGGACTGGAGAACTGAACAGCAGCTGTGACTGTCTCTGGAAGGAGACCCTTGATATGTAACCATTTGGCTTGAGAACTGAACAGAAGCTGTGACTGTCTCTGAAAGGAAGTCCTTGGTATGTAACCATTAGGCTTGAGAACTGAACAGAAGCTGTGACTGTCTCTGGAAGGAGACCCTTGGTATGTAACCATTAGGCTTGAGAACTGTACAGAAGCTGTGACTGTCTCCGAAAGGAAGTCCTTGGTATGTAACGATTGGACTGGAGAACTGAACAGCAGCTGTGACTGTCTCTGGAAGGAGACCCTTGGTATGTAACCATTAGGCTTGAGAACTGTACAGAAGCTGTGACTGTCTCTGGAAGGAGACCCTTGGTATGTAACCATTAGGCTTGAGAACTGAACAGAAGCTGTGACTGTCTCTGGAAGGAGACCCTTGGTATGTAACCATTAGGCTTGAGAACTGTACAGAAGCTGTGACTGTCTCCGAAAGGAAGTCCTTGGTATGTAACGATTGGACTGGAGAACTGAACAGCAGCTGTGACTGTCTCTGGAAGGAGACCCTTGGTATGTAACCATTAGGCTTGAGAACTGTACAGAAGCTGTGACTGTCTCTGGAAGGAGACCCTTGGTATGTAACCATTAGGCTTGAGAACTGAACAGAAGCTGTGACTGTCTCTGGAAGGAGACCCTTGGTATGTAACCATTAGGCTTGAGAACTGAACAGAAGCTGTGACTGTCTCTGGAAGGAGACCCTTGGTATGTAACCATTAGGCTTGAGAACTGAACAGAAGCTGTGACTGTCTCTGGAAGGAGACCCTTGATATGTAACCATTAAGCTAGAGAACTGAAAAGAAGCTGTGACTGTCTCCAGAAGGAAAACCAGAATACATAACCCTTAGACTTGAGGACACAATAAACTGTAAATAATTTTATAATTTTATACAGATATCTGGATGTCGAACAACGAGTTATCAGTCTGTAGTGGAGAACCATAACTTAAATACAAAATCAGCTGTGATATAAATACAAAAGTTAGGAGATCAGGAATGCTGTGAAAATGAATTCCTGTTCATTAAATTAGAATCAAGGAGATGAAATAAGCGGTCGATCCTCGTGAGATTTGGATGTCCTTGTGGTCACTTTACGTATCGTTGGTTAGAAACGCCATATTGATCTGGAAGACATGCATACGGTATGATAATACGATCGCTAACTAATCTGATTATAACACTGTTAAATTATACTTAGATTAAGGACAACAAAATGTGTAACATTTCATGGAATTAGAAATAACTTGAAAAATTTGTCTAATATGTGCGTGTACATCACCTGGAGAAGGGGAGTTATTCACCCTGGCTCCTCTTATACTCTTATCCAATGGCAGACGTAAAACCCGTTAAATAAATTAATTAAGTTAATCTATCAGTTAAGTTTTCTCTTTGGCTCGATCCTACACGTCGCTAGAAAACTCACGTTCGTCAGTGAAACGATACCGGACACGGGTGGAGTCACGGAGACGAAACACCTGTCAATCAATCAAGTTGGTTCGATTGGCAGAATGTGTACAATGCAAGTCAATGGTTCCCGGGTCGACCCTAAATGAGTGCATTGAGAATAATATTTATTATAATAATTCATATTTGTTATATTGGCGCCGTAAACTGTTACAATCATACTTCGTAACAACAAATACCGATATGTGAACACAAACCAAACTCATTCGAAAGTACAAGGAGAATAAGACCAGGTGCGCCGAACAGTTATGATAGTTATGGGGAAGTGTCTCTGAGCTTAAAAACAAAAAGAACGTCAATTTGACAAACAACTTCCGGCAAGCCATGCAAGTTGTCATTTATTCAAGGAGCGGTGATAATCCTGTATTTCATGAAATCATCCAGGATACCTTTAAAACAGAAAGTATTTTATTAAGATATCAGATATCATAAAAACAAATATCAAGATAACTATACTTTGATATATTTATCCTTCGTTACATATTAGATCGACATTGTCTATGAATAACGTTAATAACAATTTGACTACTTACAGAAAAATACAAACCTAAATGTGAGTCACACAATTTCGCCAAGCGGCAAAAGCATTTGTTTTCCATTACAAACGACATTGACACGTTATCAGGGTCACGGTAGACATCACCGTGCGGTCGCTTTCATAGCTTAAACAGTTTCTTAGATTCTTTAGTGCCAGGAGAACAAAGGAAATGCTATTTGGGCAATTAATGTCTGGGATGGGATGTTTGAAAGCTACTTCAAATGTCCGCTCCAGCGAAATTTAGTTCGGTTAAGTAAACCAGTATTAAGATCTTTTCTGATAAATCTTAACTCACGCCAATTTGTATTCTTATGGTTTATTTTGCTCTGTGACTGTCGCCCATTGAGACAAACGCTGTTCTAATTGAAAAACAAGCTTGGATTGTTATTTCTTTTATTTGATTGGTCTCTTTTTAATGTGCGTTTAATCATTAGCTCACCATCAACAGGTGATTTTGGGTCCGATCAAAAAAAAAAAAAAAAATGGCCGACAAGTGCTCATCTTGGATTTTGAATTTGCAAGTTTGTTATCGATATTTCTTGAGAAGTACGGGATAAATCTTCCTTAAATTTCGTTAGTTTGTTTCCCTTGTTCCCAAGTTGTGCCTTTCTGATTCTGTGACTCTTCGAAAAAAAATAAAATTGCCGACAAGCAGCCATCTTAGATTTCGCCTAGTAAATATTGTTATCCCTATTTCTTGATAACTACTAAATGCATCTCCCAAATTTCATACGTATGTTCCCTTTGGTCTCCACCTGTGCCCGTTTGATTTTGGGACTGATCAGATAAAAATGGCTTTCAGGCGACCACCTTGGATTTGGCAGATAAAGAGAAATGAAGGGAAAAGATCCAATTTTCAAAGAGCAAATATAGATCAGACAATAGTGGGCGCCAAGACACCCCTGGGTTTTGAAAACATTAAAGAAAATACAGACATGTTAAAAGAACATTGAATTAAACACGAATTTGATCAAACTATTGTAAAATGAGAACAAAAGAAAGATTTGCACGAAGACTCCTGAAAACATCGAATAAGACCAGATGTTTAGTAAGGGTAAGCGTCTTTTGTTTTATCAACAGCATGCGCCATGTAAATCTTGATCAATCCGACTGAGTAGCATTTCCTTCCAAAATGAGAACAAGGTGAACGGCATCACCATGCTTCCGAGCATCAAACATGTCCACCTTCATGTCGCACAAAGAAAAAGATTATTTCTAAATGAGATCTCTGTGACGACCGTGAGATTTCCACATAATCTGCATCTCGCAGAAACGTGTTAAATTGTCAGCTGCCGACATCTTGTACGAAATCGTAATTTTAGAATAGGCCTTAGAATCATCTGTGACATGTTAACATCATGAGTCTTGGATGTTTGAATGTTGCTACAAATTTCTGGTGTAAAATATAGCACTATAGATACATCTATTATAAGTGTATATCCGCATATATCCTTTAGGCGTGCAATAAGTTTACATCTGTTAAATAAAATATTTTGGAGAGAACAGGAAAAGAAAGTTGTGTAATAGTAGAGAAATGTTTCTTCGTTTTGTTTGTTTGTTCTAATTTTCATCACAAGACCACGGTTTTTGTCACGAAACATTTTGTCATCAGGCCACCGTGTAACTGTTCGAACCTACAGGCCCTCAATATAGGCATGTGACGCACCATCATATGAATGTAAATTTGTAAATGATTCAACACGCCTTTCATTATCTAAAATAATGTATTGTCACTATGAAATTATCAAAATGTAATCTGAACATTGTCTTCCGATGCCCCACTTTGTAACATGCATTTAACCAGGACACAGACGTGATCTCGAATATTCTGCATTGTGGCTCATTGCTTACTTGTTCCAGCTTGCTCTGGGCTTAATTTTGATTTCCTGTTCTCTGGTTTCATTTCAAGTTTTATTTAAATGTATATTAGAAAACTAAATCCGATCATTTGAATGAGAACTATAGTCAATGTTCTATTTTCGTGAGGGCATAATTTGCAACGCAATGAAATTCAGCTCCATCCATAGAAAAATATAGAACATGACGTCATTTAGGTCATTTATTGGGTGATAGAGACGCTTGAAGCGGACTCGCGCAGAGCGCAATTGGTAAGCGCTAATGCGATCTAGATCATTATTTATCATCCGGTTTGCTCGGAGCATGCTCATTAATGGCAGAAGCCATATTGACCTTTGGTTGTCAGTGGTCCCGAGAGGAAAATCTGTTGCCTGTCGTTTTTAACGTGCATAGTTTCAGCCTTTTGATTGATTTTATATGTTTTGATAATATCTTGCCTGTTTATTGTCGAAAAAGTGCTGGAAGCAACACCAACAGACGTTTTACAACTGATGTAAACCACCTCATGTCGATGGCGTCTCGCTGTTTGACGCAAACGAAATTGCACAGTGAAGACTGTATTGGTAACGATGGTATCTAGGTTTGGGTGCTGAAAGATTGAGCAGAAATTTTAACCGTATAGAGGTATCTTCTGGATGTTCTATATTAGGTGAGAATGAGATTGCCACGCGTTGTTTTAACAAAACTTAACGTCACTTGTAATGCTATGCGAGATTGTATTCCCATCCGGTGTGCGATAGACGAGGAAATCTTTTCAGTATGTACAAATAACAAAAATGGAGATGTCATTGTTTTTGTCTCAGAAAAGGATACAAATGTTCTCGTTGAAATTTTCACTAAATATAGATAAATGTGTCGAGAAAATGTTGGGCCGGATGACAAGTGGTAGCCTGCAGGTAGTTAAATGTGGTTAGTTTGGAGCACCGGTATAAGGGACTCGTTTGTCAATACATGTAAAACATTTATGATTATATTACAAGTATACTGACAGAGAAGGCTAGTACCCATAGTTATTGCATTTCTCTGTAGTTTGAGAGATTGTGTGAGTTCATTTATAAACATCTTTTCACTGAATAATACTTGTAAGCAAACAATTCTAAGCATCCTGTTATGATATATAGAATAAAGAACAATCAAGATTACTCAGTATGTGAAATTGCAAATTTACAGACATTTCATAGGTTCAAGATAAGCAAGTGGTTAAAGTTGTTGCCCCACAGAGTAGTGGATTTCCTTACCAACATCCAAATCATAAAAAAACCTATATGAGTTAAGTTTTGAAATTTTATTTTTCATTCTAAAATCAGAAGTGGGTACTTTTTCACCATCATTTTAGGTGTACCTTGTATGTTTTAACAAGTAATATAAAGAACAGAATTTTAGAAACAATTAGCTGTATGATGAAAGTTTTTTTTCCTTTTGAATAAGCTTTAATGATTGCATATACAGTGAAGATAGTCTTTATAAATGTAGCTCTAGTAGTGCTTATGAAAATATAATGCAGCTTATTGTACAATCTAACTAAAACTTCTTAATGTGTTTTTTTGTTTTTGGTGTTTCCAATGTTTTATTATAATTATTATTACTGATTTCAGGTGACATAAAAGATGGGTGCATTTTTGGATAAACCAAAGACTGAGAAACACAATGAGGGAGGCATGGGCAACTCCCTTCGCTTTGGTCTTAGCAGCATGCAAGGCTGGAGAGTGGAGATGGAAGATGCTCACACAGCTGTTATTGGCCTTCCATGTGGACTGAAGGACTGGTCCTTCTTTGCTGTATTTGATGGTCATGCGGGAGCCAAAGTCTCAGCATATTGTGCAGAGCAGCTATTGGATCAAATCATAGCCAACGAAGACTTCCGGGGTAAATTAGATGTCAAGGAGGGAACTGAGGTACAACCTTCGCTAGAGGATGTAAATCGCGGAATTAAGACCGGTTTCCTTAACCTTGATGAACGGATGAGAGATATCCCAGAGATGAAGAGTGGGGAAGATAAAAGTGGTTCAACTGCTGTTTGTGCTATTGTATCACCAAGTCATATATTCTTTGCTAATTGTGGAGATTCCAGGGCTGTTTTTTCCCGAGGTGGAAAATGTCAATTTTCTACCCAGGACCATAAACCAATCAATCCTACAGAAAAGGAGCGAATTCAAAAAGCGGGAGGGAGTGTTATGATTCAGAGAGTAAATGGTTCATTGGCAGTTTCACGTGCTCTTGGAGACTTTGAATATAAAAATGTCAAGGGAATGGGACCTTGTGAGCAACTAGTTTCTCCGGAGCCAGAGATATTTTTGGAGAAACGTTGCAGTGATGAGGAATTCCTAGTGCTGGCTTGTGATGGTATCTGGGATGTCATGACCAATGATGATGTCTGTGACTTTGTCAGGGATCGCATGAAATTAACAAGTAGTTTAGAGAGCATATGTAACCAGGTTATCGATACTTGCTTGAACAAGGTAATTTGGTTTTGTAATCATTGTTGAATTTAAACTGTTTTTTTATTGTATGGGAAAATGGCTTATGCTATGAGTGAATTGATATCCCACTCTCATAATTTGTCCATTCAAATATTTTATTTATGTAATATTGTATGACTAGATCTTATCAGAATATGAGAAAAATTTGCTAAAAATTTTGAAACTGAAATTTGAATTATGTTTTTCTATTTTATTTTTTTATTGTAGTTAAATGAATAAAGTTAGATATGATTGATTATGTTAATATTATACATAAAACAGATTTAACATTTGCATAAAATTTGAAAAAAGAAAACTGAAATATTGAAATGTCATTTCGAACACAGTATAATTGAAGTTATTTGTTTTGCAGGGGAGTAGAGACAATATGAGCATTGTTATTGTGGCCTTTAAGAGTGCACCATCCGTGTCAGAAGAGGCGATTAAAAAGGAAGAAGAACTTGATGCTCGCTTACGAGACAAAATTAAGGGTAAAACAGAACAAAACTCTCTCTTGTATTATCAAACATAAAAATTGTTGCATAGACAATATTAAGTTGGCCATCCTGAAATACTGTAAAACCCCATGTAACATACATGTTTTTTCAGAGAAGATAACTGTCCATAGTAGGAGTGTACGCACAGTACATAATAATAGGAATTTGATTTTTTTTTTCATGGCAAAGTAGAAGATTCTGTGAGAGCACCGTCAGTGATTGTCAGAATGATCCGGGATACAAAACTGACTCAAAAAGGATCTAACAATTTCTTTATGAACAAAAACGAAATGTTTAAATATGTGATGGCAACTAGCTAGACAGAAAACTAACAAGGAAACTTATGATCAGTAAAGACAGTGCTGTTTTGGGGCATTGAAAAATATATCAATTATAATATGATTATCTTTTGCAACACTTGCATGTTCAACTGTTAAGAAATTGATAGGTTTCATTTTATACTCGAGCACATGTCAATTTTCATGTGTATTGGCGGAAGTTAGCATTGACATATTAGTATGCAGAATGTGGGTTGAGACTTATCATCGAACTGCATATTTAATTCATTATTTATAAAAATTGGTCTTGTTGATGTTTACGAAGAATATCTATACATCTAATAAGAACGAGGGAAGACCCTTGGCATGATTAACTTAGCAAAATATGTAATGAAACGCTGTTCATCTTTGGGCAATATGCATGCCTACAGTACACTCCATGCAATACCATTCATTGCATTGGATACCAATTGCTTGCATGCAGTGTTGGGGCCTCAATTTAGGTGAGCTAGCAGGGGAATGATGTGATATCGATACATGAAAGAAAACTTCACTCGCAATCAGTATTACCTGGTTTGGTCATTAATAGGTAGAAAATGATTTGTAACTGTTTCAACACTGAGCACTGTCAGTTAGGCCTAGTTTGAAGACAAATGTTTGTGTATGTAAAAAAAGTAAATTTGGATTAATTGCATAGGTCAGTGAATGATAAAGCAAAATCTGTCTTATGTCAAAGAAAACAAACAAGAAGTGCACAAACATTAGGCAGTTTTTGACTTCATTTGTACTGTACCTATAATGAAACAGAAGGTAATTAGTAAATGAGATGAAAACAAATTTTGAAGAGAATACTTTTGGACTTTATATCGTTGGTCAGATTTGTGAGTTGAATGTTCCTTGATTGATGTCTTGGCTCCCTGAAACTGATTTTGACTGAATTTTTGGGTGTGCATATTATGCAAGTAGAAGCATTTTTTTTTTTCACTATTTTCAGCCCCAGAGAGTATGTACGCACATTACGTAGGTCTGGTTAATCATGCATAGTTCAGGAAAGTCTGTTTAGTTCATGGTCATATATTTATTGCCTCTCTAAATACATGGATATTCCTTCATATATACACATCATGTTTCCCCCTGTAATATAAATAGAAATATATCCTCAGGAGTCAAAATTTGGTGGATGTGACATTTTTGTCTTTTCACAAAATGTTAACAGATACCTAAAATATCTGTTAAGATAATATTCTATTACTTTTTCTTCCCACATAAATTCGTTGAAATATGGCCAGATTATTTCACACTGATGTTTTTACTAATTTATGGCCAAGATTAATGTGCTCAAAGATCATGATTCTATTTACAAGTTTTCAGCTCAGACAAAGGCAATTTATTCTACTGAAAAATGAAATTCACTTTTGAAATATCACTGATAATTTCACAGCTTAATATCCATTAAACTTTTCTGCATACATTATATAAAAGCAGATAAGGATTTGGAAAGTAGGTGTATGAAAAGAAGTAGATAGAAGGAACTTTTGTTTTTAATGTTAATATCATGTTATATTTACTGAAAGATATTTTCCATTGAGGTGTCTATTTATAGCTGACAGCAGATGACATCTTATTTTGAACAAAGTGTTAGTGCCACAAAATTTGGAATCCAGCCCATGCCAACTTGGGGCTCTTGAAGATATTTGTAATCTAAGCACGATATTGGTGATATTACAAAAATAAAAAGACCTGGGTTTTCCATAAAAGCCGGTCGCCGGCCAATTTGACAGGCTACTTTGATCATTTGGCCGCCTTCACCAATCCAGTTCCGTAATAATGTTCCGTACACGACAGGCCAGCCGCCTACTTTCACTACACCGCCTACTACTAACAAAATTATGGAAAACCCTGAAAGACTCATTAAAATCATCAATATTTTTCATGAAAATGATAATGGCAAAATCAGTGGAACTCATTCATGTTTTTGCATATTTTTTTTTCAGAAATTTTAGAGAATCCTGATTTTAGTGAGGCAGACCTACCGACCTTCATGCATATTTTAGGTGAAGGCACACCAGGATTGCCACCTGGTGGAGGTATAAGTGCAAAGTAAGTACAGACTGAGTATAGTAAATCACACAAAGGTAAATTTATATGCCAATAAAATATTTATGAATCATTGAGTTGCTTAAACAGTGTTTTTTTTTCGTCAATTTCTGAGATGTATATGAAAGTTGCATTTATTTATCCCCTGATGAGTAAATAAGAATTGGAAATTATTAATTTCATTAATTTCCACATAGTTGATTAAGGAAGTATAAGATGAGCTTGAAGATAATTTTCACTTATCTTCACATTGTTATGAGATTTCAAGTTATGAGATGACTTGAAAAATTCTTTTCATTGTTATTATTTTTTTCAAATTTATTGAGTAGAATGAAATGAACTTGAAAATTGTTTTCATTCATCTCCATAAGTCAATGAAGTTAGTATGAGATGAACTGGAAAATTTGATTAGCAAGTATGAAAAAACATAAACCAAGATTGCCAAGATTACCCAATATTTTGTTAAGCCCTTGACAATTGCTAAATGCTACTAGATGTCCAATGTCTTGAATTTCAATATTTTTGATATAAAGTCAAGCTTAAATGTTTGATTATATACAGATGTTTGATATCTGAATTTGTCTATTACAGAAAAAGCACGGTGGAAAGCATACTGAATGAGCTGCGGCCAAAGAAACAAGATGTAAGTTTTGTTATAGATGACAATGGGGTGTCATTTGTCTTGATGTCTGTAGATGAAATAAAGCTGTGTTATAAAACATGATAAAAGACTGTTTATGTCACAGTAAGCGTTTGGACATTCCAGTACATTATTGAACATTTCACCTTGCTTGGTCTCTAATGCTTCTGACAAAAATCATGATGAAGGAGTAGGTTATGGATTTAATCAGTTTTATAGTTAAATCTTTTTGGGATGTTAATTATGTTTAATTGAATATTATATTGGATTATTGAGGTGTTAGGAAATATGAAAAAGTGTGAGGATCTCCGTCCAAAATTGATTTAAACAGCCAAGAATATGAGTAGAGATTTACGAATTTGATCCTAAAAGTTTTCCACAGTATAGAATGTTAATTCAACTGTAACCATTCTAAACTTCAAAAAAACATAAACATTTCTTAATAATTTTTACTGATCTGTCATTGTTGGAATACACTTACCACATAACTGTTTTAAACAGCTTTATTTACGAAAATTTATATAGTGTTCTTTTATATCTTTTGAAGTCTGGAACTATATTTCAGTGCAGAGTAATTATTTTGACATGCGTCATCAGGCACAATTCATTGTAATGTCTCAGGACTGTCTTGTCTCTCTTCACCCTTGCCAAAATACATCCTAGATGTTAAGACACTGACTAAGTATCTCTGCATAAGTAGAGATACGTTAGTAATTAATGTTTAGATATGGCACCAACTTACGCATTGAAAAGGTAGTTTGTTATTGACTTTAAACAATGAGATAGAGTGATACTTTGATCAGACATTAGTTCAGTCATGTTTCCTAAAACAAATTCAATTTCTTAATACCATGTTATTGATAAGCATTGTTTGTGTACAAAGCAGTGATGCACTTTGTCACATTAAACTTGTGGAATGGCTCATTGTTTAAATGCTTGGGTAATTTTCTGCAAGTTAGACAGGTCATTTCAATATATCCTTGTGTCTATAGTTCATTAGATGATCTCAATTAGCAATCTACAGACATTTTCTGATATGACTTACATATTGGCATGAAAAATAGTGCTGCACACAATGATATGGAAATGGAAGCACAACACACTCTCAAAATGTCTTTTTATTAATTTTCATTCTTTCGGTTTTAGTAATTTGGAAAATTGGGTGGAAATGACCAAGCAATATTACATACAGATTCTTCATATCTGACTTTGCATTCTAGCATTGCTAAAACCTAGCTAAAAAGTCATTGCCACCAAACAGTACTATAAGTATATACTGACAGTGACACTTGCTGTTCATGTTCTACTTTTTGTGTGTATCTGGCTCTGAAGCTCACGTGAGTGATAAAATACAGTTTTTGGTTTCCTCTGAACTGTTGGTTTAAAGACCTTGGATGAAATGGACATACTTCTGTTTTTGTTTGTGTGTGTTTGAAAGCATTAGAGCTAGGTGATAGTGATATATGTTGGTGTCATTGGTATCATATTGATGAGATGTGTAGATATTTCAGGATATTGGATTCAACAGCTGTTTTTAACATGTTCTGCATGCTGTCACTGTGGCTTTAGTAAAAACTGATATGATCCAAGTTTAAGGTCATTTCATTGTAAGGCCAGCAGACTGATCTGTCTGTACCAGTGTAGAGTCTTGTTTCTTTTAGCTTTTGATTTATTGTTGACTGGCTTATATTTCTGCATCTTGGGATGGTTTTGAATAATTTATAGATGAATTTGAAACCAACATTTAAAGATATTAAGTCAACTTAGGAATAAAGCTTTAAATCAAGGTAAACTTCCATAGAAGTATTGAATTTCTTTGTATTGAGTTTTCATTGAAATAAAATGCCTAAAATAATAAGAGAGTGTGGTGTAGATCCTATACTTAAACAATTTCCTCTTTTTTCACCTGTTTAACATCCAAGCACAACCTTATAATCAGTGAATGTCTTCATAACAATTTGACATCAGTTTGTATTGGAATTTTTGCAGTATGATTCTGGATATTCTCCTTTCCCTCGGAAATATTGATGGGATTTTCCGAGAAGTGTGATTGGTAGGTTGTTAAAAGTGTGACTAAACATCTGATATTATAATGGCTATATTAAAACAGCTAACTCATTAATGGCTAACATGATCATGAGGTATTCTAATGTGAAATTGACCCTGCACTTTGTATAGGAGTATTGGCAATATTGAAGGACCGAGACCCCTGTAAAGGTGTTTTAGTTATCTACTGTTAAATTGCCCTTGTCCCATGAGTAGGAAAGTTTTATCTCATGTTAAATTGACCCTGCACTCTGTGTAGGAGTATAAGTAATCTAAAAGTTAAATTGACCCTGCACTCTGTGTAGGAGTATAAGTAATCTAAAAGTTAAACTGACCCTGTACTCTGTGTAGGAGTATAAGTAATCTAAAAGTTAAATTGACCCTGCACTCTGTGTAGGAGTATAAGTAATCTAAAAGTTAAATTGACCCTGCACTCTGTGTAGGAGTATAAGTAATCTAAAAGTTAAACTGACCCTGTACTCTGTGTAGGAGTATAAGTAATCTAAAAGTTAAATTGACCCTGCACTCTGTGTAGGAGTATAAGTAATCTAAAAGATAAATTGACCCTGTACTCTGTGTAGGAGTATAAGTAATCTAAAAGTTAAATTGACCCTGAACTCTGTGTAGGAGTATAAGTAATCTTAAAAGTTAAATTGACCCTGCACTCTGTGTAGAAGTATAATCTAAAAGTTAAATTGACCCTGCACTCTGTGTAGAAGTATAATCTAAAAGTTAAATTGACCCTGCACTCTGTGTAGAAGTATAAGTAATCTAAAAGTTAAATTGACCCTGCACTCTGTGTAGGAGTATAATCTAAAAGTTAAATTGACCCTGCACTCTGTGTAGAAGTATAAGTAATCTAAAAGTTAAATTGACCCTGCACTCTGTGTAGAAGTATAAGTAATCTAAAAGTTAAATTGACCCTGCACTCTGTGTAGGAGTATAAGTAATCTAAAAGTTAAATTGACCCTGCACTCTGTGTAGAAGTATAAGTAATCTAAAAGTTAAATTGACCCTGCACTCTGTGTAGAAGTATAAGTAATCTAAAAGTTAAATTGACCCTGCACTCTGTGTAGGAGTATAAGTAATCTAAAAGTTAAATTGACCCTGCACTCTGTGTAGGAGTATAAGTAATCTAAAAGTTAAATTGACCCTGCACTCTGTGTAGGAGTATAATCTAAAAGTTAAATTGACCCTGCACTCTGTATAGGAATGTCAGTTTTATCTAATGTTAAATAAACCGTGCAGTTTGTGTTGGAGTCCCATATGAGTAATACTAAAATTAAATTACCCATGCCCCCAGTGTAGGAGTATTAGTATTCAAAACAATTTCTGAAGTTTCCTTGTGTTTGTCAGCAGTGAGCTGGTCATATTTGTTATGGTAAAAGATGGATTTAAATAAATATCAAGTCCAAATTTTTAGGTCATCTGACCCAAAGGGTCAAGATGAACTATAGCCATTGTTCTTCGTCCATTGTCGTGTGCTATGCATAAACTTTTTCTTTAAGACCCTACTCCTCTTTCATACCTGGATGAATTTCAACCAAATTTGGTCTGATGTATCATTTGGTGAGGGTTATCCTTTCTTAAATCCAGAATTTGGATTTGACCCGTAGGGATCGTGGGACAGGGCTCCAAATGGGGAGGTACTGAAATTAGATTTAAAGCCCTACGCCTTTCTGCATGGGTGGAACTTGATCAACTTTGGCCTGATTCATCAGTTAGTATAGGCAATTATTATGCTTCCTGAAGGGAGAGCATGTAGTTGCTGCTTTGTCAATCTGTCCGTCTGTCTTAATTTTGTCCAGAACATAACACAAAAACTACAAGTGGTATCAACCTAAAACTTCATAGGTAGATGAACTTCTCAATAACTAAAAGGCCTAGGGTGTTAAAATTGGACCAACTTTCAAGTTCACCGAGGGCAAATGTGTTGAAATGCTTAAGCAACTTCTTAATAGCCGAATGTCCAAGGATCTTGTAGCTTGCTTTTTCAACAAGCAATATGCCTGGAGTAATTGCAGTTGTGTAGTGCATTCATAAAGAATATGATTTCAAGTTTTGAGAAACTCTCTTGATGACACCAACAGTGTCTTCTACGTAAGCTTTAAAGTAGTTGAGCTATTTATTCTTGGCCTATTTACCTCATTCATATATAGGTCTTCATAGTCAGATGACCACTTAGGCCTATGGACCTTTTGATGATAGCATTGTCAATTAGCCAGAAGAACATTATCAGAGAAACCTTTTGGGGATCTGGTGGATTCAGAGTTTGTTAACTCTGTTTGATTTTAGCATTATTTGTTATGTTGTGGGTATTTAAACTTCTGATGTTTTTTTTTTATTCAAACTAAAAGTTGTTAATAAAATTACATGGAGTTTAATGCAGTAAGCATAACTAATACTTAATAGAACTATGATACCTAATTTTGAGTGTTTGAAGTAAATGCAATATATTAACTGTGGCTTTGTTGAAAACAAACATTTTTATTGTACTATCTGTGTGAGATGTAGTGCTTGTTACTTACCTTTGCTCAGGAGTTGGTTAGTTGTTTTCCATCTCCTTGACTTGTCCTATCTGTCTCACCTCACTACAAATGTCAGTTGCTAAGGAGTGATGTTCAGTTTTCTCTGAAGTGTAACTTAGGATGTGTTTCTCTGTTGCTTTAGCAGAGTGACTGAGAGCACATGATCTTCTTCAGCAGTGTGACTGAGAGCACATGATCTTCAGCAGTGTGACTGAGAGCACATGATCTTCTTCAGCAGTGTGACTGAGAGCACATGATCTTCTCAGCAGTGTGACTGAGAGTACATGATCTTCTCAGCAGTGTGACTGAGAGCACATGATCTTCTCAGCAGTGTGACTGAGAGCACATGATCTTCTCAGCAGTGTGACTGAGAGCACATGATCTTCTTCAGCAGTGTGACTGAGAGCACATGATCTTCTCAGCAGTGTGACTGAGAGTACATGATCTTCTCAGCAGTGTGACTGAGAGCACATGATCTTCTCAGCAGTGTGACTGAGAGCACATGATCTTCTCAGCAGTGTGACTGAGAGCACATGATCTTCTCAGCAGTGTGACTGAGAGCACATGATCTTCTCAGCAGTGTGACTGAGAGCACATGAGCTGAGAGCACATGATCTTCTTCAGCAGTGTGACTGAGAGCACATGATCTTCTTCAGCAGTGTGACTGAGAGCACATGATCTTCTTCAGCAGTGTGACTGAGAGCACATGATCTTCTTCAGCAGTGTGACTGAGAGCACATGATCTTCTCAGCAGTGTGACTGAGAGCACATGATCTTCTCAGCAGTGTGACTGAGAGCACATGATCTTCTCAGCAGTGTGACTGAGAGCACATGATCTTCTCAGCAGTGTGACTGAGAGCACATGATCTTCTCAGCAGTGTGACTGAGAGCACATGATCTTCTCAGCAGTGTGACTGAGAGCACATGATCTTCTCAGCAGTGTGACTGAGAGCACATGATCTTCTTCAGCAGTGTGACTGAGAGCACATGATCTTCTTCAGCAGTGTGACTGAGAGCACATGATCTTCTTCAGCAGTGTGACTGAGAGCGCTTTTTAAGCTCATTATCTGTGATAGCAGTAAGCTTCTATTTGGCAGATGTGTTAAGTAAAGCACAAGATTATTAGGTTGTCTGACATGAAGGGTCAGGATAACTAAGAGCTATCATGTTTCATCAATTGCTTTGCGTTGTCTGCCATACATACACTTTTCACATGTTAAACTTCTCAAGTTTCACTAGTGGGACATCAGATGGTCCTGATCAAGTGGGGTTTTTTTTGGTGGGGGGTGGGGGGTCAGTCTGAAATCCATTATGGTCGCCATCTTGAAAAACATGTTTTAAACTAATGCCCCAGTTCCACTTGTGCAATTTTGCTGAAATTTGGTGAGAATGTTGACAAACAGAAATGAGGAGTGTCTTTTGCCTTTACTGCTAAAATATTGTTAATTAAATCATTTCATGACTGTTCAACTACTACTTCTACTGTTATATAAATGTCTCTAAAGTCAAATGGTTGTCAAGGCGCATGGATCTCTTTTATCATAAAGAAAACACTTCTGAAAAGAACTTTTTGTTGTCATTGAAAATCTTAATTTCTTAACTGACTTTTAAAAAAAGGCATTTTCTCCTTCTATTACCTGATTCTTTTAACTGATTGCCTTGATGTCCTTGTGTTATCCCTTTCTTGTGTTATCCTTTCCTTGTCTTGTCCTGGCATCATTATAGGGTATACTGTGTTATAATTACCTTGTGTTGTCCTGTCATTATAAGGTATACTGATGATAAGTCACTAGATAGTTGTGTTATAATTACCTTGTGTTGTTCTGTCATTATAAGGTATACTGATGATAAGTCACTAGATAGTTGTGTTATAATTACCTTGTGTTGTCCTGGCATCATTACAGGGTATACAGATGAAAAGTCACCAGGTAGTTGTGTTATAATTACCTTGTGTTGTCTTGTCATTATAAGGTATACTGATGAAAAGTCACTAGGTAGTTGTGTTATAATTACCTCGTGTTGTCCTGTCATCATTTATAGGGTATATTGATAAGTCACTAAGTGTGTTATAATTACCTTGTGATCCAATGTAGAAATGTTAAATACTTATAAACAGGTGAGATTATTTGTGATAATTGTGAATAGGGATGAATGTTTGTTCAAATTCATTGGAGAATGTAAAATATTGATTGTTTGCCTTAATGTAATCACTGTTAATTACTCAACATTATGTGTATTGGACTAAATACATGGATGATGATCACTAATAGACAAGTTAGTTGTGGTTTGAATTTAATGCAGTATATTGTATACAGACCTGTATGTAATTTGTATCTGTGTAACTCTGTTGAGTGTTTGATATTGAATGTATTGTTTTAAATGTAATACATGTACTAGCAAGTGCATCTTGAGGACTGCATAAAAGATTGGTGTATTTGCTTCAATGTAATCTGGGTTGTCAAACACAGATTAATGGAGTGTTATGCCGTTAAATTCAATACTAACAAATTGATTTGTGTTATCAGTAAATGGAAAGTAGAGTTGAATGGTGAAGACCAAAACACTACATGTGGACATGGTTTGAAGATATTTGAGTAGTATGAAGTATAATTGAATACTGTTGTACAATGAAATACAATGTTTATCGTGTGTGTTGTACTGACAGAAGATTCAGGTCACCAGTCAAATTACATTTTATTGTGTTTATCAATTCTGGCTGCTTGTATGTATTTATATAACCTGTTTTTGGCTTGTGTTTACTTGATTTCCCTTTTTTGTACGCAGTAAGCTCATTCTGACATGGAAATAGAAATCATGAACAGGTTTGTTAATTTTCTAAGCCTTCTGTGGTGTTTGAGCTCTTGTATTATTTATACACACTGATTTTTTAACAGGGCCACTTTCCACTATCACAGTGAACACTGAACAATCATCTCTCAGACATTTTGGATATTAACACCATACCTTGCTATCACTCTTGTTTGGTATGATTATGGAAATATGTCCAACTAAATGGAGAACTGCTGTGATGATTTCATTAATTTTTCAATAATCTACAGTGTGTTACTAGCCCTCCCAACACCCCTCCTCTGTAAATATAGATGTACACATGTACATCATTGAGAAATCAAATGCCCTTGCTCCCTTCTTAAACAGTATATTTTGGGAGGTGGGAGTGACATAAATTCATTAATAGAAACATAGTTTGGCCCTATTGAATCTTCATATATGGATGTTTTATAACCACAACTGGTGTCTCTTACTTTACTTTAACAAAAACACTTTGGGACTAAGGGAAATAATAATTGTATGGATTAAAATGGCTGCAATTGCACAAAACTTGCTCTGTCCCAAACCAGCATTTTTTGGAGAAGTTTTATGAACAGTATATGAAGATAGACTTTGATATTTAATTTTTCATTAGTTATTTATTGCTTTGCAAAATGTACAGTAGAATTTTGAAATATTGAATGTTGGGTGTGTTTTTCTGTGTTTTTGTTTGCTTCTTACCAGAGTGTGATGTGACTATCCTCTTGCATGTGTTTTGTCTGTTGTGTGGTTTTCCTCTCGCCAGGTATAACAAATCTGTTTGAATGGCTTCACTCTAGCATTAGCTAGTACTGTCATAAAACAACTTGACAACCATTTGTCAGGATAACACTTAGCACACTTCAATGTTATTCTCGCTTTTACATTTAAATGCTATACTTGCTTTCACATAAATCAGATTATTGTATTGATAGATTATTGATTAAGTATTCGTGTCATCAAACACGTTTTACCACATACCCACTTATTGGTGCATTGATTCATGAACTGCAAATATCCATTGCATATTGTCTTTAGTTTCATAGAAACCAATATAAGCATTGAACTGTAGTCATGGTCTGCACATTTTGATACTACACTAGACAGTATCTTTCCTTCTTTTGTTTTAGTTGTATGAATGACTGCCAGGCTATTTCAAGAAAATTGTTATGTTTATTTTTTGTTTATGTCTTGTGTCTCATGGGCTTAAGTGAGTGAAAGGATTGCAGTAACTGGATTGAGAGAAGAGAAAAAATACAGTTGGTTTGCTCTTAATCCATCATCTTCAACTTGAAATTATATTGTCATTTGATTTAAAGAAATAAATGTTAAAAGTTGATAACTTCAAAAGCAGCACAGCTTTTACTTCCCTCAATGATATTGTCATCTCTAAGTCAAAGGGATGTAACTCAATATTCCAGGAGGGGATACATTTACTAATTCAATAAATCAACATTTTTTGGAGAAAAGTTTGCACCCAGAATTAATAATTGATGAGACAACTTCCCAGTATTTGTCAGAGAACATGAAATAGTTATTGGAATATTATAAAAGTATTTTATTGGTTGCTGTATAGAACAACAGGTAATATCATAAAACAATATCACAACAATTCTGCTCTGTACAGACTTTGTGTATTTGTTGCTCTGATTTGTACCTAGAACAATGTGTTGATACTGTAAGGAGTGAGACTAAGGGGTTACAGAAATTTCTGTCAGTGTCAGTATCAAAGTTATGTAAAAATCTATAATAATCTAAAATATTATTTTATTATGTCTAAATAAATCCACAGTTAAAGGCAAATTTTGTATAGGTAATGAGTTTTTCTAATAATTTGCATTGTGTTTGCAGGAGGATGAGGATGAGGAGGAGGAGAATTCTGTTCCTGAACAATTGTAAATGAAGACGGAGTTGGCTACAGCAAAATCTACTTGACTGAATGATGGGGCACTGCTGATCTCAGAGTGTCAACATACAGGAAACTCACTTACGCCATTTCTTACTTCCCCTATCCACCCACGGCCAGCAAGGGCTCGTCGTGTGTTGAGTGCCCTATATTTAATGTATGTTACACCTGCGTAGGAGGATGTTTGTATGTGCTGGTATTACTGTGGAAAGCTTCACTCTGTAATGTCTATACACTGTGTTGAAACTTGTTTGTGTACAGTCATTCCCCTTGCTAGATACTGGAATTTTTCTTTGTTTATAGTAGATTTTCTACTACAGGGGTTGAAATGTGTGTAAACAGAGAAATGACTAGAAGTTTTTTTTTCTATTCTCTTCAAATATCATTTGTGAGAGACATAGACTGTTTTCTTAGTTAAAAATATATAATGAGAAGAAATAAGGGGATAGATATTGTGTAAAGTTTTGATTTTTGTTGTCTGTCTATTTTACTGCTAACATCTAGGACATTAAGATGATGAGAAAGGGGACACTACTGACAGGTGGTATTAATTAGAATAGATAGACACAGTAAATTTATGTAGTATAGAATTGAACCCATTAAAGCAATCAAATGAAATTTAAAACAGAGTGAATAAAGAGCTAATATGAATGAAGTTATTGGAACCATCAATAAAGGTCTTGTCTGAACGAAGACATTCCAGTCATATTCCTGGGAGAATTTTTTAGTTCAGTTACTCATGTTTTTAGTTATATATAAATCTATATCAGTATTTTTGCAGATTGTAAATGTAGTGTTTCTGCATTAATAGAATATACAAGAAATTAGTTTTTTAGTTAAATTTTCTGATTTTGACATATGTACTTGAGAAGATGGTCTCATTTAGACCATGTTTTATGGGAAGAATAAATGCCTCATTGCAATAGCCTATCATTAGTGCATATGTGTATGTTTGACAGTCATGTGTATATATCTTGTAGAGTTTCCTTAGTGGGAAGGAAAGGTTAACCTAGCTATTGATAATTTTGTAATGGTAGATGGACATCTATCTGCAATTTTCTGCCTAGTTTTGCCTTTCTCTGTTAGTTTCATATTCACAGCTACTGCTTATAGTTTTGGAAAATATTAGCAGATTTTCAAATGATGGCTGGGACAGATTTTCCTTGTGAAACACAAGATTTAGTAGCAATATCATATTGACTTTGTATTGATACAGAAACCTGTAGAAAATCATATGTTGGATCTCGCTACTGATGACTTCTTTAAGAAAATTTTACTTGATGATGTAATGACAGCTGCCTTGGCTATGAAGTCTATGATGCCATTCATAAGGGGTTATTGAAATATAAAATGTGTGGTCATAGTGAAGCAGTTGTTGAGGACACTCAGGTTTTCACACTGTAACTGCCCCCTGTAGCTTTACCTAGTTTTCTGGACTGTTCTGGCTTGACTGGCCACAAGAGCTTTTACCATGGTGCAACATAGTCTGTTTGTCAACTCTTACACACTGATCGTTCAGAATAAAATGTTGTTGATTGTGCCTAAAATTGGTGTGGAGAATTAATCTTACAAAGGGTTTCTGAACTGTTCTAAACAGTAGTTATTGGTCGACTACAGTCAAGAAATCCCAACTCTCCTGAACAGTTGGAGAGAGTATCGCTGTTTGGTTTTGAGATAGCCTAAAAACCATCCTTTTTAGAAAGAAGTTTGTATAAATCTAGGACTGGAATGGCGCAACTCCACTGGAGAAATCTTGGGTGTACAACTGTTTAGGTTGATTCTGAGCTTAACAAGGATATTCCAAAGACTATGACTGAAAGCTGGTCCTTTGCTGAACATTGAAAAACAAGTACAACAATGCTTCTTGTATTGGCCTCAAGGTCAAGCTCAAAAGGGAGGATAATGTTTAAAAGCGTAGTCATCTTAATGTGTTGATAGTTTCGAATAAAGTAAGGAAATAATTGCCCTAGGAGCAGGAAATAAAATGACGTATGCTAGTAAAGGAAAGGTGTTTACACTTGTTGTTGATAGCCAGAGTCCAAAACAGTTATTGTTTGTAATGGAAATGATCATTAGATAATGCCATGTTTGCTTAAATATCCAGGTGAGCAGTAGAGGTTCAGGGGGCCCTCTTTTTCCAACCTGCAGTTTCCTGTTCTCTGTACATGTCCAGATTGATAACAGTGCTATTGTAAATAATTGTCTTAGTATGAATGTGGAAAATTAGTTGATGTTGTTTAAAAGTCATATTTTAGAAATGTTGATAACAAATATTTTGATTATTCTTGTATGTTTTAAATAATTCATGAAAAATGATGTCTTGCTTGATTTACTTATCATTTCCTGACAGGAAAGTATACAATTTTCTCCATCAATTCTGTCCATGAAAGGCATTGTTCTCCATCATAATCAATTGCATAGTATGTTTGATAATGTTAGTGTCTATTTCTGATGATGTAAGTTACAAGTAATGCTGGGACACCACAGTGTAAAACTGCAGCTGTATTTAAACACATTACTGTAAAATAGAATTTTTTGTGAAGGGTTTCCATGATTTGATTTTGTCTCGTTTGGTCTAAACAGAGATGCTTGTACATGGAGGTGTTAAATGATTCTTAGCACACACTGAAAATAATACATTTTATTTTTTATGATGGTACATCTAATAGTATAGATGACAGTGAAGGTATGAAGGCAGAGTTTATGTTCTAATGCTAAAACAAGAGCTTTTGAATGAAAATGATGTGATGCTGGCCATGAAGTGGTCATGATACTTGATGATTAGGATTCAGAAATGTGAGGAAATAACATGTCATTGTGAATTAGTAGACCAGGATTAACGTCCATAATAATAGGTACAGATAAACATCCCACAACTTCCTGTGTTAGTGTAGTTGGATTTTGTTGCTTACATTTCCAGATGTAATTATGATATCACACAACTCGGATGACATGGCACTTGGTTGAATAAACCTGGTTTTAACCCAGATATTCTGATTATCCTTCTAGTATTGTACTTATGCCTGGTTGACAGTATATACTCCATATACAGGACATTAGCTGTTCTGGAGAGCCCTGTAGCTACTATACAAAATAGTCATGTGAAAAGTCATGGCATATAGACTAAAAAGGCACATTGAGACCAATATGGGTCATTGTTTCTCACAAAACGTTGCTTCCAGTTTTGCTGGGTGGTTCTCATTAGTGCTGTATCGGCATTCACTCCCCTTTCATTGGAATTTATCGGTACCACCTTCCTTTCAACATGGCTGTATTGGTATCAACTCCCCCACAATAGTGTTGTATTGCTATCAACTCTGCCATGTTGTATTGTTGAAGTTTCACCAGGGGACGTAACTCCAGCTCCATCACGACAGAAAATCTTACGTTTCATGATCTTGCTATCCATTATAACATGACAAATATCAAAGTTGTCCTGAGAATTCTGATATAGATTGGTAAGACAATTAGTTTTTTATTAGACCCAGAAAGACTGTATGGACGCTGACTTCATAGACCACAACAAAATCTAGCAGGAAGCATTTCTATTTTTCCAGTTCTAGATCATGATTGTAGATAGATTTACAGATTTCAAATGTTTGATCACATGATTTGACAGGCTGACATCACACATGTTTTTGGGCGTATTTATTTCCCAAATGTTGTAAAATTACTTATTAAATGTCATTTTTATTTTGCTTTGAAAGATATTGATATGGTCTTGGACTGGCTGTGTGTTTATGGCATCATGTTTTCAGCATTGTTAGGTCTTTGCAATGAGTTGGGGTAAAGGAGAAGTGTGCCGGCATTGTAATTGTCTCAAAGCATGACATCACATCATGATGTCTGTCATTCTCATTCCTGTGTAACAGCCCTGTTCTATTGTTCAGTCCTGAAGGATGATAAATACCTGAGTATATAGCTACCTCCTAATGAAATTCAGGCAAGATAATTTCTATCAAAAGTGGCATCACAATATTGTTCAGGGAATCCTATCAAAAGTTATGGATATGATTCTCTAAGTTTCTTTCCTCGTAATAAGGTTATAATTCATTATCATCTGGAGAACTCTTCAGTGTTCACTCGCAGTTATCCAGGTCTGTTTTGTTTGCAATGTTGCAAATATGTATGCACACTCGATACACATATTCTGAATGGATTAATTCAAATAACCTATGTAAAAAGAAAAACACTCAGGAATATTGCCATATGATTCATCAATGAAGTATTTTAACTGCTACATCCTGTATTCACTAACCAACTTCTACTATGGTTTGAAGCATTACAGTCAGGTTTAGTTGAGGGAAGTGTCACACTGCAGTTAAATTAATAGTACAATTTGTACGTGTTATCTGAAGTGATATTTTTCAGATATGGGATTAAGCAATTTAACAATTTGGAATTTAGTTTGTACTAACTTCAGAAAAGTGTTTGTGTTACGAACCAAATGGCATACTCTTTGCATCATTTGTAACATTTTAGCTAATTTCAATCTTGTTTACACAAACTCCAGGAAATGAATAGTAAGTGTTATTTGCACATGGATTTTCCTCAAAAGATCAGTCCTTGTAAGAATAGAACTAAAAATTTAAAGCTCAGCAGTGTAATGTGAATGGATTAAACAAGTCACTGGTCCATATTCAGTCTATATTGAAACTATTCTTGCTATCACACTGAGGTGCATTGACTTTCCCTAAACCAAAATAGTCGAAAAATCTGCATTTTAATATTTGAAGATTATTGTTACTATTCCTAAAAAATTGATTGTATGTTACTTTTCTAGTCAGTAGATCAAGAGATAATCTTTCTTTTTAAAATCATGATTTCAAGCACATCTGTATTAAGTCTCAAATATATTGACACATTATTAATACCTGTTGCATTGACAGTACTCTCAACAACATAAACTAACATAGAACCACTGAAAGTCATATTGGTGGTGGACTTGCGGAGTTCTTGTTCCCTGTTAGGAAGTAGAGCTGATGAAAAATGATACCAGTCTTTCAAGATAAAGGGATTGCAACAGCTCAAATCTGAATCCTTCTCCTGGAATGCTCTTTATTTGTATTGCATTGGGAATGTGGGTGTTTGGTACGAAACTGTGTACATTTGTGTGTAGTAGATATGAGGATAGTTTGTGCATTGTACCATATTAATGTGGAGAGTGGCTATGTTGCTAGTATATACAACTTAATTTGCTACAACATTGGATACTGGTTACAAATCATGGAGCTCATCTGTAGATATGGAAACAAATTTGTGTCAAATTAATTACAGTATGTTATACAGTTAGATTTTTCTTTCATCAAGTAAGGTTTGGATTTTATGTATAGTCATTTGCATAACTGATTGATTAGTATATTGTGAAGTGTCCCCATAGTTAAACTTCAGACTAGTAGTCAACCACTTGGAGCAGTTCTGATATATCACACATCTCGTCTTACATATTAGATGATGGTTGTTTTTTGCTTGTTTCTAGATTAATTCTGCAATTCCCACTTATCATTTTCCTGCTTGTACCACCATGTGGTACAAGGTTTATTCTGGAGTGTGTGCTGTCATGCTTTTTTTATTTGATATGTTTGTATACCTTATTTGATGCTGTTTAGGAACATACATCTTACCTGCAATATTAATTTAACATCTCATGTGAACAAAGAAGTCATGTTCTCCCAACACAAAGGAATGCAAAGCTTTGTTTAAAAAAGAACCTTGAAATACATCAGTTAATGTTATGTTTGTGTAATATCACACCAGAACAGAAATGAGTACCTTATATTTGATTGAAGTTTTTTATCAAAATGGTCCACCAATCAAGACTCATGTAACACAATGATATGATTTGAAAAAAAATCGAGGAAAATTATGTGGATTGTTTGAATTTTTGATCAAATTGTCCAACTTACTACTCGGTCATTATTCTTTAGACAGAGGCAGTCATATATATAGATAGAAACTAGGGCCCCTGTCTCCCTCACTTCATGTGGAAAGTAAGAGCTTGGAAACTAATGTATTCATATGTTGTAATCAGTGTGTAAATTTCCCCTGTTTGGATTGAATGATGAAGTTTTCAAAAATCTATATATTGGGTTTGTAAAACCCAAGCGATACAAGGGAGCTTGAGTATTGGGGATATTAGGATCAGTTACAGAATTTTCCCCTTCATTGAAATGTAACTCATGTCACTGCCCTCAAAACTGCTAGCTGGTTTTGACAAATAGATCTAGTCATGTGTTAATGGTTACAAAACTTGGTTTTTGTTCGTCATGGGTCTGGTCACCTGTTATGGTAGTAGGTCAAATGGCAGCTGACTGTGGTGGTAAGGGGACTGGTCACACTGGAGCTGGCAGTGGCAGTGAGGGGACTGGTCACACTGGAGCTGGCTGTGGCGGTGAGGGGACTGGTCACACTGGAGCTGGCTGTGGCGGTGAGGGGACTGGTCACATGGGAGCTGTCAGTGGCGGTGAGTGGGCTGGTCACATGGGAGCTGACTGTCATGGGAATAAACTGGTCACATGGGAGCTGGTTATGATGTTGAAGGGACTGCATTGTCACATGGTACAATAGTTGGCTGTGACCAACCTTGTGGACTGGCTTGTAGAATCTGGTTATGGTGTTAATGACCCTGTAAACTGGTCACATGTGAGCTGGTTATGACCTTGAAGATTGGTCACAAGGGTTTGTAACCATTTAGCCTTGACTCGTGTTAGCTGGAAGGGGATGGACACAATTAAGTGAATTGGGCATAGGTACCGGTCAATTGGTAACTGCTTAACACCCTTGAGATTGGTTAGATGGTAGGTAATATGACCCTATTTAGGGACTGATTGGTTAGGGTCTTTGGATGTGGTCACATGATACCTACATATAATCTTGGGAATAGGTAATATTGTTTCCAATTATGACTTAAACTAGTTGTGAACCGTTGGTGGATATGTTTTCCAAAACTACAATAAATTTTCAAGGGATGTATGATCACTATCATATAGTTGGGGTATACAAAAGGATTACTTTTGTGTGTTGTTAAACACTGGCATCTTTCTAGGCATTCAGATATTTCCTGTTGCACCAGTAAATATAGATGTTATAAATGGGAAGGTCATTGTTACCCTGTGTAGAAAGATGAGGGCCAGAGTTTGTGGGCAGTGGCATTACTAATTACTGGGAAAGTTTATACTTCCAGACAGGAACCAAGCCTCTGTAGATATAAAGATGTATACAGGCATGGTATCTCCTGGTCAGTGTTGAACTTCAGGGCAGAAAATATCAAATGTTAAATATTGAAAATGTTTTTTAGAAAAATTTGTGTATACTCTTGACAAATAAAGATCATTATTCATTCCTCATTTATTGTCTTGTTTTTCTGTTATTCACCTGGGAACATTAACTGATATTAAAATTTGTCTTCAAGGGGCAGGAAAGCACTTCATTATATTTTGTCGTAATTGCATGATAGTCATCTTTAGATAGAAGGCTAAAATTTGAAGAATGGGCAGGCAGCCATGTTGAATTTTTACTTACACTGACTTGAATAATAAGATGGCAGACAGACAGTTATTTGGTTTTTTTTTGACAGTCTTAGTTTATCATCACAATATGTAGAGAAGCCATATATTACCAAAATAAGAGAAGTTTCACTAGTACTTTTTAGTTCTGAAGATATAATGTTCCAAAAATGGATGTGATTTAATGAAGATGTCTAGAGTATTCAGCTGGCAGTCATCTTGGGTAAGATAATGCTAATCATGTTGCCTGTACTACTAGCACATAAAATGATATAAATCAGACGAGAATATAATGATGACATCAAAGTTCTGTGGTTGTAAAGGAGTAGCTGTCACCAAAACAATGGAAATCTAAGGTGGATGCTTAAAATGAAGCAAACCCAACTAGATACAATACTATACTTGTTCCTAAGTTGATCCCGACAGTAGATCAGAGAAATTCTTTACAGGATTAACCAATTCATCACTTAGTGACTTTTTAATT